GAGGATATAGCCCTATTTATTTTTAAAAATATGGACACTTTAAAATTGACCGTACGCTCGATTTGAACTACCGTTTTTCAAGCACTTCAAAACCACAGAAAGAACGTTCACACATCAGACTGTAGCGTCGTCATACATATGTATATATTATACAAACAAAATTTTTATTTACTGTGTATAGTATTAATAACCATTACCCAAAAGTACTAGTCAGAATTTGTATTCAATTCCCTTCTGATTAATTCCCAAAGAAAAGTTACCTTTTTTACCAAATCTAATTGCCTAGTCCTCTTAACCTATGGTTCCGAATTCTTCCGAAGTATTCCGGTCACTTTAAAACTATCAGCAACTTTCAGTAATATACTTACGAGCAGTTTCAAATTGTTTCAGTTTTACAAAGTAATGAAAGCTCTTGGTTTAAGGATACTGCTTTAAATGGGCCTTTGAATATCGTACCAGGCCCCCCAGGGTAGGTACCTACCCGTTCCTGAGATCTCTTATTTCATCGTGCGAAAAACTCCTTTCGTTCACGTGGAATTCATCCAAAGTTCGCGGTCCTACAAGAATTTCCGAAGTTTCACAATCTTGTTAGCCACGTTTACTAGACCACTGGTTCGCATCCCCGACGAAGGGGGTGAGGGTAGACAAGAAACTTGCCCTCCAAGCCGAACTAGTTTCACCAGAGACACGGATAAAGATCAAATTTCGCTGGACCAGGTCATCCTTTGACGATTGGTCAATGTTGTATTTATTCGTGGTTCAGAGGAGAATCAAATAAACACATATACAACTAATACTGTATAGTTTACTAAATAATAATGCAGTGGTGGGGATAACACATGGACAATAATCGTGTAGAACAAGCCAGACAATAATCGACGTGTATCTGTATTGTTATAGTGATACACCACTGGGTGTACTAAGGTACGTGCCATTTGAAGCATTCACAGTCTCTGGCTAAATACACCACGAATGATAATAGCACTTACACAAAATGCACAAAAAAAAGAAAAAGAATAGAAAATTAATGCAGGACACGTTTTTGCGTGGGATTGGATAGAACCGTTCGATTAATCGTTCCAGATCAACACCACGCTCGGTCGAGGCTCGCGTAAAATCAATTTGATTTCCGCTTTTAATTCCGACACGAGCTGTCGATAGCGACGCGACTAGCCGGCTCGTTTAATATTACACGAGTGTTTCGGAAAGTCTGCGTTATTAAATTTCGTCGATCGATCGAACGATTGGACGGGTGACACGCGTTCTGAAATCGGATTTTCCGTGGATCTGACGAAAATCGTCGCCGTTTTTACGGAAACTGCCTCAGGAGAGTGACAATAGGTACAATCGGTTGGAATGGACGAATTTAATCGGGGCATCGATAACGAAGAACGGGGCAATATTTCGATGAAGTGCTTGTTAGTTAAAATTGTTTGAATATTTGTGCAAGTAACAGTCGATCGTTACGAATAACGCATTTAAAGAAGCTTCGTACATTTGCAGAACAAAGGACGATATTCTCTCGAATTCTTCATGAAACGTTGATAAAGGATCGTGGTAAATTAATTTTTCATTACAATTAAAACGTACTTGACCTGGTTTGCATTTAAAATTCATACAAGCTCGCCGCCATTTTATTTGCATACGTATGTACACATCGGTACAGGAATATTCCTTCGTTTTAAGGTTCTTTCCAGAACGAAAGAATTTTTCAATCGAACATTATACATGTGTTTCGCAGAAATATTTCCTACTTTCGTAAGCTGACCTTTGTTGCCAACAAGATGGCGGCCAACACCTAACCCCCTCATTCAGTTAACGTACACATGTATGCACAATATTGATTTGCTATCTGACATTTCATCGTTATTTGATTGTCAATAAGTCACTCTTATTAAATTCCACGTTCCATTAATCCAGAGAATACTTGTCCAATACTGCGATAAAAGCAAACTTTATGTTCGATTTCGGTATATTTACCAAATTCCCACCTAGTCTTGCGATAACGAAAGGGCAAACCGAACCCTCCCCGTTTACCACTTCTGTTAACTGTAGGCGTAGGATTTCCGTTCAGCAGAGCGATCCATTCTGTCATTAGACTAAGGAATAATATTCTTTCGTTCGTTAATTTCGTAACCTCCCCCAGCGAAATGTCTCGCCGTTTGTTATGGAAATCCCATTGTAACGGAGTCCCTCTTATTATTATTCTTTGGTTGCGGCGGGTTCGCGACGTTACCCGACTTACAGCGTTTTCAAAGGACGAGAATGTTTCCTAAGTACCTACCTAATTGAAACGCGGAACAAAGTGAGTTTCACGTAAATTGAAATTAATTTAAATATATATCCGTACATGCAATATAAACGAGGAATCAAGGGATTACATATTTCCAGCGTAACGATGTCATATACGAATAACAGAAATCTTGTTTCTTCTAATTAATAATTATCGTGAATAAACGTTCGCGAATTGTTCGGAAATTCGACTCTAGAGTTTCCACTGTTGACAAAGAGAATCATCTCTGGTTTCCAAATGATTCATCCAACAGATCCTGACGGACTATTCGCCCCGAATTATGCGCGCGCACCCGACTAAAAACGCTAGATCCAATTTCACAATGCTTCGTTAAACGATACGCGAGGCCGGGATCAAGTTGACAAAATTAACAATTCTGTGTCGGTTAATTTATTGGGCAGGAGACGAATCAGGTCCACATTAAAATTTTTTGGGCCCTGGGGCAATCGAACCTTCTAGGGCCCCATAATTGAAAATGGAGGGTGGGGGCGCAAATAACATAAATCTTAAAAAATTGAAATTTATTCTAAATGAAATTAAATAACATTTAATCAAAATGAAATGGAAGATTTAGAAGGGGGCACCCCTAGAAAATTGGGCCCGAGGCTACAGCCCCCTCAGCCTCGCCCCTTAATCCGGCGCTGGGACAAATAATGGGTGAAGAATTTTTTGTTCGTACTTGACAACGCTCCAAAAATGAAAATTTAAGGAGATATTTCTCAAAAACGTGCCACAGAATAGATAAGTACCCCATTTATCGTTTCTCTTTTTCTCGGGACGATCGAATCGTGGCTTCGTATCGAGGCCATTTTAAATTTCAATAATTTGCACAAACAGAATCCGTGGCGCACGGAACGAGAGGAATGAAATGAATAAATCGATAGAATATCCACTGCGCTTGGCGGAATATAATCAGGACTTTGCTTTTTGTTCGATTACGAATAAATACCTCTTTTCCGCGTGGTACAGAATATGTTACATACATTTTGAATTGCATTCACAACGGACAGAGTTGTCTGAAAATCACTGTGTTTAATAAGATATTCAATGAATTTCCATACAAACAGAATGAAAAAGTGTCCGTTGCAACCCCATTTATTTAAACCAATCCGTACATCCCAATAATCGCACTAACCGTAGAAAAAATTCTAATCCTCTTATTCTCTACTTTTATCGTTGATCACACATTTTAAATACAGACTCCTCTCGATTATTGTCCTGAATTCGGGTCCACGTCAGGACAATAATCTTATAGGAAGAAATGCTTCAGACCCTCGTAAAATTGTTTTTTTTTCTGTTACATGCACTAATTTCTCATTTTTTTTTGTCTCAAGCACTGATCATCGTCCAGTTAGGTAGCGATAGCCGAAAATTTATTGGTTGCTACATTTCAAGCGCTCTACGCGATAAAAACGGAGCGACGAGCCGCGCCATTCTTCACTCGAAATTTCCAGCACATTGTGCTGTAACAAACTTCCACCGGGGGAAGACACAAAGGAAGTATGTCCTGTGTATCGCTCGTCAAGAAGACGGTCTTGATAACACGAGCACATAACGCACATGGCGGTTCGAGGAGTTCCGGCGAAGGAAAATTAAAATACAGAAGGAAAAGATGAAACGAAATGGAATTGTGTATACGTGAAACCGGAGAGAATACAGAACCCTTTCCCAGTTTAATTAACTCGACGAAGCCAGAATTTGTTTCGCGATTTTGTTCGGAATAATATTTTCTCTACTATGGCGGATGCACCAGTAAATTAAGTAAATTGAGTTATTAAAATAAGGAAATGATTAAATATTGATTCTTTTCTAAAACAATTTTCGTGCCACTACATAGAAATTCATTTAACGGTGAAATCCATATTTTTTTCATTTTAAGTTAATTAATTACAGTTTTTCAATTTCTCGAATTGACATCTATACGTTATACATTCAGTAAATTCCCGATAAATGCTGGGAAAGATCTCTACGTTGAATACTTCTACGTCATATCGTTTCCGTAAAACTCGTCACTTCATTTGACGGAACTTTACAGGAGATCAATAAAACACTTTAGAATGAATTGAACTTATTAAATTGCAAAAAATAAGTGAGTTTTTTTTAACTTTATTTAATTTACAGAAGTTGCGGAAATATTTAGGAAAATGTATTTATTTTGAGTGCTTTGAGTGACACTAAAATGCAAAATTAGCCCAAAAGGGAAATTACGATGTTTACTTATTAAGGTCACGTTATGTACCTATTAGTTCGGTTGAATTGTTACAAATTACCCTCGTTAATTTGTGAGCCAGTGGCGTCGAAAAAAACACGGAGATCGTGGCCTGACTGGCAGCTACTTTTCTCTTGTATATTCGAGGAAAAATAGAAGTTTAATCTGGCCGCAATCAGCCCGAACAATTCTCTTCCAGAGAGCCCGCGATTGCAACCGTTTTGCTTCTATGTTCCTACTTCTGTGCGTTCATCTCGAGTAAAATGGACACGGCGAAATGAAAAACCGTGACACGGAAATACACGCTACTTTCCTTCGTAGTCGATACTCGAAAACAGCAAATACTGTGAAGATACTTGGGTCAAAAAAATTCAACAAAAATTTAAACAAATTTTTGAGGTAACATGAGCTTTAGACGACATTGACGTCGAGGTAGATTTTGGCTTTTAGCTATCGTAAATGAAAGGGGAAACTGAGAATATTTTTTTGTTGACGCAGATTTCCGCAGAACAACTCATGGTGTACACCAGCACGCTGCACATTGGCCCTCTGGACCAGCTTCCTGACGCCCTTCGTCGCCTGCGCGCCCAGCTTCTTCGTGTTCGGCGTAAGTTCACCTTCTGTTAGATGCACCGATAAGTAATCCACTATTACTTCTCCAAAATATCTGTATTCGCTTCTATTGAAATCATTTATTTATATTCCTGACGATTTTCCTGAATCTTACAGCGACTTACAAGATTGTTCACGAGACGTTGTCACTTTCGGTTGACCGAATTATTTACCAAAAATGCAAATTTTCTTTCAAAATTACATAAAAATGATCACGAAAGGCTGATAAAAGTACCAGATAAGAAGAATATACAAGGTGTCCTACCTAACGTGGGCACCTTAAATAATACACTTACTTTTGACTTTCCGAAAAATTATTTTACACATTTTTCCACTGATCCCTCTATCGTAATTGCTCTCTTATTGAAGTCTATTTCCTTAGATTTGTGAATTTTTTTTACTCAAGGTCAAATGAAGGTCACACTACTATAGATCATTGGATAACACAGTGGATTACTTACTGGTACACCTGACATTATACAATTTTCGACATCAACGAACCTATCCAAAAAGGTCCTAACCTCATAAAGCTTCCCCTTTATCCCCCTATTTACTATGCTCAATAATCTCACGTTAAAAAATTCGAAAACCTGTTTGCTCACGAGGAATAGAAAATATTCTGATGAACCACGATATCCAAATCTTGGTCATTGAGCTAAACAGATCGAACTCTTGATCGTTAGATAAGAAAGGAGACGCTGAATGAGAATGGGACCGTGGAAATTGCGTACGTCGTCGATGCGGATTGCTCTCAGCACAAGGACTTCTTCTACCAGCTGAATTTCTGGGTGTTGGGGGTGGTCGTGAAGCTTCTGCCCTGCGTCATTCTCACGGTGATCAGCTGCTGGCTGATAAAAGCCCTTTACAGGTAATATTCGAAGGGTAATTGTCACTCCTGAAATGGAACATAACTTAGAGTCTTGAGCATCTTGTCATCCTTAACGGGATCTTCATTTCCAACACTGATCTAGTGGCGATTATACTACGGTCCAGAAATATTCTCCACTTTGATGAAGAGTCTGTTATCATTCCACGCCATCGGACTCGAATTACAAGCGGACACAGTCAAGCATAAGTCACAGTACTTCCCTGAATAAGTTTAGTGGATCTAACGATCAACAGCCAAGGAACTATTATTAAATAGTTCAATCGCAGTAGCAAATGACACTCATGGAATATAGCAAAAGCTCTAATAGAATAACGTAACAATGTCTTCATTGACCCTGATCCAAAAAGAAATCAACAGGCTTCTTATTAATAAATACTAAAATTTAAAAAATCTAGTACAGACTCCTCTTGATTATCGTCTGGCTTGTTCTACACGATTACTGTCCAGGCGTTGTCCCCACCACTGGGGGTGAAACCTGACAAACAGGTGCTTTGTTGATCCTCGTAAATTCGTTTTTGAAGCAAAAAATAAATTTACGAGGGTCTGAAGCATTTCTCCCTATATGATTATTGTCCCGACACGGACCCAAATCGGGACAATAGTCGAGAGGAGTCTGTGGTCGGCTACAGGTCAATAAAGTGTTAACATTGCCCGACGATGTTCCAGGGCGAAGGGCCGGAAGCAAGCGTTGAAGAGCTACAATCAGTTCACAAGCCCCACAGTCAACGGACTGATCCCACAACGGCCAAGCAAGTCGGACAAAAGGGCGGACAGAACGACGAACATGCTGGTCGCGGTGTTGCTTCTATTCTTGATCACAGAGATTCCCCAGGGTGTCCTTGGCCTTCTGTCCGGCGTCCTAGGGGACTGTTTCTTCCGTAACTGCTACCACAACTTCGGCGAGGTGATGGACATACTAGCGCTTCTGAACGGCGCCATCAACTTCATCCTGTACTGCTCCATGTCCAGGCAGTTTCGCACCACTTTCGGACAACTGTTCAAGCCCCGGATCATGAAGAAATGGCAACCTGCCACGCAACAAACCGACGTGCAGAGCACCTACGTATGATGCAGGCTGAAGGGTCTGGAGACCACGCGTCTTTAGAGGCATGGACCCTTTTAGAGGATGTTCGTACGCAGGACAGTTTGTTTCTATTTAACAGGGTTGTGAAGTGACACTAGCTGATGATCGCGTGGTGCCAAAGAATTATTGATGATCGATGAAACTAGCGTAATTGTCGATAGAAATGGATCCTGTGGCAATGCAATTTCACTGATTTCGTTTTTTACAAAAGTGAAGCTCATCGAGTATAGGACATCTAGTGAATTTTAGTAGAGATCATTGTAATTGCGAGGTGTCAACGGTATTGAAAACTAAATGTAGGAGGAATTAAGTGAACTGTTTGGTATTACACTGTTACCACAAGTAAATGGTATGTAAGAAGGGTTCGTGGAAGAGCCAATATTGTGTCTATGCAAATACTTTTGTAGCTCGTTCAAAGGACACCATCGCGTGTATTGTTCAGACATACAATGTATAGAAACACACAATTGTCAGGAACGCATAGAGCCAATTCGCGAGTACACGGAAGGCAGGAACAACGAAGATTACTTTCCAGGGGAAAATAAACAATAAAGTCCGCCATGGTATCGCCGGGGGCTAATAAACCGCAAGTTTGCGCTCCAAGGGAGACTTAGGATCGATTCGAATCCGTCTAAGTTTCCGGAGCTGTTGCTGCAAATGGCAGACACTGTGTACAGATGAAAGGGAGACTTGATCCTCGGTTAATCTTGCCTCCAACAGAAACACGAGGAAGCTTGGTGTTACATGCTAGAACTTCATCAAAGCTCACGCACGTGTAACCTAAAAGCATAGTACAGTTCTTTTTCTATTCGGATCTTCGAACGAAATTTTCGAATGAAAAACGACAGACCCTCCCATTAAATATATTGTACTACACAGAATTTGTAACGGAGAAATATTTGTCGAATTCTGCTTTTTGTTACATTATCGATGATATTTCTACACGATGACAGAAGTTCTGCGTGTTATAATATCGCGTAAATACGTATATCAGCGACCATAAGGAAAAACGTCGCACACACAATTAACAAAAAATTTTGTTCAGGCAGTAATCGAGCTGTAGAATATAGAATTTATGTATGTACATGTTTATCGGGAAAAGAATCATAAAAAACAATTCTATAATACATGTTCGAAAACATGGATACAATTTAACCGAAGTTCAATGTTCAATTCATACACGTTGGACAAAGCAACGTAATTCCACAATATTTAGAGAATACGACGATTATTCGTATAGTTTCTTTTGTGAGCGCTTTTTATATTTTTACTTTCATTAATCTGCTTATACTGCAATTTATTCTGTATAAAATGAAACGAAGAAAATTGTATTCAATATTTTCATTTTACAAAAAACAGCGCACACTATTACATACGAGTGATACATTAATATGGAACTTGTGCACAGAAGAATATTGTGCAAAGTGGAGGAAATATACATTTATAATTTATATCGTAAAAAGAAAACAATGAAATATTGTTAATAAGAATTGGTGTTCAGAAATTTAAAAGACAATTATCTCGAAAGTGAAAGCACGTGACGTGCGTCGTTTTTCCTAACAACCACAGATATATCGCGATAAATCGTTTCCGATGGATTCCGTCGTACCAAATTATTATTTATTACGCAAACATAAATCGTTCACGCGTCAACAATTTAGGATCTAACGGTTGACACATCGCGAGCGTTTAATGATATTTGCAACGCAAATTTCCAAGGAAATTACACCATCGGAAGTGGACAGGATAGGAAACGACAATCGACTGTTCGTGTCAGCCAGCGAATCCCACGTCGTAAATACACTTGACAACGAATAACGAAGAATTAGATGTAAACAAAAAAAAGAGAGGAAAGCAAGTATTACTCGGAACCCGTGTTAACACACTCAAATATAGATGCAATTAATCAATGTAGAGCCCGAGATCATGCGAAATAATAGGATATGTATCGAGCTAATTATGAAACAAGACGTCTGTAAATAGAAAACGAGCGTGACTGTGGTAATTAATATGACGTCGTTAATCTGTTATATTTTATATAACAAGCGAAAAACGCGATGGAGTTTCAGCGAATGAGCCCAGCTGAAGCTTTATCCGATACCTGTATGTAAGCGTTAACGACGAATTATTTACATATACATTACGAATAAATCTTTCCGTATTAACCGCCATCTTTTATCTAATTACTGACCCCCCTCCTGCTTCGTCGGACATAATAATCCGTTTTCGTTTTGCACAAAGTGTATTCTACTTTCCTAACCTATTTTATCATTTTTATGCACACTGCCCTTTGAACTGTACTTTGGATAATAACCTCTGAAATACACAGTAAGTGACAGCCAAAAGTACTTACCTCCAGCATAAATTATTCTTCCGAAGGAACACATTCCGACGAGTTTTATCCAGCCATCGATTTCCTCCGCGAAGTTATTTCAGCTGTCCCTTTTCCTCTTTAAATACCATCGGTTTTCGTTTTCATCGGTTCGTCGCTTCTTTATCGGGAATTCGCCACCTTGGAAAGACGACACCTTAAAAGTGAACGGGAACCTGAAAGGAAGGCAACGTTGAGAATGTTTGCAGGATTCGATCCTTGCCTCTTCAGTTTTCTTTGGCGAAAAATGTACCGTGAACGATCGAAGGTTAATGGAATTATGTACAGAGTGTCGATGATCGATGGTGAAAAGTCCATCATGTCCGTAGTCACGAACACCAGATCGTTCAAATGCCCATGAAAATCGGCCCAGATGGCGCTCCAGTTAACAGTCTGAAATTAATAGGAAACATAACCTTCAATTCTCTGGCTATTACGCGGAGAACCAATAATGTCGAGGGACCGAGGCATAATCAACGATCGTCCACGCGGTTATACAATTATGCAAACGATCGATTCGTTTGGCGTATGTATATTCATGAATATGCGGACCGCGACGTTCCATAAAAGCTGAAACGTTTTTAGATTCGTCGTGATATGACGAGTTTCTTTTCAAACACACACCGTGATTCAATCTCGTCCGACAAAACTATTTAAACACCCTGATCAAACGAACGTACTTTTTTTTGTGGCCGTTTAATGCTAATTACTTCGATACCAAATTCCTGAATCGATTATACGCACGACCTCTGATCGATTATTTCCTTCGGGCATTTTATATTAACTTCAAGCAATCTATGACTTTCAGATAATCGAATATACTATAAATCAATAAAATCCTGCAATCCATTTATTAATTTGAAGTAATAATCCTTCGACGTACCAGGGTATGTCCTCCGTATTTCCGATCTTTTAATGAGTGAACTATTTCATTTGATCGCCAGGTCAAGTACCTTCGAGCATCCGATTCTTTTAAAGCATTAAAGTGACGTCTCGCTAAATAAAAGGTAAGAAGAACTGTTATATCACGTATATAGATCATAATTAAAAGCAGGGTTACGTAATACCGATCGGAGCAAAGACCCCTTCGATTCTTTCTTTTGTATTCTTCGAAAACCTCAAAGACCTCCGTTTTTCCTCGACAAAGGAAGAATGCTGGAAGCTTCTAGCTGGACCGCGCGTTATGTTCCGGAACGGGCGAATAGTTTTCTCGCTTGGAACGCGGAACCGGAATTCCCGAGGGCCTCTACGCTTTTCCCGCCCACTGATTCGCGTAACTGTCGTCACACCCAGGACTGATATCCAAACCTCGTCGCATGCAAATCGCGGTTAAATATATTCGACGTTATTCCGGCTGGTTTCGACGACTCCGTTGGTTATTTGTGGGCCGCATATAGAGGGTGTCGTTAAATTACCAGTCTGAATTTCGTCGGTGCGCCCATTACGACCCCCATCCATGATGGAAAAATTACCACGTCCACGCGTTACCAGTAGATATCCCCCAAAAAATAGAAGTTATAGTTTTATATTCAGTACAGTGGTTCGTTAAATTTCATAAAAATTTGCAATCGAAATTCCATAGGCATAGGTCATAGACATTTGTTTCCCAAGTGTTAGGTTTTAGTACATATAGTAAAAAGAAAATATCCAAAAGGTTCCATTTCGTGGTAATTTAACGACAGAATATCCACGGATTGGAATTACAAGACTACGATACATGATCTGAAAATCCTTTAACCTATAATCCATCGGAATAAGATGAAAAAATAGAAATACCAACCAATTCCATTTCCCTCGGGTGGTTTGTTTTACGGTTTTTTGTTTTCCATGAAAATAATCCAACTGTTGTCCCGTGTGTGAAACGGAACCATGAATCGATAACGCGCATCCTCTGTTACGTTGAAAGACAATTTGAATTTCACCAATTTCACTGATCGTTTCACCTTCGCCGACGAGAGTGCATCGTTCTGCCGTCTCTCCTAATTAAGTTCCCTTGGAAACAGAGTGAAGCTACACAGGAACCGATGTACACTGTGTTTCGCGCCCTTTCTCCCTTTCAAGGGTTTTAAATTAATTATCCACGTTTCATCCGCCCGGATGAAGTTTAAACGATTCTGATCAGGCGTCCACCTACATAGTTTCGATCGGTGCTTGATGGACGAGTGCCACTTGTGCTCTGTAAACGAATGAAAAATACTAGAGATCTCGATACCAACGAGTGGATACTCTTAATGATAATCGATTAATATGGCAGTATGGCTTCTCTATCTGTGATCATATAAGAAATATTTTTTACATAATTTAAATGGTCTCAAGAAACGTATCGGATGGCGGCAAAAATTTGTTATTAGTATCATTTTCTAATGGTTTTTTCAAAGTTTTTTCATGGTATTGTAGCCGACATTATTATGCATTTATCAATGTATAATAATATGACCTTGAAATGACCTTGAACTCCACAAATTTTAAATTCACTTATATGTATAATTTTGTCTACCGTCCGATTTGTCTCTCGAAACCATTTAAATTACGTAAACAATATTTCTCGGAATCTAATCAGAAATCTAAAATGAAGTTTCTCGATTTCCAGGATACCTCAGAAAATCGAACTTTAAAATTGATTTAGTAACACGCACTCTTCGATGTCAGCTCCACTTACACTGTGTCTGTTACTGATCATTTCCATTCCTGTTAATGTTTATCAACACTGACAGTGACACGGTGTTTGTAACAATAATTTATGTAAAGTGATACGCTGAATGTGATAAATCAATGGAAAAACAGACCGTACCGTACAACCATCCGCGTTAATTACAAGCAAAAACGATCAGCAATAAACGATTCAGTCGCTCGTTTCGATGCAGACGTTTTTTCTTATAACATTGAAAGTCGATTTTCTCGCAGATATAAGGCCTCGAATAAAAAGAACTTGGATTTACGTTCTCGATGTATTTTTTTTCACGAGGAATCACGCGAAGCCCGTTTGAACCATCGTATCAATCGTGTCATCTGTCCGTGATCATCAGTCACGATCACACCCTGTATATAAAAACTAATCATAATGGGCGTGAGACTATATTTCACGTGGTCACCAGTGACGATTTCCGGTAACGATGAGACTTCTTCTTCACGCTCGACCAGACGTTCGAGCGGCGGACGCCTCGTCATCGGTTTCCGTGCGACCGAGCAAACGCGTCGGCGCGACGGAAATTCGCTGGGAAACTCGTTCAACGTCAATAAGATTCGACACGATCCGAGGGACTTTGAAAGCCCGATCCACAAGGGGGCAAAGGGGGTGTGTATTCGCTAGCCCAGTATTTCCTTCGTGTTTTAATATAAACTACATTTTTCGATCGTCGTCCCACCGTCTTTCCTATTTCCGTACATCTCTCTACAGAACAGCTCGCTGTATATCTATTCTAAACCCTCTATGAATAATATCTCGTTGGCCACGTGACGGTTTCAATAAAGTCTGACGCAGATTTTTCAGAGACACAACGTACACTACTACCGAGCAAAAGTACGAGACCAGAGTTCATGATTGATGGAACGTTAAACACATTATTTTCTAAGGATATAATACAAGTTACGGAATCGGTATATTACAAATCAGGTACGATCAGCGTTGGCGTTAGCACGTTACTTTTATCTAATCTTTTTGTAGAATAAGATTGTCATTTCGCTTTAATTATCAGACCTGGTCCCATACTTTTATCCAGTGATGCATATACAGATTGCAAAAGGGTTTCGTGAAATAAGACTCTAATCTCGGCTTGCATCGTTCGAAGAACGACTCGAGTTACAAGTTGCCCGGTACTTGTAATTAGAATTTAGAAAGGTCTTTAATAGAGCCACGTGGTAGATCGGGAGAGTGAACCGAAAGGACGACTAGTTGTTCGAGGCAATCTACCAAGAAACAGTTTAATTACTTCCTTAACGTACTCGTTCCGCGATCACGGTTCGTCGAGCGAGTATTATATGAACGAGAAATGGTTCGAGAGCGAAGTTTTGCGGGAACGAGACACCGACAGGTTAATTCACCGTTCCCCCTCCCTTCCCGTATCCAACGAGAATATCGAGGAAAAGAATCGAGGAAAGTAGCAACACACAGCGCGCCGAGTCGTCGATACTATTCTAGTGATCCTACGACCCACGTAAATCCTTGACACTTTCGGAAGTATCATACAACATCCGGTGGGAACGGTACGAATTTACGCGCGACGGTCATTCGGAGAAGAAAAAAAAAGAATACTTAAATGAGAAAACTAAGTCTCCTTGACACGTGGCGTGGTTCCGTACAGGCAGGAAAAGATGGAGGATCTTGGACAGACAATGCAGAGGATCCGTGGCGAACACCTGAAGGAAAAAGGAGAAGAAAGTTCTGAATAATCTGGAAATCGTCAAGTTCCCGGTAGGGACCGGTCTTTATAAAATGCTCGAGTCAATGTAGAAGTTGAAACGTTTAAATGACTTTTATTCATGTCTTTGAAGGTCCTCAAGATTCTTCGGTCCCATGGCCCCCGTAGAGTACATTTCAAACTTCGTCCTCGTGAAGGATTCTCGTCCCTTCGTTGCCGGACGGCTTCTCTTGTTGGAGTTTCGTCGACAGCTTCTTCGCCGTCTGCGTTATCTACGGAAATAAACGGACGGCGTATTAAATACTGTTGCAGTCTGGCTCGGGACGGAATGGATTTTAATTTTCATTGTCGTAACGGAACCGGTTTCAATTTTTAATTGTCGTAACGGAACGGATTCGAATTTTAAATTATTCAAACTAAGCAAAGCGGAATATTCTTATGCGTCGGTTCAGTTCCGTTCCGCTCCGTTCCAAGGTCAGCTTGAACGGGACAAAAGAAGGTTGTAACGGCCGTTAGGAGAGACTCGCCTGCTCGTCGACGTCGATCACAGCTGCGATGTCGTTTAGCGCCGTTAATAATTCCGCGGCGCCGTTCCCGTTGCCCAGCATGTCCAAAACGATCGCGTAATTAATCAGTATCAGGGGATCCTGGGGCGAAAAGGCGTGCGCCTTCTGCAACACCTTCTCCGCGCCCTCTGGATCGTCCAGCCGTTTCAAGGCAACTGTAGCACAACGATTATACTTCCTGTCGTTACACGAATCGGGGCCATCCGAGAGACGATAATAGAAGGGACCAGCAGCCTGGTAGTCGATAAGATTAGAATTTCCTATGCGACAATGACATAGTGGGCCGTTTGCTGCGGTTACGTCGCGTGCACACCGCACACACACACAACACCGTCCGGCTTCCTTCTCTTACAGAACCCAATGGGAACATACATATTGTGTTGTTGCGACGTTCACCGGACGAGGCTTACGGCGTCGGTAACAGAAGAAAAAGGGAACAGACATTGTGGACAAAAGGGCAAAAGTACAAAACCTTGTACGTTCATTGTTTTTGTCTTCAATAACAACATAGATCTGAAGACAGTATTCGAGTATCTACCCTTTAGTCTCTGTTGTAGGTACTTATCTGATAGTGCTATCTTTCTTGGTCATAATGGGGAATGGATGTACCGAGGAGATACCGAAGATACTATTGAAAACACGATAGCACGTGTTTTACTCCCCTACAGCCCCCACCATGGCAATATAGCTAGGGTCCACTATACCCTCACGAACAAACTCAGGTTCCGCTAGGAGAAACAGTGGCGCAGAGAAAGGGCCTCCTACCATGCTCCTACCACTTGGTATTGGGAATTACTGAAATTTATACCAAATTAACATTCGATGTAACATTTGTCTCAGTACTTAAAATACATTTACCAAATGATAGGAGGCCCTTATCCATACACTGCTTTTTCTCCTAGTTGAAGCCGAGTTTGCTCGTGGGTGGACGTATGACGGGATACTATAAAAAGTAGAATTGACCAGAACATAGTCAGCCTTACGTCCCAGCAGGAGATACGGCATATGGTTCTTCGATTCAGCGCTGATCGCGGCGCACAGGTAAACAGCAGCTGAGGCCGGCTGTCCAGTGGTTAACAGAACCATCCCCAGATTATAAGCAGGTAGGAAGGCCAATGGGTTCAGATAGTGAGCTCTCTTCAAACAGCTAATCGCCTGGAAGTAAATCGGGAACGCGTTAAGCCGATTTGCGCACGGCAATCGTCCCCCGGGCTCGACCCATTAAATTGGTGCCGGCGAGGGCCCGGTGAATCACGTGAAACAATCGTCTTATAAACACACCGCGATGTAGCAATTATCCGATCGATCGGACCGTCGGTGTTGATAATTCAGGGATCGGGCCACGAGATTCGATTACGCAAACGACACGAGGATCCCGTGGGGGGACGCCGGATCGATTCAACGGACGACGACGATGCTTGTGATAATAAAAATTAACTCGTCAGCGGTGAACCTAACGGTGTTAAGGTTCGTTTACACGTTCGAATAATTTGCGCAAACTGACTCGTGCATGAAAATTCGCGCCAATAAACCGACTCGTTATATTCCACTTCAGGCACATTTGCATATTCAAATAATTCGTGCAAACTGTCTTGTGCTTAACGCTACGTTTAAATGTGAATGTACAAGTCGTGTTGCACGAGTTATTCGACGGTGTAAACGGGCCTTACTACGCAAGTCAGTTTGCGCAAATTATACTGAACATGCAAGCTTCCGTTTAAACGCAACGATTTGTTCGTTCGTGTAAAAACACGTGTCAGAGTTTGCGCAAAATTATTCGAACGTGTAAACGGGCCTTTAGGGCGCGTGACCTCGCAAACGGCTCCCGTTTCTTTTTCCGATCTCGGCGTCCCGCCGACCTGACCGTCCTTTACGCCTCTTATCGACGACAAGGTAACCAACGCCGAGGTTTAAACCTTAATCCACTTAACGGCGGAGCCTCGGCCCCGCTAACAAGTTAACTACGTACCCGCGGAATAATGGGAGGCGGAGTGCGCGGGATTAAGAAACTTCCGAGCGCAATCGTTCCTCTGCATCTCGAACATGGATCGTGACGACCACTCGATATTTAAATACATATACACTTTTCCACATTCACGTATTAAAAATTTATTAAAAGAACCATGATACCCTTTTCTAAAATTGTATCCAACCAACTCTGAATTACTTTTTTCCTTGAACTGTCTCTAATCAACTCTGAAGCATTATACTGATCGGAGTTAGTTAGAGACAGTTCAAGGAAAAAAGTAATTCAGAGTTGGTCAGGGACAGTTGCCATTCAATACTTAAAATAACTGGTATGTGTTGCAAATTTATTTGCTAATATCTTTTCAATCAAAAAATGCGCGACAGCTAAAACTTTTTGAGGGTTACTCAAAAGGAATGTCCTTTACAATATATGTCAAGGTCAAGGTTATCACTGCATCCCCTAAATGTAACTTCTACTGTATTTTTCCATGACCTACACGATGCAATAGGAAACATCTTCAACGGCCCACGAATGAGCGAAAATGCTCGTCGATCATCCTTAATAATCCGTGATTGACCGTTATCCACGGCTTTACTACGGATTCGTTATTCCCTGCGTCATTCGCGGCTCTTTATGTAATATTAATGTAAATGGGAAATGCAGTGACTACCTGAATTATTGACACTACGCTCGATACGATTCGCTTAATCCAGTCCGTTTTCTGGTCTGAACAACGATCAACCGTGTTACCAGCGATACATAATACATCAAGGAGATCATTTAATGTTTCCAGTAGTAAATCCTCTCGGTTCCTTTTTTATGTAATTAGCTATTCCCGATCAAGGACATTCTTGTATACTCAACAATAATACAATATTAACATAAATGCCCCTATGAAAAAGGTTAGTCATCCACCTACATTCACACATTTACTACGCAGCTCTAGATTTGATCATACCGATATCATCACCAGACTATCAAATTTAGCTAATAAATTCTCTAACAATTTATAAAAACAAGAGGGCCAACCCGTGTATAAATAAATAAATACCGTGTATGTAAGTTCCACTATCGATGAAGATTATTAATCCTCGTCCAACCGAGCAGGGTCACTTTTGACCCCACCTTCTTATCTAATGATACAAGCGTTCCTAAACAATATTTAGTATCTAAACTTCGATATGGGTCAAAGTGACCCGGATCGGCCTGTTTTTGGTTAGCAATTCAAGTTTGAACAAAATTTTATTTTCGAATAAATCGAAATAGAGTGAACAACTGTACAGCACAAGAGAGCCAAGTTCTTTGGAGGAGGGAGTGTATTGCACTTCTCATTAGGATATACCCGGGCAAGTAATTTACATTCACCGCTTCTCTCAGTTGCCACGGCTGCACATTGTAGCTGGATATACAACTGCACACGCCTCTGTCTCATCCCCTAATTGAGTTCCGGCGGTACGCAAGTGTGTCCCGGCCGTCATTCCGCGAGCGAGTAGCGCGCGTGTACAGTCGCCCCACCCCCCGTTTAATGGCCTTTAAATTAATTGTCATCGTTAAATCCGGTAGAATGTTCTCGTCGTTGGATAAAGTCCACCGCTGATTCGTCCGATTTGCTAGCTCATCGGAGGAAAGAACAACCGCTTCGAACGATTATAGTTTGCTCTTATGTGGCCGTGACACACAGAATCGACTAGGGATGAACCAATCCAAGTAAATACAAGTAAATAATCAGATACTTTCGTTTCGATACCGGGTATTTTTAGTACTCTTAAGTACTTTTTACTTTAGTACTTTTAAGTACTCGTATCGAATGGAGTAATCGATATGAAAGCTAACCAATTTGAAGGTGGTTATCGTCCAGTTATATTACTTTGATAATAAATGTTCATTAATGAAATATACCTTCGCTAACATCGAAGATGGGCAAATTCATTATCTGGATAAAGAGTTTCGAATAAAAGACAAAAAAGTACAATGTCGTTTTCAATCGTTTAAACGTGGAAATTCCAATTTTTATAATGAAATAATAATTCTTCCTGAATGAGTCGATATGTGGCAAAGAATTATTTAATCTCGTTGACTGTTTAAAAATTGAAATGATAAATTAATTTCAACGGTACAACGAAGAATTTATCGAGATCATTGACCACATTCTCCGATTCTCGATTTCTTCATAAACCGAAGAATGCGCAGTCTCGCAGTCGCCTCGGCCACTTTTTATGTTTCCCCCAAAGAATTCAAATATCTAGTTCATAGCCCCCTAGTGGACTTCCGTGAGTAAAGGTAGCTCGTAAAATCGAAAACGAATGGCATGCACCTAACAGTCCACGTAGAGACCATCACACGTCTCCGTGTACTTACAGCGACGAACTTCTGTTTTCCGTAAAAGCACATTCCGACGTTGTTCCACAACGCGTGAGATTCCGGGATCGATTGGGCGGCGAGCTTGTACTTGGACAACGCCACATCGTACTCCTGATGATTCTGAAAACACGAAAACGATGAATATTTACGAACATACGTCGAGACAGAGAGAATTCTGGGTTTCATGAGACCCTCCCATCTGTCGGGGCTAATACCTCTAATTAAATTCTTAAGGAACATTACGGGGATGACGTGCATAGTTTAAACCGAAACGTGTGCGTTATCTCGTAGCCAGTCGCGGTTCACGAGGCGGTTGTGTTTATCGAAAGGAAAAATTTAATCTTTAAAGGAGCCATCTTTAAGGGTGAAACGTTCGTTCGTCGGAAACTATATTGTGCATCTTAAACTATTTCAGATAATATTATAGATACGAATTATATACTTTATTCCAATACACCTTGCAATAATATCAATGAATGCAATAAATCAGAAAGGTTTAAGACTTATTGAACAACCCAATATTAAAAAAAAAAGTCTTCGACACTACATACGAATATTGACGTAATATTATGCACCTCCGAATACTAGCGATTCGTTCTTTCCAAAGATTTATTTTCCGTGTTAACTCGGTTGAATGCCTTCGATAACATTGGCATTCCGCGATCGTAGTGCAGCATCGATTTTATCGAGCCTATTAAGGGCAGCCACCGTAGGCCAAATTTCGATGTAAAGGACCATCCGAAAACAACGCACATTGCTACACTGCACCTCTAATCGAAAATTGTTTCGTTGATTTTTAAATAATTTAACAGATAGAGACCCATAAATTTTCACCGATTTTTTCGGAAAAATACAAAAATTTCTATCTCCGCAATTATTATAGATACGCACCTGATTTCTTTTAATGTTAATCGTAAAGGATCGTTTTTCTTAACTAATTTTTTGGACACGAAACCAATTTGTCTACCCTTTGAACGTCATCTCGTGCCTGGCATACCTCGATCAACCCGTGATGCTCACCTGGATCACGTAAGCAATCGGCAGAATCGCCTCGGTGCAATTCGGGGAATGAGCAAGCGCGGTTCCGAATTGCTGAAACGCCCGTTGAACGTCCCCGATTTTAAGGTAGAGCAGCCCCAATTCGGTCGCGGCTTCGACACACTCGGGATTCACGCTAAAAAAACAGAAAAAATGTTGCAGATGAGAAAACTACGAGAACGTGGGTTTCCACCGTGAATTATTCGGAATTTCACGGAAACGAGACATCCTTGACGTTTGGATAAACCGAGAGCTCGATTATTCGAATTACGTAATCAGAACTTTTTTTGGGGAAACTTTCTCTCATGGAATTTCGAAATGTTCGAACGTGAAATTTTTAACGGAAACTGTAGATCGAACTACTCCCCTTGATAATTTCTTTTTGGTATACACTCCCGGTCACAAGTATTAGGACACTTCTCGAATATGTAATAAATGTTACAACGCATTACGAAATTGCTTGAACGTCCGAAAGGAATATTTTTAGGGGATATTAAAGCTCAATTGATCATTCTTATGAAGTAATAAAAGTGGCGAAAAATGTGTATAAGTTTTGTTACAGAACATTACAATTGATTCATACGAAGCTGTTGTAATACTTATGAGCGGTAGTGTACACGGACTGCTGTAGTACGAGGACAATCGATTAGTTTCAGAATGGACAATGGCTACTTTGAGTGCCCCTTCAGGAAATGGAGAAATTAAGGTCAGGTACAGCGAGAGGGAAAAAGTATTCGTACACCGGAGTACTAATTATCACTTGACAATATTGCCTTCAGTATACTACTAAGTTAAAAATTATTTTCTGCGGATTATTCCATAATAATCTAGTTTTCTGTCAATCACCATAGTCATATAGATAAAGTTATGAACTCAATGTTACACTGAAAACAGTATTATTAATCATTAGTATGTGTCACCACTGTATGAATACTTTTTTCTGCCACTGTATGTGACAAACAGTGAGTCATTACATACAGTAATAATTAATTACCAATGACATTTAGTTCATTAGTATTAGCTAACTCCTTACTCTCCCAGCAAGAACTGAATTATACAGAGAAAGTAGTCCAAATACAGTCTAGGGTCTAATCTAATGTTAGGTGTTTCACCATAGCGGGAATAGTATGAAACTACAACTAAAAAACAAAAGAAGCTTATTTTAACTCCATACCACAAAACAAACGCGTTTTAAATACACCAAAGTGATACATATCTTAAAAAATCTTCAACAGATTTGGCAATAAGTCCAGAAGTAAAGGTGCTAGCCCGTATTTAGACCATCTCCTCTACTATTTTCAATAAAGGTATTCAAAGTGTAATGTGGAAACTTCAAGGAACTTCTTACAAACGGGCCCCTTTGCAGCCAATCGCATACGCCAGCAGTTATTCAAGAAGCTTGGAAACCGAGGTGGTAATCATCACCAAACTATGTCCTGGACGTTGTGTTCTGTTTGCTCCGCAGCTTTTTTCATCCGAGATCTATTATAGTCAGCCCGCGGCGAGATGGCAGAATATAATACGGCGGCTCGTAAACAAGAACATTCGAGCCGCGTGGAATTGAATCCGCGCGTGCAAGATGCTACGCGAGGTCAAGCGAGCGTTAATCGGGCGGAATACATTAAAAACGGAAACGCCTGGGCCTCTTCTATACCTGAGTGCTGCGGTGTACGCGTTCCGGGCCTCGGTAACTTGATCTTCTAGGAGATAGATTCTCGCCAGAGCGATGTACGGCAGTTCGGCTTTCGTTAGCTCGATCGATCTCTTCAGATGTCTCTTCGCCTCGTATAATTGGTTCAGCTTCGCGTAACACTCGCCTGAAGAAGAGGAAGAACGGAATTAGGTGAACCAGACTGTTATAGATTGAGTCTTGTTAAAGTACAGAATAGCCCCCGTTACTTATATAGTATTTCTATGGTAGACACGTACAGTGATTTTCGAAATAACGAATAGAAGATAAAAAAAAGTATTTCGCCGTTTTTAATTGTATTGAACGGTAGAAATTCCAATTTTTATAATGTTTCTTTTTGAACAAGTAGAATATTGATCTTAGATACTGATGATATTCAGTATAAGTTATTCGAATTAAATTGTGCCCAACGCTGTTTTCAAGTGACCACAAATAAGAAACTGGATATTCAAGCTCTTACATGTGACTAGAAAAAATCTTAATTTCAAATACGTGAAACATTGTGCTAGATTATTGTACATTCCCTTTTTTTTTAATAAGCCGTGAATTTAACGTAAGTAACCGGACGATTTTATGCACTTGTAGCTAATGTAGAAATTTTAATGAATATGCAGTGTCCAATTGCAAGTTGATGGTTAACTGTGTTTATTGAACCATCATGTACGTTTTCACTTAATTAATATATTTGCCTAGATTCAGATAGAGTTCCCAATCAGGTACATTGGATATCTTCTCGGCCTCCAAGTAGGCGTCGATCGCACGCTTATGGCTGCCCATTATCAGACTGTTAAAGAGCAATAAATTAATAACATTTAACAAGTTAACGAATTCGTATGGTCTTTAAATTTTAAATAGCATTCTGAATGATATCTACAGTAAATCCTCGATGAGTGTTCGAAGACTCCTCGGCACTGAACATTAATTACTTCATAAACTAATGGCCATATTCGGCTGAAACAAATATCATTGACTTTAGAATTCCAAGCTCTATCACTGTGCCAAACCTTGTTAAAAAATCAGCCTCACAGCTGGAGACTTCTCGTTGTTAGTGCAGAGGATACTTCGAACATTCATCGAGGATTTACTGTATATGATTTCAACGAGACTATACGATACACGGATTACATTCGTGACACAGCCCGGCTGCAAAAGAATGGCATCATGTGTGTGTGTGTATGTAAACAATCCAATTAGATGGAGTACCGGTTCCGCACGTGTCTGAATCCAATTTAATTTTCGTAACGCGCCGTTGAAATCGAATTTTCCTTTACTTACAGCGACTTGGCAATCTGCTTCACGTTATTAACGTTCGTCGAGTTCACGTTATACGCTGCCTGAAAACAGTTCAACGAATCTTGCACTTTGCCCTCTCGCCTGAGAATCAAACCCTGGTGGTAACAAGACGTAATATATCGTTATAATCGATAGAAAGATTTTATAATTCATCTCGAATGATTCTCTTACTTTCAAATAGTTCGCGTATTCATTGTGCCCCTTCGAACTCGACAATTCCTGGTCGATCAGAATTTTACAGGTTTTGTACTCATGCCGCGTGTAATGACGATGCAGCAACCAATTGTTGCTCTCTATCGCTGGAACTTCCGGCGCTGATTCGACAATAAAATTGTTAGTGTTGTTATTGTCACGGTTACTTACTAATATAAATTAAATGTTAATTTAAATTTAATTAATATAATATCATACTAATTTCATGATACAAGAAATAATTGATTTTCAACTATGTAGTTTACGATATTTGAATTGAAAACGCAACCGGAAGTGAAGGGATTAAATGGCAGCAACTTGATTTTAGATTGAAATTTCAATACGATGCCGCGGTGTCACCGTCGAATTACCAAAAATGATGTCAACGTAGTCAACGTACGAAACTCTTATCTTTTATCAGCCGCAAATACAATTCCATTTTTAATCCGGTACTGTCAATACTATTTCAAGTGTGTACGTACGTACGTGCACGTACACACGCGCGCGCGACCGTTTGGCGCAAAATGAGCTAAAGAAAAAACACCTTTCTTCCCTTTGTCGCTTCTCAGCCGTTGCGAAACCGTCGTTTGTTGCTGAATCCGACCATTGCTAAGGATATTATTGGCCATTCTTAGAACTCGTAGACAACGTCACGGAACACCTTTCGAACTAATTACATCGTGAAGAAGCTATCGCTGGGACCACTTGCGGTATGTTGCTGTTGTTGTTTCTCATGACAACCGTTCCTTTAAGCTTCTTTCGCAACGTCGGAAAGGGGGTTTTCCAATAAACGGTGCAATACAAATTATCGTTCAGACTTATCGAATCCACTTGCTAGCCAGCCAAGCAAAAGACCATACAAAATAAGTATTGTAATGTTCTCGTAACATTTGTTCCGGCATGTCTGGAATAAAGAAAGTGACAACGTTTGTGTCAGATGTCACTTTGCAACTGTGCTCTAAGGACGTTTATCTTGTTAATTGGATTACCTTATGACGAAATCGGGGGAAAACGAATTGCTATAAGGGAAACCGGTGGTTGATTCAAAGTCAGCTGCACAAGACAAGGTGCCCTGGAGTGCCCTGTAAAAAGACACGTAGCGCCATCGGGGTGATAACAAAAACTACAAACCGTCATCAGCGCATCAACATGGTTACGGGTAGTTGTTCCGACGCGATAACAAGGCGATTACGGTAAAGGATTGTAACATTTATATTATAAAGAAAGTCGGGTTACAAGCAAGGAATTTGAAGATCGAGTGGTTAAACCGAACACCGGCGAGTAAACACTGTTGATCCGAGTGTGGTTGATCAAGGGTCACACGCTGCTCGTGGTTCCGTGGTAGCAAGATGTAGGAATACTGCATAGATTAGTTGCCCAGTGCTGCAAAAAATTGAGGGTTGTTGATAATTGTGAGTCGATTCTCTGTTGAATCCTTCGTAGAACATTGTGTTTAAAAACTGTTGGTCGCTCTTGGTGTAATTTTTTATAGGTTATTTTACGTACGATCACAGTCTCACATTTTGCCGCTTGTCCACCTGTTATCAGTCACAAAGACCAACAAATGATTTTTTAAATAGATGTACGTGCTTGTAATTGTTATGCCATGTTATATTCAGCACCGCCAGACATGAACTTGTAGCTAAAAAGAGAATATTAAAGTAGTGGGAACCTTGAACATTGTTTTTTCGTCCACCGTTTCAAACCTTGCTTCCTATCTCCATGCGTTCTGTTTCCTTCTTAACATGTTCTCCAGTAATTTATGTGACAATTTGTGCAACGTATATTGCATTTCCTTCTTTCTTGCAGTGCATTCTTGCTGTTTAGTAAACATTGAAAATTATAGTGTGATATGTTTGAATTATATATTTGTTAGATAATTTATAATCATCCATTGTTAACTTCATCAAGTAATTGTAGCCTCCATTTCACTTTCATAATTTCATGTTCTATTATGAATTTCAATGTAAATTTTAATATTTATATTTTATTGAATAATATCTATGACTTAATGATTTTATTATTTATGTTTCAGCAGCCAAGTTTCTCATGATGTCTTAATGAAAAAAGGAAAAGTTTTGGATATATCATGAGCTGCTCTGTAGAATTACGACAGCGTAGACAACAGGGGATGGCGGAGGATCCTCACAAACTTGCAGCAATGATGAATAAATCTCAAAGACTTGTACTAGGACTTTTAGTGTTACTCTTAGTTGATATAATTTGGGTCTCTAGTTCTGAACTAACTAAAGTAAGATGTAATTTGAACATTAGTTTTAAAAGTATTATTTTAAGCTCTGATAAATCTATAACAACATATGGTTTACATTTCAGTACATTTATAGGGAATCAGCATTTGAAAAACCGTTTTTCAGCACTTATGTGAAAACATCAATGTTCACGCTTTATTTGCTGGGTTTGTGCTTTTGGCCTCCATGGCGGGATCAGTGTAATAAACCAGCAACATATATGGTAAGTTTAAATACAACTAACCTTTTCCAAGAAATTCTATCTGTATTTACTTTTTTACTTTATTTCTTAGTTCATAGATCCTAATGTTGAGGATGATAACTTTTATTCAGAAGCCAATACAAGTCTGGTAAGTAATTTCTTAGTAGTTATTGATATTGATAATAACCAGTAATACCATTTTACAGAGTGATCCAATGTTTGTACCAATAAAAACACCGGATCACTGTGATCGTTCCTCGGGTACAGAAAGTGATGATTCGTCAATACGTTCTGTCCGATTTAGTAAGTTAGCAGAAGTTAGACATATGTCCGAAACCGATGCCACGGAAGCGTTATTGGCAAGACTTAGTTACCAAGCTAGCTTAAGGGCTGGGGAGCATGTGAGGCGACAAGCCAATAAATTTTCTGTGCAAAAAGTTGCTAAGATTGCACTTATGTTTTGTTTACTTGTATGTAACAATTTAGCAACTTGCAATGACTAAACAAGCATTCTGCTAATGCCAACGTTTTCTATTGCAGTGGTTTATGGCGAACTATATGCATCAGATCTCATTAGTGAAAACTGAGGCAGGAGTTGTAACAGTACTGTCGTCAACTTCTAGTTTATTCACTTTATTTCTTGCTGCCTTTTTCCCAAGTAATGGAGGAGATAAATTTACATTGTCTAAACTAGTTGCTGTGTCAGTCAGCATTCTTGGGCTAGTATGTCAATTCTCATATTTCACTTCAACTTACAATTGATAAAGTATAATTAAATTATTTCTTGTTTCTCAATTTTTAGGTATTAGTAGGTCTTTCAGATTTAACTATAGAAACGAATAGGATACCTACAGGCATAATATTGGCGCTAGTCAGTGCATTTTTCTATGCTGCTTACATTGTATTTCTAACAAGGAAGGTAGACCACGAGGATAAGATGGATATACCAATGTTTTTTGGTTTTGTTGGACTTTTTAGCTTGACACTTTTATGGCCGTTGTTCTTTATTCTTCATTATGGTCATTGGGAAGAATTTGAATGGCCAGACACACATCAGTGGACATTTTTGATCATCAATGGTCTAATTGGTACAGTTCTAAGCGAAGTGCTTTGGCTATGGTGAGTTCGCGAAAATAGATTTTCATTTAAAGTATATGATATGTTTTTTTACTGATGCATTCATCCCATCATCTTGTTACTTATAGGGGTTGTTTTTTAACATCGTCCCTTATAGCAACTTTGGCAGTTAGTTTAGTTATGCCGATGTCCATGATAGCTGACGTGTTATTAAAGAAGGTCGAATATCCATGCATTTTCTACTTAGGAACCATTCCGATGCTTATAGCATTTCTGACTGTGTCTCTTCTATCCTACTATGATAATTGGGATCCAGTCATGGATTTAATTAAAAGAATTTACATTTGGATTTGTAGAAGGAACAGATCAACAAGGTATTAGACATTAAGAATACAAAGCTATACGTGAATTTTCATACAAGCGATATCATTGTAATACACTTTTGATATTTTACACTTCAGAATACCCGATCTCGAAGCAGAGCAAACCGAATCGCTCATAGGAATAAATAGCGGTGAGCATGAAGCTTAACTCGACAATAACTATGAAGAAACTATGTAATAAACGTCCTTTATGTATGTATATTTCTACATCTACCAACAAATGCTACACCAATGAGCATAAACTTTATCAATGTACTGTGTATATGTCTTCTTGATATGGATGTCTCTTTTGATGAGAAGATTCTGTATATATTTTAAATTGAACGATCTGTGGATATTTAATTACAAAACATTTTTCAGAAAGTTAGTGCAAGTAAATGTCATCAAATGGTAGACATCATTTCACTTTCTGTGATGCATACGTTATTGTGCTGATTTGCCATAAAAATCTAGACTTTATCTTTATGCAGAATATACTGCCAGACAATAATTGTGCATTGTTCGATATACATATTATTTGATGAAAAAAAAAAAGACATTAGTTCTTCAATTTTTGGTCGTGTATATCGAAATAACATCACGAACGCGCTGTGTTTCTTAGATGCGCGTGAAGAGTCAACTTTATTTGATTATTTCATTATGAAACATACACAATTAAGGCTATTAAGATTTGTATTTAGCTTTTGTATTCGTTATATATTTTCAAAAAATTATAGTATATGAGGTAAATAATGTTGCGATGTTCTATCCAAGATAGTTTGTAGAGCGTGATCAATTTGTTGAAAGCATTAAGTTTCCTTCAGTAACTCTATACTCTCAAATTACCACACATCGCTGAATAGTTTATCTTGTACGTTAAGCTGTCTTGAATTTACAGAAACATAGAAAACTGTCAGTACTATGTACAGTTTGGTTTTTCGGTATTTTTAGAAAAATAATCACTTAATATATTTGTATTTAAGAAAAGTCTGAGAAACAAAAAGATACTTATTTTACATGTTACGATCGCGTTGTAATTACTATTCTTATTGCTGTATTTTAAGTACTATTCCAGTAAATTACCAGTGCTCGAGAGTCCCTTAAAAAAAAGTATAAGAATCGTAATGGAGCTTAATTTATGTTTTTTGTTACATAGTCCCAGAGCAAGTAACGTTACGTGTATTATTATGTAAAAATATCTGTTAAATATTACGTACTTATTTGTGGTATTCAACGCGAAGTATGCTCCAAACTATAAGACAATGTCTATGACATATTTGTGCAATTTTAATTACATAAGACAGAAATAACGAAAAATATATTTAAATCTCGGACCAATTTAAAATTCAATAATATTGTCGAAAATGCTGATGAGAAAAAAGAATATTGAACATTGGTTGATATATTTTATGGCATACAACTTTTATATGAGTGATAACTTCATCATCTTTCTCAAATCTAGTCAAAATAATTGTACTGAAACATTCCATTGTTAAAGTAGTCTTTACACGCATCATAATATTTGTAATTGATATATTTATTCGTGATGAGACACGTAGACATACATGCGCGTGTGTACTTTATTACTTTGATTATATTGATTTGTTGATAAAATATTAACAGTTGCGTTTTAACTAACAATGCGCACAATATTCTTTGTTACATCAATATATAAGAAAAACATCTAAAAACAAATCTCGGACATATATTATATTTTGCACACATACCACATTCATACACACACAGAGTAAGACGTTACATTTCTTAAGTGAAAAAAAATTAATATAATATTTTGCAAATAAGATAATACAAAAAAAAACAACATAAATATAATAATGTTAGCTTTATATTGTGATATAATTATTATGGTGCGCAAATATACTTCAATTTAATGTAACATAAATCAAGCTATAAAATACTGATGTAGATCATAGTTTATTGTTCCTGCGTCTACTACAGTTGTATATTTATTGTACATACGATATTTTAAAATTTAAGATTATAATTATATACATATCATATAAATACACATGTTATTAATAAAAATGACTGATCGCATTAACACCTTAGCTCTTTTTGTACAGGAAACTATTCTAATTGCAAATAAAAATGAATTTGTTTGTTCCAATACAAGTTCTTTCCGGTTATGTGTATAATACAGAACATTTGACTTCAGGAAAACAAGTATAGTTCCACTTGAAGTGTAAACCTATTATTCTATAAAACATGAAATTAACGTTAAACCTGTACAATTTTTATATTTTTTGTACAATTAATAATTTCAACAATTGGTCTCTAAAATATTTGGACAAATGTACGGATAAAAGAAAGAATAGAAAGTTTCGAAATGTATGATTGCTTCAATATGGCATATCAAGATAAACGAAACGCACTTCAGTTAAACATAAAAAGTAACAATAAATTAATACGTTCTTGTTTAATAATAATAATATAATATGTAAATTGTGTGTAATCATTTTAGTAAACAGTGAAAACTTGTTCCCATATCCACAAAAATATAATGCAGGATCATTGCGGTATGGTTTGTTAAATGGAATATCTAATGCTTATGGAAGATCATCTTTATGCTTATGTTAAATAATTTTAGTGTACCAGCTGATCCATCGTGGCCAAAAATACCACAACGTAAATTAATTGATGATATTAGTGATGCTATTGAGCCTCCGTGTATAATCGCATTAACTGGATCACCTAAAAGAAGTCGTACTGTGGTCCAGACACCATTAAATCAGTAAGCGTTAATTCCACGTTTTCTAGACAACTTGAAGCACTCTGACAATAACATGAGTAATTTAAAATTTTAGATCTCCTAAATCTACAATAACCAGGGACAGTGCATATTCTTCATTTAATCACCAAAGATTGACTTCAAGTGTGCACACTTTAAAAAGACTTCCCGGTACCATCGATCCTAGATTCAAGAAGTATTTTCATTCCCTCTATACTTAAGTAAAAATACGATCAGTCTCAGAAACGGTTTGTATCTTTGTTAACAGAGTCAATAATGTTAAAAGAAATCAAGATCTAACAGAGAAGAAAACAGATCGGGGTGATGTTTCTATTTCTACAAAGCCTTTGCACAATGCAGAAATAATTAAAACAATACCAGAAAGGGAAACTAATATGTATATATTACTTTCATTAAAAAAATATATATTGCATCATTATCATTTACAATAATTTTTTTAATGTCTGTTGCAATTAATATTTTCATGCAGACATCGAATAAATACACCAAATGGAGAAATGTTTCACGAAACAAGAAAAATTAAGGAGTCAAATGTGAAAGCGGTAAGCAGAATATAGTGAGAAAACGTACGGTATAAATTTTAACACCATTATCGAATGAAACATTTTACTGATTTCAACTTGACAAGGGTTTATCATCGGTACAAACAAAGAATTCTGGAGGAAGTAAAAATATGAATGTAGAACAAGATTTAGAGCAAAGGAATTGTGCACGTAATTTAGAATCAACAGACGTACGTGAGATGTCGGAAGATATTAGCAAAAATGAAATTATGCAAAATGATAAATGTACGAAAAACATAAGCTGCAACGAAGAGTCAGAGTCAACAATGAACGATGCAAACATACAGGTGGATGTAACTTCCTTACCAATACAAGTATGTATCTTCATGTTATAAGTAAATTTTTATTAATAGCATAAAACATTAATAGTATAAGTCCCCTTATCGCTTTCATGTATTTAGGAAAATAATGGACAGTTGTTTTTCGTGTTAGACAAGAAACTACAACCGCAACCTTTAAACACAATACAACTTGATACAATCACATTACCTCAAGAGTATTTAAAGCAATGCTATAATGTTCAAGTTCCAGTTCTTACCTATCAGAATATACCAATGCCAATACCTGCTGTAAGAACAAATGTCGTACAACAGTGTTTGATTAATTCAGAACACCAAAACCAAAGTGAAACTACACCTTTGTTCAAAGAAGATGCAAAACACAGTGTACATATTTCTGATACACAGTCATTGACTCAAGACAAACAAGTAACATTCGACCGAACAGAAAATATGAATAAATCTCTCGTTAATGGTAATAATTATTTTCAAACATATTTCCAGATCTTTCATTTGTTCTTATTATCGTGTTGTTTTTAGATGCTGAAACCAAAGATATTAAAGAACCACAGATGTGCAACAGTAAAAAGCAAAATACAGTGAAAGCACAAAATATTATACCCAATGAAAATAAAGAAAACTTTTCAAAATCGAATAGTATTCACTCTGATTCGAATGTGCCAGAAAAGTTGGACAGATCAAAGATTCATCGAAAACAACAAGAATCTAGCGATTCTGAATACTATATTCCAAATACGATGAAAAAAAATGTACATAGCAGTATTCTTCAGCACACAAACGCGAAGAAAATTGTGTGCAATACAAGCGGAGGAGAGACAACAGATTCTGAGTTTATTCCACAAAAAAATGTTCAGAAAAAAGAATTTACTAATGTTAACAAGCCTGCAACAAAAAGTCACAAGAATAGTGCATTTAACTATGAACAACCGAATTTTTCATCAAAAGACAGAAAGGATTGTGTTCAAACAATACCTCAATCGAATAAAACTATTTCTGATGAAGATCAGCTATATCAGAAACGTAAAAGAGCTGTCTATGAAACAAAAGTAAGAAATAAATCCGAACAAAATTTACCTTGTTCCAGAAACGAGTGTTCAAAGAAGCTTTGCAGAAGTTCCGAACCACATATTACATTCAAACAACGGAAGGGACCAGGAAAATTTTCTAGAAAGGCGAGATCCTATTTTCAGAAGAATTCTCATTCAGCTTTAGTAGACTCTGACTACACTTTAATGTGGCCTAATTGCCAATATCATAAATACAGATGTAGTCAAACAAACATTCACAAACTTAATAGTCATAGAACGAAAAAGATTGGTCATCACTCCAATGCTAAATTATCCATCTATGAAAAGAATGCGAATACGCAAATCGAAAATAACGTGAACTGCATTGAAAAAAATTACTTACAAAATGAACAGAACATTACTTCATGCCAAAACGGTATGACGAATATGTCAAAAACATGCTTGCAGAATAATAAATGTAAGTGCGATATTTCTCCAAGATCAAATACAAATGATATGATTGAAAGTACAAAAGGCATCCCTCCTAAAACTCAGGAACTACTGAATAAAAGTTATTGGGAATATTACAATAAATTAAAACATAAAATAAAAAATACTGGCAACATGGAGCAACAATACTTCTATCAACTAGCAAGAGATAAATCAGAAACTATAAAAGGAAAGGCAGATGAAGTATGTGATAAGGACTATCATAATCAATTAAACTTAAATCCTGAACTACATACCCTACAACAATGTTCAGCACTATCCAGCATGATTAATAAAGCATTGTAAGTCACATGGAAATTCGATTATGTTCGGAAAAAAACTTGCATTATTATTATTATTATATTATTTTACAGAGACTCAAATCTTCAATCGAATATTGTGCAGACAAGTCAGTTATATCTGAATGGAAATATTAAGTCATCGACAGATCCTATGGCTGATACACAAAGTGCTAATGCAAATAATGTGATGACAAACTGGACAGATGGTGAACCTATTCTTCATAAAATAAAATGTAAACGAGGTAGTGAAAATGACAAACAATATTTGGAACTTAAATCTATCAGTAAGTATACAATATCTATATACTCTTTATAATATACAGTTTATATATTGAGTTTTATCGTTTACAGTCTTCTTTGGTGGTATGATGTATATATTAATAATATTTTTGCCAATGTTGTATGACTACTTCTATCATGAGGTGTACGATGATTACGAGAATTTGACTTACCTGGAGTTGATAGTGGATTACGTTTTATCCTCATTTAAAGAAGCATTTGGCGGCGTCTTCAGTGGCGCAAAAAAAATTTTTTTCTATCCAGTAAGATTACAGACGAAGTTATAATAAGCGCGTTTCGAGCAAATCGCAATAATCATCTGAAAGTTTACATAATTTTGTATGATTTTTAGCCTGCATGTAAGAAATGCAACAATATTGCATAAATTAGCGCTGATCGCCGCATCATGTATGTACAAGCTTAAAAATATTTGAAAACGGTCTGTTCCTTATTCTATTAGTTGGTATTTGTTTTTTTGTGATGGACAAGTATTTTTATACCTGAGTCTTCATGTGTGTACTCGCATTTTTGTATAGATCTGTTTACAATTAAAAATTTCTTTAAAGATTCCTTCATCTTTAACCGTTACTAAACCCATCGTTAGTACATTATACTTCGTTACTTTCATACAAAATGAAACGTCTATTTGTAAATGAAATATCCGTAATATTCGTCAGAAATCGTTCAGCGACAATTCTTCGATTTATTGCCAGGGGTCTATGAAACTAACAATCAATTCTTGCAAGCTATCGAAGTGATTCCATAATTAATTTCTCATTCATCTAAAATTAATATTCTCCGTTTTCCTACTTCGATCTTGATTCAAAGGATTCAATTTGAATCTTTTTAAAGTAGGTACTTACGAGAATCAACAGCGTGCTCGTAGCCATCTAGCGATCTATCGGCACGTTACAAGCGATTACGATGCCACCAATAGACAAGAAATAGAAACACAATTTGCCCGCAGACTACAAAGGCACTGTGCGCACGTTGATTTCGGTCATTTCGCCTGGTGATTTCAATCGGGTGTCTACGGAGGACCTGTCATTCGAATATTGGTCCCAAAACAACGTGAGCAACGAGTCGTCTTACGCTGGTCGCATTATCAGTTACAATTAAATCGGATAATCTTTCGGGAACGAACGCGATACTAATTAACAACAATTAAACGATGGCAGACTATGTGATCGGTAACACAAAACCGGCAGATGTACCACTACCAGATGACGGACTTTCAGCAGCGCAATTGTTTTCGAACGGCGACGGTCTTACGTACAATGACTTCATTATTTTACCGGGTTATATTGATTTCACCGCCGACGAAGTAGAATTAGTGTCGCCGTTGACTAACAGGATCACCCTCAAGGCACCGCTCGTCTCATCTCCCATGGACACTGTTACAGAATCCGACATGGCTATTGCGATGGCCCTTTGCGGAGGAATCGGCATAATACACCATAATTGTACACCCGAGTATCAGGCCAACGAAGTGCACAAGGTACACTAATTTCGATTCAAATTGTTACTGTTTCTTCGGTAACAGCTGCGCAATACTTATGCGTTTGCGACGGCTATGTGAAACACTTCCTATGTAATTTCGTATTCATATGCGAATACAGGTTTCATCCCATCACCTTGTTACTTTTCCGCACTTTTTTCAGTTGAATAATAAGTGCATTGTCGCGTAATGGTAATTTCATTCAAACGTATATAACAGACGACAAACAACTCGCTTGTTGGTAAACAAATTTTCAGTGCAGGAATCTTTTGTATGCAAGAAACTCCTGTTATGTTTATTGGATCGGTTATTTTAATCTTGTTTAGGTTCGCGCCGCGTTTCTACATATACATATCGCTAGTGGGTACATAAGAATAAAACGTGTGTATATTAAAGCCACTTTGGGATTAACTAACATGTACAGTTTGTAAAAGAAATACGTTCTTGTGATTTTAGGTGAAAAAGTATAAACACGGATTTATTAGAGACCCAGTTGTCCTGTCACCTAATCACACAGTCAGTGATATATTGAATGTTAAAGCTGAGCATGGCTTCTGTGGTGTTCCCATCACAGACACAGGAAAAGTTGGGGGTAAATTGTTGGGCATTGTTACGTCCAGAGACATTGACTTCTTAGAGAGTTCACCTAATCAACAGTTAACAAAATTGGACACAATTATGACGAAATTAGATGATCTGATTACAGCAACTGCTGGTGTGACATTACAGGAAGCGAATGTAATTCTTGAAAAGTCCAAAAAAGGCAAACTTCCGATTGTCAATGAAAAGGGTGAGCTAGTGTCTCTGATGGCTAGAACAGATCTGAAAAAAAATCGTAGCTATCCAAATGCCAGCAAAGATGAGAATAAACAGTTGTTAGTTGGTGCAGCTATTGGTACCCGTAATACAGATAAGCAGAGATTACAACAACTCGCTGTAGCAGGTGTTGATGTGATTGTCCTGGATTCCTCTCAGGGCAATTCTAAATATCAAATTGACATGATACAATATATCAAGTCAAAGTACCCAGAATTACAAGTAATTGCTGGAAATGTTGTGACAACTTTGCAAGCTAAGAACCTTATAGAGGCTGGTGCTGATGCTCTGCGTGTTGGAATGGGCTCTGGCTCTATCTGCATCACTCAAGAAGTCATGGCTGTTGGAAGACCTCAAGCAACTGCTGTGTACAAAGTCTCAGAATATGCTAGAAGATTTGGTATACCTGTCATAGCTGATGGTGGCATTCAGTCCATTGGCCACATTATTAAAGGTCTAAGTTTAGGGGCTAGTACAGTTATGATGGGGTCTTTATTGGCTGGTACTTCAGAGGCACCGGGTGAATACTTCTTTAGTGATGGTGTGCGTCTTAAGAAATACAGAGGAATGGGTTCTTTGGAAGCCATGAATAGGAAGGATGCACACGGCTCTGCAATGGACAGATACTTCCACAATGAAATGGACAAACTGAAAGTAGCTCAAGGTGTTAGTGGTTCGATAGTAGACAAAGGAACTATTTTAAAATTCTTGCCTTACTTGCAATGTGGCATTAAACATGGATGCCAAGACATTGGAGCTAGATCTGTTTCTGGTTTAAGATCTATGATGTATAGTGGAGAGTTGAAATTCGAAAGAAGAACACATTCTGCTCAACAAGAAGGCAATGTTCACAGTCTTTTTTCATACGAAAAGAGACTGTTTTAATTAGGTAAATATTAAATAAGCAGCTTGCAAAAGGTACCTGCATTTAATTGCATATGATTTGTCAATTTCAATGAATTGTGTACTGATTTGCATAATGATACACAATTGATTACTGAAATCATGTCACACAAGATCTTATTCAACAGACAAGTGAAGTTCGTTTCACGATTGTTATACACAATGAGCATAATATTTAACTTCAATTTTAATTCTATATACAAATTGTTTTATGTGTATTTACAATAGTTCATTTGGAATACAAATATGTATTTTATACATATGCACGTCTAAAGAAAATTATGTGTAAATTAGTTTACAGAAAGAACAATATCTTCAGAAATGTGAAATTCTGTGAAAAAGATTTGTTACCCATTCCTGTAATGTTTTAAATGATTGACACATGTATGTACATATGTTATTATGTTGTCTTCTAGGTAGATTAATCAGTTTACAAATTGCATGATATATAACCACGACTGATTCCTGAAAGAAATTCTAACTGTATCTAAAGTATTTTCTTCTTGCTGCATTCACTGTACCTGATTTACATTATAAAAATGTACAGCAACTAAGATCCCTTTAAAATTACATTATAGTTGGTATTGAAATCTCAATGAAAGTCTCTGAAAAGTATAGAATAACTACTTCTGAATATTCATAATGTGGCAAGAGAAAAATATCTAAATGACTAGCATGTAAACAAGAATAGCAACTAAATGCCAAATTTTGGGATCATTAGAAGATAGAAAGTTTATTAGCATAATTACCCGTCAGCTGATTATTCATTCCTACTTACTAAGTAATAGAAGAAACAAAAAAAAATCAAATCACTAGACTTCTATGTTAATTTACCATGTATTTTAATGTAATTTATCAAAATATATTTTTATGGCCCTGGTTTAATATGAGCTATTTTTTCAAAATAACAGACTTAGGTCCAAGTATTTAAACTAAGTCAATTAATTTTGTAATTTTGGATATATCGATTAACTAAAAGTCTAATGTGACATTCTATTATCTCCAACTGTCAAATTTTATACAGGTGTTGTTATAATAAATTGTATATTTGAAATAAACCCCTAAATAATGTTAAAAGTATCCGATTCGTGTTATTACTATAATTGCGTTTCTTATATTCCATATATAAAATTACCTTGACCAAGGCGATAAGACAATTACCCAAACTCTATTACGTAGCTATTAAAGTTACATATTTTGTTTCAAATATCGCGCTCTTTTCAAACATAACCTGACAGTTGTTCGTCGATCGATCGAAAAATACAGAAATTGAGTGTAAAAAATACTTGAAACAATGGTTTTGTGCAACGTCCAATGTTTAGAGAGGATTTCAAATTATTTGGATGTATCGCCGGTGCAATTGGAAATGCACGAAAATGTAAATAACAAGTTTCTACAAAAATAAATCATGTTCTAAATAGATTTGTGGTTGATACGTGTCATTGTTTTGTAAACCTTTATTTTTTATAGGTAATTGTTAGTACGGAACGAACGTCTAATAAAACGATTGAAGGATTTAGTACTATAATTCAATCATTAATCAAGAATTCTAGATGCCCTGACATACTTGGCAATAGTAATGAAATAGAAGCTTTGTCGCGTCAATGGCTCGAATACGCAGTTGTCTGTGTCAATTACGCTGATACTCCAGCTAACGCAAAGAGGATTCTGCAGGTAATGTTGATCTGTCATTTATGTGGATTCTAAATTTCATGGATTCCAATTCCTGTAAATTATTTCTTATAAATCTGTACTTACATAGACAGTTTAGTAATTATATTGAAGGGCAGTAATTGTATAAAGTATGTGACATAGTCATCAAGTATGTTCAATTTTTATAGGAATTAAATACCGCTTTGAGGGACAACACTTACTTAACTGGAACAAGGAAAACCATAGCTGACATAACATTGTATTATGCCTTACATTCAATAATGGTAATACAAATGGACACTGTATAATAAGTGGGACATAGGAATCCTTAGTAGACTGTACGGATCAATCTAATCTCTTTGACCCGTTTTCTTTTTTGTTGCAGCAAGAGTTAAGTCACCAGGAGAAGGCTCAGTATGTTCATGTATCAAGGTGGTTTGATAACATGCAACAAGAAAAAGAATTAAGACAGCAATTAGACTTAATTTCTTTCGATTTGTTACATTTATTCTTATGAATTTAATAAATACAAGATAATGATTTACTGATTGTTACATATCCTAATTAAAGTGACTTAAGAATATTTAAAGCTTTCTAGTGATTACCTTTATACATTCAGAGATCGCTCAGACAAAACAAAATTTCCATATTAAATAACACGTTATTCAATTAATATTAACTATCTTACCGACAATGGACAAGTAACGATAGTCGATAATCGTCAAGGACTGTGTTCCCGTAGTTTCTCGTAGCCGTCGACGGATGACGCTAGACGGCCGCTAATGCCATAAAGAACCAAAGATGTCCGTCACGTATGATTCCAGTCCAAGATCCGTGATCCGTGTAGTCCTTGGGCCGCCGCGACTAGGATAGCGATTTTCCTCCCGTTATGAGAAATGTTTGAGTGGATTCCACGGTCGCCTGTGCGCGCAGTTCACAACGAAAAATGCGGGATTTTCACGGACACCGCATACTGTAACGCTTGCGCATTCAGAAAACTCGCGTATCCGAGGAATTCTAACCGTCGCCTAACAGTTTCGGTCTAATCACGCCAGATTCTTCGTCATTTTCCCATCGAAGTTCCATCGCTGTCACACGTCTCGAAGAAATTGCACAATACACAACGTCGAGATGGCTGATGACACGAGTGTACGCGTCGCTGTACGGTAAGTTCGGTGAACAAGGGAAAATGTTCGATCGGACGTTTCGAAGAGAAGACGCTTTTCCTATCGAGCGGACTGACATTGTCGCAAACTAAGCGTCTCGCGGGATGACAGCTCACGACGCTGATAATAATCTGTTAATAATAATCTAGGAATTCCCGCGGAATATCGTTCGAATTCAAAGCGCAACAGCTCGTCTTTTATCCATCATTGTATTCTTCCAGCGTAACCAATGTGACTTACATCCGTCTCTAGTATGTTTGTCCCGGTGTATCTTATCTGAGTCCGTACTGTTATTTTCTTCTTTTTCGGATCGGTGCACCGTTGTCGCGAGTTCGATCATTTTTATTGCGAAATGTATTGGCTCGTGTCACACTTTCACGATTTTAGAAAATTCTACAATCTATTCGTGTTTCGCAACGGTACCGGGGTTCTTGTAACGGTCGTAATTGAATAATTACCCGACTGCACGATTTTTTATTTCTACTAAATGATTCGTCAGACCGATGACGTGAACTAGTAATTTGGATTATTGAAATTGTATTGCTATCTGTTAAGTTAACTGCCCTAATTTATGTTTTCCTTTTTAGTGTTAATGAATCTTCATTTAATTTTGAATTTTCATTCGTTTCCTATATCGATTAATTTTGTCATTATAATGTCATTATAATGTCATCGAAACTTTTTGCTACGCAATACCGCGTTGCAAACTCAAATCACATACATAATATCTCCTTTTAGAGAGCCAGGTGCGTAGGCTTCATTACCGGTTGTATAATGCACGCATATCTCGATTCCCGATGAATGAATTTTCCACCTCTCATTGTATTCCCTTCCTTTTTACGTAATCTCGTAAGTTCTGTTTGTTTGTATTTTTTTTTTATACTTGTGTTATGTTTTCGGTTGTATAGTGTCGCGTGTTCTCTCGTTCACACCTTTCAGTCATTCCCGCGGGGTTTCCGTGAATGACACTCGATCACAGCTGATGCGCAAGGTGTGGACTGTAATGATATTCCCCCACGGAACAATGATACATTACGCTCTCATATAGCCGCATCGATCAATCATACTTTGCTTGTAATAAATTCGAAATAGTCAAATCATGCCCACACCAGATCCAAAGATGAAATATTTAAGTTAAAAATAACAAATAATATTTCAAATATTTATTTGTTTATATTTTACAAATAATAATTTTCAGTGATTATTCTCAGAATTATTCCGTGACAAAAATATTTCCGATTTATTTATGTATTTGATATATTATTCTATTTTAATTGCATATATTTCTTTATTTTTAATTGCAGAATAAGGCCTCAAGTAGCACGTGAAGTGATTGACATGTGTAGAATATGTACTCAAGTACCTCTAGGAGAACCCCAGGTCTTTCTTGGACCAGACAAAGCCTTCACGTATGATTATGTTTTTGATACTGGCATCGGGCAGTGCACAATTTATGACACATGTGTTGCACGGCTAGTAGAAGGCGCTTTAGACGGTTACAATGCAACTGTCCTTGCTTATGGTCAGACTGGTTCTGGCAAAACTTATACTATGGGAACTGGTTTCGATGTGGAAGTTGAAGAAACCATTGTTGGTATCATTCCTAGAGCAATTACACATCTTTTTGATGGAATAGCAGAGAAACAAAAGCATGCCAAGGAACGTGCACAAATGCCTCCAGAATTTAAGGTTTGTAGTACCAGTACTTTCTGGAATATTATGCTTATCTTGTAAGCATTATAAGTATGTATTACTTAATTCGTGTGTATGTTGCTATAGGTTACTGCACAATTTTTGGAACTATACAATGAAGACTTGAAAGACCTACTGGAACCAGGTGGACCAAGAGGTGGTGCTCGCATTCATGAAGATACTTCGGGCAACATTCATTTAGCTGGTGTAGAACCACGAATTGTAACCAGTCCGGAACAAGCGTTAGAATATTTACGATTAGGAGCATTATCACGCACAACTGGATCTACTCAAATGAATACTCAATCGTCAAGATCACACGCAATATTTACATTGTATGTAAGACAACAGAGATGCATCAGAGTCGAAGATCCGGACGCCGATGTGGATACAAGCGGAACGGAACCAGCAAATGAATTTGAGACTCTGACTGCGAAATTCCACTTTGTAGATTTAGCTGGTTCAGAAAGGTTAAAGAGAACTGGTGCTACAGGGGATAGAGCAAAAGAAGGAATATCTATAAATTGTGGATTGGTAAGCTTACTGAAATATTTAAATTTTGAAGTAGTAATCTGAATTTAAAAAATTGTTTTTTCTTACGTATTATAGTTGGCCCTGGGTAATGTGATTTCAGCACTCGGCGACAAAACAAAGAAAGCTTTACATGTACCATACAGAGATTCAAAGTTGACTAGGCTACTTCAAGATTCCCTTGGAGGTAATCCCAGTATTTAATGTGATGTTAATATAAACGTTACAATGATTAATAATAGCATGTTAAAAAGAAATTATACCTAATATCTCTAGGAAACAGTCAGACTGTCATGATAGCGTGTGTATCTCCGAGCGACCGAGATTTTATGGAAACTCTGAGTACTTTAAAGTATGCAAACAGAGCAAGAAATATAAAGAACAAAGTTACAATTAATCAGGATAAGAGTTCAAGGACAATAGCTTCTTTGCGAAGAGAAATTCAACAACTTCAGTTAGAGTTAATGGAATATAGGCAAGGTATATATATAAGATACAAAGTTTGAAAAAATATTATTTGTTGACTGTCGAACTGTACTCTGTTACTCATTTTGTCAGGTAAAAGAGTTGTCGGTGAAGATGGTGTAAATGATGCTTGGCACGAAAATCAGATGTTGAATAGCGAATTACAAAGTCTACGTACGAGAGTTAAAGCTCTTTCAGAAACGGTCGAAGCGTTAACTGCAAAGAATGTTCTCCTGCTGGCAGAAAAGGCTGCTGGTCAGTGGGTATCGTCGACAGGTGGAAATGGCGATGTAACGAGTCTAGTACAGGGATATGTTCAAGAGATAGAAGAACTAAGGGCACGTCTTTTGGAAGCAGAAGCTATGTATCAACAGTTAAAAAAACGACAGATGCAGGTACATTAGAGTACACAAGGTGTCCCATAACTGGCGGTACAAGCGAGCAGGGGGTGAGTCTACGTGAAAAACTGAATCGAAAATGTAGAATAAAACATACAGATGAATCTTCACACTCGATTTCCTCGAAAACGAAGTCTCAAAACAATGTTATTCCATATTTTCGACTTATTTTTTCACGTAAAATCACCCCCCATCTATTGGAATCTATAGATGTCGAGAATAAAGAATAATTTCTTAATAGGTTAATGCAGCAAATCCGTACGGTGATTCTGGATACGTATGTCAGAGTGATTCTACGTCAGTATTAAGCGACGCCAAAAAAGAGTTGCAGAAGGAGATTCAAACGTTAACTGCATTAAAAGAGCAGCAAGTGTACAGCGGCAACGTCGGCAACAAGACAGGAGAGGATACAGAAGGTGATGATGCAGAGGTTTGCCAGGATACAGCAAGCGAAGATGACACGGATGACGATTCTGATAGGAAAGGTAAAAAATGTATTATCAAAGAAAGGAATAAATGATGTTCCGTACGAACGTATTCCGTAATATGTGTAAAATATTTTGCAGAAGAAGACGAAGAGGAGGCAGCTATGGGTCGTGAGTTAGAGGCTTTAACGTCAAATATAGACATGAAACAGCGATTAATCCAGGAGCTGGAGCTCTCTCAACGACGGCTACAAACTATGAAACAACACTACGAGGATAAGCTGACGCAGTTACAGGCACGTATTAAGGACACTCAAGAAGAACGGGACAAAGTGTTGCATTCGTTGCAACAACAGCCAACGCCGCCCACGGAGAAAGTGAAGAAATTGCGCGACGAATACGAGAAGAAACTGTCCGCTATGCAAAAAGAAGTGCGACTGTTGCAGTCCGCGAAAAAGGAACACGCGAGGTTGCTCAAGAGTCAGTCGCAGAACGAGAATAGATTGAAGGGGCTACGAAACGAACTGGCCGAGATGAAGAGAGCTAAAGTGAAGCTTTTGAATAAGATGCGCGAGGAGGCTCAAAGGCACAAAGAAAATGAATTAAGGCGGAACAGGGAGATAGCTCAGTTGCGCAAGGAGAGCAGGAAAAATGCGAACATGATTCGAACGCTGGAAGCTGACAAAAGAATGAGAGAAGTAGTGCTCAGGCGTAAACAAGAGGAGGTCACGGCGTTGAGAAAACGTGACAGAGGTCTTAGTCAGAAAGTAGCAGGCAGAGCACCGCCTAAGCTGACCAATCCGAAGGCTTTGAAGCATAGGTGGCAGACGTTCGAGAGGACTATCGCTAAACAGGCGTTGGCTAAACAAGCGGCTGCAGAAACGGAGAGAGAGATGGAAAGACTGCTTCAGGAACGCGAGGATCTGGGCAGAGAGCTTGAGAAGCTTCAAAAGCACAGGAACGACATAACAAGTAGAAGAGGAGACACGGCCGACGTTGATGAAGAAATCGACAATGTAAAAAGTAAAATTAGTTATTTGCAGGTAAATATTCTTTCTTATATCGAGTAGTATGTTTCTGTTGTGGTCTTCAAGCTGTTCTCTGCAGGATAGCATTTCCGAATGCCAACGCGATATGGTGGAAATGGGCGATGGTGAAACGGAGGGCGAGCCCGGCGTCGAAGGTCTTGTATCAACGGTTCACACGGTGGACGAAGCTCAGTATTTACTGCAAAGAATGCTGGCGTTCACCGTGGAACAGAGCTGCGTGGCCGCGCAGAAGCAGCTTGAAGTACGGGACATGGAATCCCGACTGAATCAAGTTGCGCAGGAAAGCGATGTGCAACATCAGTTATTGGAACATGTACTGAGAGACCGAGATCTTCTGTCCCTTACGAATAGTCATCATAATAATACTTTGAATTACAGTCACAGTCCTCCGAGTTCGAGAAGCTCGTCGCCCGATAAGTAAGTCATCTAACATTGCTTCGTTAATGTGTGTGTTGTAAATTGTACGTTGTTAATATTTTCATTTTAATTCGAAATATCAGTGAAACTTATAGTCAAGTTATAATGGGAGAGGATAGACAACGTAATAACAAAGTAAGACGAAGAACCACGCAAACTCAAGAGCTTCTTTATGGCGTTCAAGCCAGTCCAGATAATTTAAAAACGGAGGATCAAACTCAAAATTATAATCATCCACTTACAAGGGTGCCTAGTGCGCCAGGCAGTTTGAAGTAAGTATAAATTCTTACAAAGCTAAAAGTGAAAGACTGTATGCAAGAACTAATGTGATATAATTAATATTAATGTTTTCCAGAGGGTTGGTATTAACGAGAAGTCAACATAGTAACATAACTGGTGGATCCCCGACCTTGAGTCGACGTGATAGCACATCACCAAGGCCACTGCGACGACCATTACATCCTGGTGGAGGCTCCATGTGAGTGACAATCCTGCAGCACATCTTTATTTTTGTATTCTTTACATATCTTTGTTTTGACGCTCTGTTCTACGCACTATTGGCCAAATTCTTTTCTTGAAGAAAGATGTGTATCATTCGAAACAAGTGCATTAATCGGTGCCTTCAACAAAGAAAAAAAATTTATAATTTTATGCCTTGAAATGTATCCAAAGGAAGACAGTGCAATATGAGAGAAGATCTCCTTTACAAATATTACCACACAAAGAAAATACTATTGGAAAATGGGGACATATTAAAAAGAGTTAACATATTTCTTTATTAATCAAGAAGGTCTTTATAATTTACGTAGGAAAAGTTTCGATCGTTAGGGGCTGTTTAGATTACTAACTTAATGGAATTGTTAAATTAGGAAAAAAAATAGCATTTTTATAAAAACTTGTTTAATGTTCCAAGTGCATTTCAATTTTTTTTAATTTTTGGGCAATTTGCTAATTACGATAACGCTACTTCACAATTATTACCACAGGTGTTTCAAGAAGTTATTCTAACATAGTACAATCTAATGTATTATACTTATATATATATATTTCTATGCCTTTGCAATATAAATATGTGTAAATGTTATAGAGCTTCGCAAGAAGGCTGATAAAATTTGTATATATGTAAGCAGTTATTTTGTATACATGTCAGTTAATAAATAAACGCACAAATATTCAACGTGCACTGTCCTGTGGCAACACTTTCGAAAAGACCCTTCAGTGGATCATTGGTTTGTTTTTTTTTTTGTATTAAAATTATTATACTACCTCATTGTAATAAACTATAATATACGTTTCTTATAATTAACTGTATCCGAAACTATATGTTGATTACTAAATCGTTTAATTTCTAAGAATATCAATGTTCAGTACTTTTCCGTATTAATATATTCGACAATTTAAACTGTTACAAACATTAATCCACACTTATAATTGAACAATGTGATTACTAATTATACCAATTTGTAACTCTGTATCTAAGTGCACTTGCATGGTCCGAAATTGTTATCTCTCGAATCCAACATAACTTAGCCCGGATTAGAATTGACAAGAACCCGGCTAACTAACACGCTAACATAACAAACCCTCAAACCAGGGAACAGGTAGCACATACAGATGTGTCATCGCCTCCTGGATCACCAACCACGTACCGTCGGTTCAACAGTAGGGAAGAAAATGTTTTCTCCAGGCTAACCGCAAGTAGGCAACCAGCATCGACAGACCCACCACCTATGAAGGGGATCATTTCTCAATATCAGGGAAAGGTAAACGGTGACAGAAGCCTAGAAGATTCCTTGAACGATAATAATTCCCTTTAAAACATTTCAGACACCTCCACGAGCCGTGTTGCAATGTTCATACGTGGCAGAAGGACATAGTAAAGCCGTTTTAACTATATGCGCGACCGCAGATCTACTATTCAGTGGCTCAAAAGGTATAGTATGCAAGGCAATTAGTATTAATTCTAATAAAAGATTATTCTTCACTCTTGTACGGGCAACCAAAATATTCACGGTTATTGAGCACTCGGAACACCCCTATTCTACCAGATCAGATAAACATAGACAATTTTATTTTGATACTTTTTTGAAACTCTTAGTTTTCCCTTCCTATAATATACCAAGTGCTGTTTTAAACAAGACTAAAAAATTGTGAAAGGAAATTTAAAAATGGGTACTCGGGTATCCGGTTGCCTACACAAGAATTAAGATAATTCTAATTGAATAAAAAGCAGACATTTCTAAACTTCAAGTTGTCTATCGAATACAATGCTTCCAGATCGAACGGTTAAAGTATGGGATTTAAGATCTGGAATTGAAAATCTGACCTTAACCGGTCATCCGAACAACGTTGTCGCAGTGAAGTACTCGCCAGTAAATAATCTGTTATTTAGCGTGTCTGCGGCTGTTGTAAAAGTCTGGGACTTAAGAGCAGGGAACAGTTGTGTGAAAACATTATTCTCATCTGGCCAGGCCCAAAGCGGTCAGATCGCGCTATCAACTCAGGTTCCTATGGGTGAAACAACTATCAACGATTTGGTGCTCAGTCTGGATGAACAGGAATTATTCGCTGCGGCCAGCGATAAAGTTAGAGTGTGGGATCTGAGGAAGTTAACGCATATTGGAAAATTAAGTACACCACATACGGCGGCAGTAATGTGTCTGGCTGTTGCGGATGATGGTAGAGTGATAGCTGGTAGTAAAGATCATCTGATATCCCTCGTTGAACCAAACACATCTGGACAATCGGTATGCCTGGCGCCACCACATTACGACGGTGTTCAGTGTTTAACCACCTGCGATTCAACACTATTTTCTGGTATCTTTCGCACACAGATTTGACTTTTAATTATATTAACTCTTTTACTCCCGACATAAAACATCCGTGTATTGTTAGAAATACCACGGGAGAAACAAATCGGCTCATGGGATTTTTTTTTTATATTAGACGGGGAAAATGCATTATCTACCATCAGAAGGCTCATGCCTTACAGTGTGAGGGATTTCTGATCTCGTGCAGTATAGCCGCTAAAAACCCTCCTCCATGTCAACTCCCAGCCCGATACCGGTTCATGGGATTAAAAGGGTTAAATGTAATGTTATTGAGAGAACAACTGTACAAGTGATGTATTTTTATGTTTCAGGCTCGAGAGACATGTGCATTAAACGATGGGATCTAGACAAGATGGAGCTAGTCCAGTCACTGAATAATGCACACAAAGATTGGATTTTAGGACTGTGTATGGTGAACAACGGATCTATTATGGTGTCGGGTTGTCGAGGAGGAGTTTTGAAAGCGTGGTCTGTACCAAAGGAACATGGCGGGGAATGTGCTCCAATTGGGGAAGTTCGGGCACATGGTTCTGCTATCAATGCTGTGATAACTAATCAACAGCATATTTTTACTGCGAGCAAGTACGTACATTTTCGTTACGTTATTATTTCCATTGAACTGATCCAAAGCATACTCACAGAGTTTAATTACAACGAAGTATTCGAATACTTTGTATTGAAGTGTGTGCTTGGGTTCAGGGACTGTAACTACTTACCTGGATGGAATAACATCTTGAATGTTGATTGCAGCTCTGGAGAGGTGAAGCTGTGGCGTATTCCCGATTCCTCATTGTCCATGTCTCTTTCCACAGTTTCCCTATAACTTATTTTTCTATATTGTTGCATAGTATTGTTTTGCATTTATAGGTTGTTACTGTGGTAATGCGCATGCTTGTCTAAACACACTTTGTCCTTTCTTAGAAAGTGTGTGGACTTGTCCGTCGTCAAGAAAACTTAATTATTCAACCGATGAATATTGAACACGCTAGTCAACATTATTTCTGCTATTTGTTATTCCGCTTCACTATCTAAATAACTTCTGCATATTCGATACATTCTTTTTTTTTTTAAATTTATTTCCATACTTATCTATTCTTGATTGATAGCTTACTTTCGGAATTACCCTTTGGCATAATGAGAAGACAATATCGGCCATTATTTAAATCATGCTTTAAATGTTACAAAACATGCATTTAGTAACCTTATTAAACTTCAAGAATAGTCGGAAATGTAACTTAAATATTTATATTAATAATTTACATCTTTTGTTGTCGCTTTTGTTTACCATTAACCATACTAAATTGGTATGTCTTACTAAGAACCAGCATCAGCTTAAAACTTCTATATTAACGTATTCGATCCCATTTAAATCACTTTCATTTCTGTCAAAGTTGTGTGTCAAGTATATGAAATACTGCTTTTTAAAACCTAAACTTGTCGATTTGTAGGATATTAATAGTGTGATTGCAGTTACGAGTGTATTGTATGTAAAAAGAGACTTATGTGTAATCGAATGAACTAGTAGGGGTAATATCTTCGCGATAACCATAAACTTCTAAGTCTATTGAACATAAGTTTAATTTAATTTTTTCATTACTTTGCTTCTATGTTGTTTACACTCCAATTTGGTGCTTTGCATGGTCACCGTGTCAACATGAAGTGACGGAACGGTGAGGCTGTGGAGCTACTATAAAAGAGACGCAAGAACTTTCCAGAGAAGCAACTCACTGAAAAGTTAATACATGTATCTAATGAAATATTGTATTTATTTCGTAACTATAATTTTCCTATTTATTTATTAATTTGTATTAATTTATGTCAAAATAGTAGATCAATAACTAGAACGCAAAAGTGATAATGCACCTGACTTATTGCTTGCTGGGCTATATTAGCCTTGGCATTTTTATGTTCCTGAACGTGAATGGGATTGTATTCTTGTATTTTAAAACGTTTCATAATTTATGTTTCGCGCGTCCACTGCGTTCTCACACATAAGCATCGGATAAGAATAGAATTTATAAGCCATGACTTTTAAACAATGAACGAGAAATCTTTTCTATATTACATGGTAATATTACGAGTCCAAAGATATAACGTTTAATAATAAAAGTTTAAGCAAAGATTAAGTGCATTATCGTGAGACGCCTAAATGTAGGATTTAAAACGAATTTACTTAATAAGAATAACTTTGGTATTATCTAGCATTTATTTTATTATGAACATGAAGGTGGTAATAATTATATTTACTCTTAGTACAAACAATAATTGTTGGTTAATACTGTACAGTCTGAGGTCTCTGTAGGTCCCAAATGCTTGATATTGTCAGGGTTGGCTGTTATTTAGTTTTCGTCTGAAAAAAAAATTTTAAAACAGTATTATGTCTAATTATGTTTATAATTACAAAAGAATAAATGGACTAGTAACAATATTAAGAATAGTATTATATACCTCTTCTTCTTTTTATGTGCCGTCAATGACTCTTGACCGCTGTCATCCGCGCTCTCATCTTCCGATTGACTACTGGTACTACTGCTCGAAGAGCTACTCGAGGAACCGCTCGAGGAATCACTGGCAACGCCTGTGTGTTCTTTTACGTCTATAGTTTCTGTTAGGACTGCCAATTCTGGTTCTTTATCCCTGAGTACTTTTACCCATTTTCGTGATAATTTTGGTCTTCCGCGTACCTACATGACGTACTTATTAAAATTTCGTTTTTAAAATTCAAAAATATATTTTATTCGACTCTTTGTTTATTTGTTGACAATTACCGTCTTATGCCAAACTACCGGAAAATTGGTACGAGAACAAAAGTTTTGCGTAACCGCAATAGTGTCATCGAGATTTAGAACAACATGCCACCAGCCACCAGGTACAAAAACAGTCTCTCCAGGATTCTGTAGAATCTCTATTGGCAAACAATCCTGTGGCCAAGTGGATAACTTTGTGCGAGGATAGATAATGGAAAACCACGTGATAGCTTCGTCTCTTTGTTTACCACCCTCGGCTGCTGACACCTTAAGAAGTTCTCTAGGAGTGTGAGTAGGAAAGAGACACCACCGTTTATGTCCTGAGATCAGTGCATTCCAGGCACTTGTCCCTAATGGATCTATGTGGATACCTGTACCTATAACCATATTTACTTGTATTTTAATGCAATTATTCAAAAGCATCAATAGCACTTATTGAAGTGTTTGGCTGAAATATCTGTCACTATGTAAATGTAATTACTACACTCACCAGACCTGGCAGGTCCCATAACGAACCAGCGATATGGCGGTCTCCTATGTTCACCAGCAAATTGGAAAAGATCATCACGGAAATATTTAGGAATAACATAATCTTCTAACAATTTCTTTCGCCTAGGGTGTTCACCAAAGGAACTATCAAAGATGTACAAAGGTGAATCATCTTCATTGTTAAGCATATAACGTACATAGTACTTCATCTTCATTTTAACACTATACCCCTCATTGTCTTCTCCACATTTAAACTTTTGATTCCTGTACTTCTTTATTAACCTCTGCAATTCATTAGACATTTATTGTACACAGATGTCTATAATGTATCTTGCATTTCAATAATATGAACTGAGCATTACTACTTATGAACCTCTATAGTCCACTTGTGTTGAGCTTTCCAGCCATTTTGAACACCTTGTATTATCACAGGCTTGTAGGGTTTCTCGTATTTCTCTATAAATTCTTCCGGAGACACTTTAGATTCCTCAATGCGATCCACATTGTCATTAACATTCCAAAAAGATTCAAATTTTTTATTGTAGCCATGTTGAATCCAAGCCGCTTTATCTCCGAGTTCTATAAGAATGGATGAACTTTGAAAATAAATCGATCACCTCATGAAATTCAGACAGAGATACTTATAAGAACACAAATATAAAAGCTATATAACATAAACATTAAAGGTTTCATTAGCATAACAAATTTTTTTTACTTATTACTGACATATGATAGAGAACGTTCGATCGTTATACAAAGATTGAAACGGTGAACTATTTACTTGTAAGCACGTCATGTTACATTGTTACACATATTGTTATCGTAATACTTTCAGTAAATTTGGAGTTACATCATCCAAGGTCGGCAAAGACAGTTCGGTCTTGTATCGCATTTTCCAAATTCAGTTTGTAACCACGAGCGTGTCACGAGAAGAGAAACGGTGTCTCAATTACTTCTAGTGATACTATCAATACAAAATAAAACGTGAAGTTACAGATTTTTTTTCGGTAAAATTCATCTTACGCCCATTATCACGTCAAACGTATAGGTTAGAAGATTAAGGTTATGACGTGTTTACCTGGTCTCGCTTTCCGTTTAACCTCTTTAATTCGTTTTTTCGCACGATGATCTAACTTTAGTTCGTCGGTCATGGCTACTTGTTTGTTCTGTTACCTAATTAACCTAATTTCGATGTATTTACAATTTACAAACGAGAAATATGCGCAACACGTCATTCAACGGTAACAGTACTTTTTTTTAGTTCGCATAAATCCCGTTTGGTGTATCAAAACATTGGCCAAGAACTTCATGTGTTAGTACAACATCCATCAGACTCTGTCTCTGTTGAATACCATATTGCACAGACACGTAGATCCCCTTATTTTGATTTCCTCTTACGAAATCTCATTGATTGCACTTCCGGTGTGGCCATGTACTTTTCCTCGTGATTATAGTAAACACAGCGGTCTTAGGTGGCTACGTAAAGTTCTATGTATCATCTGCAGAGGCGCTGACTATTGTACGCGACTGCCTACGTGACAAATACCATGTTCTGCCCGTAGGTCATCCTGTAGATCTAATTACGATTCTATATAGAAATATGGATATCGGAATATTCGTTTTCACATTAATATGTGTTTATATACAACGCACTAGTATACTTGAAGCAAATGGAATGTAAAGAATGAAATAAATGAATAGTGAACAGTCTACAAGACCGAGATTCTAATCTTCTTCCGTGTACACAATTTTTGTAATCTTTACCGCGTTATCAAGTGTCCTTAATCAAGCATCATTAGAAGATATTAAATATTATCATTCACAGTGCTCCTATTAATGAACTCAATGCATTCCAATACTTGTAAAAAGAATCGAGTAATCTATTAAGATATCCAACTGATATTGACACGATGTTCATTGTTTTTTACGTGTGCACATAATGTTTAATACATTTCATTACTCTATATCTGTTAATAGCTGCATAACTTGTTTCAATGTAACATAATGTAATTGTACGATTATTACAGTATCCAGTGAATCGTCAATAATTATATCGTACGAAGACTTTCTCATTAGAGGTGTATTGAGCGAAAATATCGGCGATAATACCAACAACGTAAGATTACGGAAACAATAATTCGTCCTGTAATTATCAGTGAATATTTATCACCGATACAGTAATATAAACCGTACAAGGTATCACCGCGTCAAGGTGATGAATCCACCGGTGGCAAGTATATCTAAAGTTGCCCGAACGTAACAAGAAAGTTGTATCCGCCGGTCGAAAGTTCAACGGTTCCCGAGACGCATGCGCGTTGCTCGCAAGTTGGCGCGGAACACCCGGATGTGCTGCCGCACAGGCACGATACGGTAGAAGGAAGAGGCATGACGCCATGTTTTGATGTCGTCATCCCCCCCCAACACCGTTGTTTCACCGTGAGCCAGGCACAATAGTCTCTGTCAGTGTTTTTTCTGTTGTCTGTGCGCCTCGTGTCCCGTGTGTTCCTGGTGGTCCGTTTTCGCGTGCCTCCTCTTCGTCGGGCACACAATCGGTCGTTGCTGGGTTTTATGCTTGGCCTCGCTGTCTGCGAGACGCACTCTCGATCCTCGTGGATTGACGGTCGCTGAAGGTGGCCCCCTTCGTCTCTTTTTCATGTCCGGGGAAGTGACCGCGGAGCGGGGGGGTCCGCGAGCGTCGTCGTCGTCTACGTGGTGGTAGTGTCCTGGTGCGCGGAGAGGAGTGGCGACGACGATTCTCCGGCAAACGGTTCTTCATCGAAACCGCGGTTACGTCACACGACCCTGAGACTGGGCTTGCGGAGGAAAACGGTTTGCTAGAGAAGTGGACAGCGGCGACGACGACGGGGACGAGGACGACGGCCCTGTTAAAATGGAGCTGCGCCTACATTCGCCAGCCGGAGCAGAACCGATTGTCTATCAATGGCCCCTCACCTCCGGATCGGGATCCGTGAGTATATTATTCCCCGTTTATCTATATACGGATACATAACATTGATATTCCGCCACGCGAATGCTCGCCGTCTATGACCCTATCGTTTATTATTCCTCATTCTCACAGCTGATCGTACGTTCATCGCGGGGACGCGATTTCTTCTTGCCGTCACAAGTCCGTCACGTTGTCACGTTTATTTCGATTCGAGATACGGAGATATTTTGGACATTCGTAGTCCCTCCGCTCTCCGTGATCGTAAATGTGTGTTAAAATTAATCGTACATTCTGCGTCTCGGTACACACACGCCTGTGTGTACATACACATACGTGAGAGAGATAGAGCAGCATCGGGTGGAGGGGAGAGGAGAGTATAGAACGTGCTTTTTAATGAGTAAATTATAAGTGGGATATTTTATTTTTAAGTTTAATTTAGTATCATTTGATGGAAATTGTTGTTTTATGCAATTCTCACGTCATATTGCGTCACATGATAGAACAGTTCATTTATACAGGGTGATCTAGTGGAAACAGGTCATAATATTTTTTTTTTTCGAGTCAATGTTATGAAAAAAAGTATGTTAACGGAAAATGGATAGTTGCAAGGGACAGAGATGAAACAATAGAATACTTTTTCTTGTTATGTTTTTTAATACTGTCAATGTGAACAGTATTATTTTTTAATGGAATGATATCCTTTTTTTCAGATGATTGTAAGACTAATACAATGACCGTAGATACATTGATAGTTTTTTTAATTATTCATAGTATACAAAGTGTCCTGGAAAAATCTGTTTGGGAAATTGTTGTACGTGTATTGAACTAGAGAAATGGACAGACTTAAGTAAATTTGTATTGTAGCAATAAATTTGGGTACAGTGATTTATGACAGTAAGAAATGTTAAGAAAGCAGAGGTACATTTTACATCATGTTGTAAATTCTTATTATTATAGCTGCCCTTCATTTAAAGTACCTTTCTATATGGAGAAATTCCTACAGAGTTTTTACTGCTTGTGCTGGAATATTTTGGCCATAAAGCAGCTTATATTAAAGAGACCTTACTTGCACAAAGACATATTTCCTGTATAAATATCATGTTCCATAGAAAAACATTTGCTGGATTCCAGTACATTCAATGTCTAAATAATTATTAATTATTAATTATTTATAGGATCGTCACGATGGTGCACTCGATGTTGTTGAAACAATGAGATGGGTGTGCGAGGATTTACCAGACTTGAAGTTGCCATTGGAGAACAACATTCTGTGCAATTATGACACCAGGGATTACGAGAGTATGAAAAATTTATGTGACAGATTCAATAGAGCAATCGATAGTTTAGTTCAATTGGTGAGTAAAGTGTTTTCAGTAACTAACTCGATAATGATTCCATACATTAACGAGCTGCCTATTCGTGTTAAAAAAACCTGAAACTAATTTAATGCAGGAAAAGGGTACTAGTTTACCATCGCAGAGGCTAAATAAACGACCTAGTCGCGGTTTGTTACGACACATACTTCAGCAAACTTACAATCAGGCTGTAGTAGAACCGGATAAGTTGAATCAGTATGAGCCCTTTTCACCAGAAGTGTACGGAGAAACTAGTTACGAACTTGTCTGTCAAATGATCGATCAGATCGAAATAACTGAGGACGATGTGTTTGTCGATTTGGGATCTGGCGTTGGACAAGTAGTTTTGCAAATGGCCGCAGCGACGTTATGTAAAATCTGTATCGGCGTGGAAAGAGCTGACGTACCATCGAGATATGCACAAGTATGTCATTCTTCTAATGCATTTCATACGCTGTAGTATTATTTCGTTACAATCATGTATACCCATAAGTCTCTTGTTTCTGTCAAACATTAGAGTATGGAAGTAAACTTTCGTAAATGGTTGAATTGGTACGGGAAAAGATGCGGCGAGTATCGTTTGGTAAAAGGCGATTTTTTAGCTGACGAACATCGTGAAAGCATCACCGGAGCAACAATAGTGTTTGTTAATAATTTTGCGTTCGGTCCGACGGTGGATCACCAACTGAAAGAACGATTCGCTGACTTACGAGATGGCGCACGTATAGTATCATCGAAATCATTTTGTCCCCTCAACTTTCGCATAACGGATCGAAATCTTAGTGGTAATATATACCTTTGTGTTTCCAAACGTAATAATGCTAACGAAATATTTAAGAAAATGCGCACGAATTGTAATTTGAGTGTTTGTCCCCCTGTAGATATTGGTACGATAATGCACGTCTCAGAAATGTCACCGTTAAAAGGTTCTGTCTCGTGGACTGGTAAACCAGTGTCTTACTATTTACACGTAATCGACCGTACCAAGTTAGAACGTTATTTCCACCGTTTGAAGAATAACAAACAAGGTGGCGATGAAAACTCTGATTCTGTGATAAACAACACTGCCAGCAGTAGTAATAAGGTTACAAGTAGAGGCGAGAGGGGCGACAGAGCTAAGCGAGACCTCTCGCGGCAGTTAGACAGCCCGAATCATTCGGAACAACAAGGGACAAATAGCGATTCAGACGTAGACGAGAGTAACATTAAGAGTCGTCGGCAACCGAATAAAATTCGTAGGAAATTGAATAGAAAAACGAATGGTATTACAAGACCGCCTGCTAGAGGCAGACAGAGGGGTAGAGGCGTGAAGAAGTCCAAGCCGAAGAAAGCGATTAATATTTCTGGCCTGGACTTGCTGCACAGCCAAACGTTACTTAGCACATCACCGCAGGCTCTCGGAAAAAAGCCACCGCCCGCGCCTGGTTGCGTGGATCAGCAGCTGTCTTCGTTGTCGCTCTCTTTGCAGTCACATTCCACCTCTGTGCACGAAGAACTCAGTATACCACCTGCTCCGTCCGCCACTCCTTATGCTTTACAAATACTTCTGGACTTGTTCAGGTACGTCTGTTCTTTTTAATGATGTATATACAGTGGCTCGCATGGAAAATCTCTCCTTATTCGCCATTCTGAAAGATGTTTATAATCAATATAGAAATATTCTTTACTTATTGTTATAAAATATGACTAGGAAATAAAAGGATTTATGGAATAAGAACGAAGGAACGATATTATAATGGTAGTATATACAGTAAAGATGGTCACACTAGAAGTCGTCCACCTGTTTTTATATGTAAATCTAATATTTTGTCGGGTGGCTTCTACTATTTTCTACAGCTTTTAATCTATATAGACATCGATGTTTATATATTACATTCTGTAAAGAAAATTAAAGAAAGAAAGGTCGTGGACGATTTTCAATGTTAGCCACGGTACTACCACCGCGTTTCATAATACGATATACAGTGTCGGAAATAATAAAACAGTATCGGTGCAGAGAGAACATTCATTAATGACCGTGTCGTTTACAGGGACCAATTTATGCTCATGTTAGAATCAATGAGAACACCTCAGTACAGAGTGTCGGTGAATACAGACATAGCAAAAGAGAGGGAGAGAAACTCGAAACTGCAATCGAGAGCCGCGCAGCTAGAGAAACAAATAAAAGTATTAATCGATGATAGTGTGGCTCTGTTGAAAGCTAGAATGACTGAGTTAGGTATAAATGCTACGTCGCCCGGCGACTTACTCGCTAAAGCCAAGGAGATAGTTCTTAGACATAAACAGTTGCAAGCCAAGGCGAGCAAATTACAGGCTCAGGTTGCATCCATGGAAACCGAACAATCGAGACTGACCGCGCTTAGACATCAGGAATTACAAGATAAATACAGCAGCTTGACAACTGCTAATGGTATGTCAAATCCACCGCAACCGCTCACGCAAGATTATATACTAAAGGAAATTTCGGCGACTTTATCTCAGCGTAAAAGATTACATTGTCAGGTAAGTATGATTCGCACTGACGAAATCGGATGACTAAAGCCACCGCAGTGTTTTAGATGTAAAATTGAGAAATTTCATAAATGTACAGGTATCCAAATTAGAGCACGAACTGAACGTGTTGGAAAGAGCAAGTAATGAAAAGCAAGCTGCCGCGATGGCCCAGCAACAGAGGGAAGCAGCGGGCGCGAAACACACGCAAAATCAGCACCATCATCAGCAACAGAACGGGAAAAGCGGATCGACGAGAAAGAGCCGAGAAGGACGGTCCAGATCGCAAGAGTGGCCTAATGTCCCAGACATCGGCAAAATACAAGAGAACAATCCGGAAATATTGGCCCAGAAAATTTTGGAAACGGGCAGACAAATAGAAGCTGGTCGAATGTTGAATCGACAGAACGCCAATGCAGGCAGCAATTCTAGAACCAGACTGCCACAAGCATCTCTTAGCTTTTCTACCACGTCGTCGTCAATTTCATCCTCGCAGCCGCAGGCAAGCAATAAAGAAACATCAAATAGGAATCAGGAGCCTCCCAGGGTTGCGAACTTCGAGGACAGGCTAAAGAGTATAATCACAAGTGTCTTGAACGAAGATCAACAAAATAGAAATAAGCAACAGCAAATGCAATTACAAAGTCAAACGGAGCCAGATAGAAAACGTATCGCTTTACCGCAGAATGTTTCTACGCCGGACTATACACAGGTAATTAAACCGGTGACAAGTTTTACTCGGCCGGTTCTTTTTCTGTGATCATTGTTTTTCTATCGTCATCAGAGAATCCCACGTCCTCGACGATTACGTTACGAATAAAAACATCGTTTATATTAATTGCATTGTAGGTTTCACCTGCAAAGTTAGCACTTCGCCGTCATCTCTCCCAAGAACGTCTTTCATCTCACTTAACACCATCCGATAGGCCAACTATTGACTCCAGGCAATCGAGTCATGACAATCGTATTGTAGCAGGGGGAAATGGATTGCTCGGGACCAGAACAATCGGCGATTTGGTCAGCGGGGAAATAGAGAGGACACTAGAGATATCCAATCAATCGATAATAAACGCAGCCGTTGATATGAGCGCGATAATAAGACCGGAAACAGTGTATTCCCCAATCAGCAGACCGGCAAGCGCAGAGGGCGATGCTGGTTTATCGACTCTCGCGCATGTAGCGAGTTACGCTCCGACATCTACCGCGGTTTCAACCTGTACGCCTACAGCTACGTCAAGATCGTCCGTATTGTTCACTCCAGTAACACAGGCGCAAAGGTACGAATCGTAGAGTTATGTATTATTCGAGTGTTAAACTAGGATTATTATTAAAAAGTTAAATTACAACTTCTTTTGTTTTCTGCAGATATACACCAGTTCAATTACCTCGGGCAGACATCAAACCATACCATGAATCATACTTCGCTGATAATCCTTCGCAGTCACTTCCACAAACCCATCCTCCGACATCTTTGCACTCGTCTCAGGCTGGCTCGAACGGTGAAGTTTTGCCGGTAGAAGGACTGGCGGCGTCATTACACGCTCGTATATTGAACAATCACACCGCCAAAACCGAATCGATGCTTTCTACAAGTCGAAGGTATTATAATTTCATTGATATCTTTTTTCCTTCATTGCGTCACCCCGTAATACTTGAACCAGTTTTTAACACGTAGAAAAGACTAGAGGGTTAAAATATAAAAGACCCTGGAGAATGTATAAGGATAGTTATACAGCAGAGTTGGGCAGAATTTTATTCGAATAATACACAGTGTACAGCAGCAGTATCTAAGGGTGTTCTGAGCTTTAAACAGTTAATGAGATTAAATAACTGGGCGATAAGTGTCGATAAAGAAATATTATTGTATTATAAAATTGGAAATTTCCACGTTTACACAATTAAAAATGGCGAAATACCTTTTTTTATCTTTTATTTGTTATTCGAAACTTTTTATCTACATAATGATTTAAATTATCTAAGTGACCCTAATACTTTAAAAACGGTATGTAACATGTGTTTCTTCTGTGATAGATTTCAACCGTACCCCAGATACGCAACCAGTAGTAACAGTAATGGCAGTACGACTACAAATGGCATTGTAACGGCCATTTGTCAATCACAGCCTTCGATGCCAGTGAAAACAGAGGCGGTCGTGTCGTCGATAAGCACAAGTGGGGCACCGTTAAGTCCTCTGGTAGAACCGCACTCGAACACATCCACGCCGCTAGTCGATGAACCTCAAATGACCACGCAAAGACAACGGAACGGTATTGGCGACGATGGTAAGCAGAAGTCCACGCTTCTCACTGTACACCTCCCTATATATATATACGCGTTCTATCGGAATATCGGATCAGAAAATGTTTCGGAATGTAACACACTCCAAGTTTTGAGATATGCTTTTTGTTCTGGCTGACAGAAGAGACGTTAAAGTATTTTGAAGTATTTTTAGAGGCACAGAAAATAGAATATTTGTATTCTTGATATTATGTTTACAAGTAAAAAATAAACTAGTTTGGCTAGTATCCAACGTAAGAGAGTGTAAATTATCAAGCTGGTAATAGACTTGGAAAGTTCTTGGAATTTATAAGTTCAACTATGTACTACTGTATATTTCACTTCTATTCTATTAGCAGTAGTTTTATCCTTACTATTACACCAAAAGTATGATTTATTTATTCTGCTGATAAATACTCTTGTTTTGATATACCTTTGCTGTACAAACTTTTTACTAAACACTCTGCTTTATCTCTTTTTTTTTTCAAACACTGTTGAATTAGTTTCTGCTATGCATCTCCTATTATTATTATTATTTTTTTGTTTTACGCACTAAGGGTTTAAGATTGTTGTCTATGGTTTACCGTATCTTATGGAGCTGGTACAAGATCTTTATTTATATTTATTTTTGTTGTTGTTTGCTGTATTTGTTAGATGCACTGTAGCTGTTTGTTGGTTAGCTCTGTCTGTCACATACTCGATCTCACTCACAGCCCTTGAAGCTTGTTTTATTAGAGATTGAGACACAAATCAGAGGGAGAAATGAAAATGTACGGCTGCCTGTGGGTTGGTTCGTGGTCGCTGGTGAGTTGTCCCACAGGGGTTGTTGAAAATTTTTTTTCCATTTTTTTTTTTTAAATTATTATTACAGCCATTACAAGCCAAAGATTTAGCCAGAAACATCTTATCTAAAAAAAAAAACGAGACACAAAATGGTGGTAGATGATATTTCCATGAAAATAAGCCAAACTCAAAAATGGTTCCTTTGAAAACAGTTGTTTAACATCTACAGCATACTCGTGATATTCTAAGAAACTTAGAAATAAATGAAGCATGTCAGATTTCCTATAAGTACATTATACCTTATGTTGATGGGTTTGTGTAACCGTTAGTGCATGCTTTTTGCATGAACACATTTTTTCCTTGTACATACATATATATATATATATATATATACCATTTATCAGCTGATATGTAATAATAATTTCTACCTTGAATAGTTACAATGTCACCTTTCTCCACCAGTGCACACAATACAAAAAACATACATGCACGAATATACTTCAACGCACACGTATATATAGAACTGATATCATAAAAATTTGTATGGATAATAGGTATATTGTGATTATAAACGGTTATTGGCTTATTTTTATGAAAATCCGTTACAAAACTTTCAATGTTTCAGCGACAAAATGGTTAAGCAAATCTTCCGTTGCAGATGGCGAAGCAGATTGGCAAGACCGAATCAGTTCTGGATTCGATCGATTGGTAGCGTTCGCCTCCACCGAGTTAGACAAGCGAAGAAGATCTACCGAGGGAGTGAACACGAGTCCTGACAGCGGTCTCGGGTCAGACAGCACTGTCACAGGACCACCGCCGGTGATCCCCTCGCCCGACGAAGCCCTGGGACCTCCACGTACACCTTCGCCGACCAGCCCCCGGCCACCGAATCCCTCTAACAATAACACGAACAGCACATCTTCGGTGCCTCTGAAGTATCAACGGCAAACGGACCCCGAGCGGCATCATTTTAAGAAAAAGTTTTTTCATAGGGACTGGAATAACTCTGGAGGCACCAGTAAGTTTCGTCCGAAAGGCAAGGATTGGGATTGGAATCATTCGGGACAGTGGCCTTCGAATGACGAACAATCTTAATCTAATGTTTTTTATATACACTGTAATAATCAAATTTGACTATTGAAGCTTTTAACTAAAGGATTTCTCTTACGGTTGTTAGGTTTGCAGAATTGAGAGAATTGCCGTCTGCGTTTCTTGGTTGCGGATGATGTATCATTTCTTTTGATGATAGGAATGTTATTACTCTCCTCTGCTCCCTGTAGTATGGGTTAAAGTAATTTTTTTATTATTATTATTATCATTATATCGATTATTATTATTGTCATTATTATTATTAAACAACTCGTACAATGTTGCAGTACATTGGGGATACACTTGACTCGAGCACGAAACGCGGTTTTTCTTCCGCATCCGAGTTTAATATTTTTTTATTTTATGCCGAACTCGAGGGCATAATGTTTAGAGCTTGGCAAGGGGAAGCTCGATAATTTGTTTTTCTTTTTCTTTATATTTCACGAGAAATATATTTATTTTATGGAGAAATTTACGAGGCTAAATGTACTGCGAAATTGAAGTTCTATTTCAGTGGTAATAAAAAAAGCTATTTAATATTTAGCTGTATACACACGCGTATATTGAAAGCAAAAAAAAAAAAGACGTGAAGGTAAAAAGAACGCAGAGACACACTGTTATATATTACTCACTGATAAGCATTTTAACACTTAATACTGTTAGCCAGTGCAGTTTCGGGGCGAAGAACGGATTCGAACAGAAAAATTTACAGGATAATTGTAATTACACGATTTGATATATGACATACGGTGAGAATGTGTTTGCCTTCATAAATATATGCTATTATACCATAGAGATTATATTCCCGGAAGGAAAATCGATCGGTTTGTAATGCGCGTCTGTAATTATGGTACATGACTGTTACATGTGTGTAGTGCTGTAGGAAAAATGAAGCAAAGTGCTGTGTAAAGAATGTGCCATGTATTATGGATGTTGCAGCTGACGATAGCTGGTAAACAAACAAAAAAAAAAAAAAAAAAAGAAATGTGGACAGAAGCTACCAAAACCTAATGTGTGTTCGTAGCAAAATATTCACTGTAAGTTTTATACACGCGGCTCTCATGGGAGGCCTGTCTCGGACGTACTCTTGGATTTTTATGAAACTTTTTACGCGCATAAGTCTCACTTTATCGATGCAAAATATTTGTACGATCGTAGATATGGTCTGTTTATATGTATATATATATTTTTTTTTGAAAGATATTCAATAACAAAATTTAGATATCACATAATCTTGCTATAAGGGAAAACTTTGAAGGTATTTTAATTGTTTTTCAATAATATTGTGGTTAGGAGATAATATGTAATTAAATATGATAACTAGTAATATAAAAACTTTTTAGGCATATATCATTTTATTTTATATGCAGATATCTAGGAAGAATTTTTAAAATACCTTTGGAATAGTTTTAAACGATTTGTAAATAATTATTGAGGATTTAATTGTTTGTTTAATTGGAAGAACACAGCGAAACGTGTTAAAGTATTTATAAACCGTCTATACCTCTATGCATCGCATCGCTCGAGCGAGTGACTATACATGTACGTTTAAAGTTTCATTAGAATCAGAGTACATTCTAGAACAGTTCCCTTGTCAGTAATCTTCCATCGTTACGGGAAGGTCTATATCGAAGTGTTCACCGTTGCGCATATAACGTTATGGGCGACAAACAGCGAAGAGAATAGTCGTTTCACCGATAGTTAATTCGTTTGTTTGTTTGTTTTTTTTTTTTTCGTTTCTTTTCGGCACAAATTTACCCACTGATTTGTAAGATTGTGCAGAAATACATCCAAAGAATGATCTCTGCGAGGTATCGAGAGTAACAAATATTTCCTAATGGAATTCGATCATTTTTTAAACGATACCCGTTTTGTGAATTAGAGAATGAAATTGTAAATAGAAGTGACGCAACAGCGAATATGCGCGTCTATGTATAAAAGATTTTTTAGTCACTGTGTCGTATATATAGCAGTATCGGAATAATATAAAAGAAAAACACGCGATTCCGAGCAGTCGTCATTGAACGAACATTGTAAAAGAAAAGAAACTTGACCGGCTCGCCGTATATAATTGTAATTAGTTATCAAATTATTTAATAATCCTCCCTATACACTAACGCATACAATTAAATAACGATGTAGGCACCTGCCAAGTTTATAGCGTGTTATATACACTGCCGAATCTTCTATTAATTTTATTATTGATCATGATTATTTATTGTTTTTATTGAAATATTTTAATACTAAGGTTTTTGTAACAAGCAGACACTTATTTCTTTCATTCCTACCTTCCATTTGGTATTTGTCTTGCTACGATCCAGAATCTTGTGAGTCCGTGGTTACCCGACAATGTTCGTTTGTCTTCTTGATTCCTTCGACGCGCGCTGAAAGAATGGAACAAACACAGCATGGAATAGTAGACACATTTTTAAGCGTATATCATTCACGGAAAGAAACTCACTAGAATGTTGCCTCGATATTAAGAATTTTGTTGTAATGGATCCAGTTGCTTTTAGGTATATTCATTCATTTGCTGCGTGAGTGAATGTGGTTAAGAGGTACCAGAGAATGTAAACAGCATCTGTAGTCATACATATATGTATATACACGTATTATATATACATAAACACAGAGTACAAAGTTCTACCTGGAAACAGATTATATTTCATACAGTATCTGTTTTGTACATCGAGCAACCAATGCATTAAAATATATATATATATCATTTTTATCTTAATGTATTACATTCTTAACTGATCCATCACAATAATGTCATTGTATTCTTAAAAATGTTTTCTACGCTATACTGATGTGGCATCATTTCCTGCGTTCACATGGCAGGCATTACTATCCTGTGCATAATATTATTCCTGTAATGGCACACATATACTTTTGGAACCACTAAACAGCATACATGGTGGGATCTTTTATGTCAGATTCATTTTTCTCTCTTTCTTTTTTTTATGTATTTTATAAGAATATTTATAACGATTAATGTACATACTTTCAGGTCTCCTCTACATAATCTTTATATAAGGAAGAAAGCAGAAGCGGAAAAGTTTATACACAAAGAATTGTACTTAATAAACATGTACGAAGATACATGTACGATACAAAGCAGTCGTGTGTGCCATTCTAGGGTGACTATACTTAATTCATTCAGATCTTGGTGCGAATGACCTTTACAATACAGGTGCCAGCATGCGCCTCGTATTGTGCACGGTTTTTGCAATGATAAACGGCATACGGGTTTCGCAATGCTTTATGCACCCACACGCGTATATAAGAACAAGCCTTGTCATACCTCCGAGTACTTGAACTTGAAATTCTAAACGCACAATATGGCCTTCATGTTAGAAACTGTATTACTGATTTTACTCGGTGTGACGGTACACGGACAGGACAGCCAGGACACGGAAATTGTTTTGTTGCCACTATGGAACACGGAAGATCGTACAGAGGTAGACATTTACTTACATTGATTAATGGAACGAGGACATAGTATCCATTAAGAATAATGATTCAGACGTGTTTCTAAAACATTTTTGTAGAAGAAGGTGATTCTATATACACACTTGACTTATGTGTCTATTACTGATTATTATTCTTACTACTTGTATTGATATTTATAAATCTTGACAGTATATATGTGTACATATATGTATATGTTACAGTATTACTTGTCTTTCACAGTGATTTATGGGGAAAGATTTTGTTTCCTGGTTTCTATGTATATTTGCTCGATGGTAGACAATTCAATTTCAATAATAGCATCAACATATTCCAGGTACCACTAAGTTTTAACGCATTCGATCGGTCTGTTCGCTTGAAATTACGTAGAAACGACAAAATCGTAGCTCCAAACTTTCAAGTTTGGAAACACAACGAGGAGGACCACCTGGTAGAGCTACCTGAACTCGGTAAACCGCATTCTTGCCATTATCTGCATCGGAACGACTTCAGTTCGGCGGCCATTAGTCTCTGCCAGGAACGTGGCATGGTCAGTATTAAAAATTAAATCTGTGATCATATACCAGGAAGAAAATATGATAAAGCAAAAGCTCTTTGTCCGTCACAGCATGGTCTAATTTTCTTGGACAACGTTACACTAGAAATATCGCCGCTTCAGACCGAAGAAGTCTCGTTCTTGGACGACCATCGCATCAGACAACGTTCAGATTTTCTCGGGGAGCCACATATCGTCAAAAGAGCACAGACTCCGTCCATATTCTTCGAGAATGAGCTGAACAATTACATACGCGATGACACCATGAAAAATGTCAGGGCAAGAGAACAATTGGAGAAGCTCGGAGCGAAGAAGTCAGATGAGGCTTTGACCTTGGAACTGGCGGTTTTCTTCGACGAGCCGGGTTACAATCTTTTCGCGCCCTTCTTCGACAGAGACGACGAGGAAATACGAAACATGATGTTAGCCTATATAAATGCTGTACAGGCAATTTATCATCATCCCAGTTTAGGAATTGTAATTGATATCTCCCTGGTGAGATTGGAGATCATGCAAAAACAACCGCGAGACCTACCCCATTTCGATGGTCACAGAGGCAGTCTTTTGGATTCGTTTTGTAATTACGCCATGAAGAGGAATCCTCCAGACGAGTTTCATCCTAATCATTGGGACATGGGCCTCTACGTTTCCGGATTGGATTTCTATGCTATGGAGGCTGGACGAAAGAACAGCGCTACCATGGGACTGGCAACGGTAGGCGGGATATGCATCGATCAGTACTCCTGTGTTATCGCTGAATTAGGTGTCACCAATCAATTTGGAAAGCCGTTCCCGTCCGCGGGCTTCACGTCTGTCTATATAGCTGCGCATGAAATTGGTCACAAGTAAGTGAATAGTGATATTATATAAGACGAGACTAAATAGTCACTGACAACAAGAGCTCGACCCCATTTCTTGTTCAAAAAGCCTAGGGATGCATCACGATTCGACGGGCAACGCGTGCCCGAAGGATGGTTACATAATGTCCCCGAGCAGGGGCACTCATGGCGAGACAGTTTGGTCAGAATGTAGCCGTGACGTGGCCGAGAGGCTGTCCTACACGAAACCCTGCCTAATGGATCGACCGTTTGGCAAACCGGACGACAGACTCGATCATACCCGATTCTTCGATCTGCCAGGACGAGAATGGACCGCTAAAAAGCAGTGCGAGATCCTGCTACGCGATAAGGACGCTACGGTAGGAACCTATTGCGCGCCAGGGAAGGAATGTCGTGGTGGTGAGTGTAAGAACGCGTTACAAATTCCCCCGGGAACGAACGGCCCTCAGATCCAACCTGGAGGATGGAGCGAGTGGTCGCCGGGACCGTGCACCAGTGGATGTCTATTTAAGTCCACCGGTGCACAGAGCAGACGACGATTCTGCGACAGACCGCCTCCAAGGAACACGGAAGCGGGCTGTCAAGGATCGCGGTACGATGTCGTTCTTTGCCGGGACGATAAGCTTTGCAAGAAAAAACGTCGTAGTATTGTCGAGTTCGCGACCCTCAGGTGCGCAGAGTTCAGCGAAAGGCTGACAGAATTGGACGGTAAGGGTGGCGGGTTGCAGGCACCGCACGAACCGGATAGACCGTGGATGGCCTGCGCTATATTCTGCCGGCGAAAAGACATAGCGTCTTATTATACGCCGCGTGTCGAATTAAACGACCTTGGCCTTGACCCATACTTTCCGGATGGAACATGGTGCCACGCCGAGCACGGACAAAATTATTTTTGTCGGCAGCATCATTGTCTGCCGGAGAGCTTTCGTTTCGAGAAAACCCTGTCGAACGACCGTCAACGGGACGACAATGTATTCGGGCCACAGAACGCCCATCCCGATGGGCTTCGTCTCGACGATCAGGTGATCAAGTATCTGAGTTTGGGACCGGACGGTCTGCCACTGTTGACCTCGCTGTCTCACGGTATTGGGTTTCCACCGGACGAGGACGAATGGATCGATAAAGATTACATTGAGTTAACGAAACCGCCGGAAGAGGTTGCCTTCGATCCGCTATACCTACGATTAATGAAAAAGTAACGATACCCCGTATGGTGATGGAGGATTTTATGTTTAGTTCTATCTAGTAATTTCAAAAGCATTTATCATTACTGTACACGTGCGCACATGTACACTTTTATTTATTTCATATTCAATATTGCTTCTGTAAATGATCACAGTGATTCAGTCATTTTAACGGATTTATATTCAAAATAATTATCCTCGACTGTGACTTATGTTACAAAGTTCGATACACTCATATATTTTTTTTTCGATGTCCATCTATTTGTGTTCCGCTATCCGAGTTATTATTATCTAACCCTCATCTTCCTTGGTGTATTACAGTGTGAATAGAATTATGCCGATATACCGGACAACTGCAAATCAATCATTTATCTGTAGAATATATATAAAAGCAAGGGGGTAACGTGTCCCTCTGTATGTATAAATATACGTGCACGTATTTGCACAGAGTTCTACAGTTTCACCATGCAGTTGTGTGTGAAAGTATCTCGGGAGATAGGACGATGACGTCACCTACTTCGGTGTCTATTTTAGGAGTGTCCCGATGTTATATCCAGCGTAGGAGCGAGTCAAGAGACAAAAAGGATCGAATAAAAAATACAGAACACGTGTAACTTAATTGTATCGATATTATTTTTAACGTACAAATAATTAACCAACCATTAAAATTAAGAAGACGCACGACATAAGAAAAACGATCAGCTCGATATTACAAATAGTTACTTCTTGAGACACACGATTGCTTTCATATGACAAAGTGTTCCACTAATCATTGTGAACATGAAAAAGGTACGCTAATTCTTTTTTAACATTTTTTCTTTTAGAATGTTTCAATGGTAATCATTTAGTTTGTTACAATACATTTATATTTTGATGTAAACAAGATGAATGAAGTGTCGGTGCATGAAGAATGTGGAAATAATATACAATGATTTGAACTGAATTTGTCATATTTCTGCAGAAACTAGCACTCCTACTTTACATGTATTCCATACCATTTACACTATAACACATTACATATCACTCATACACTTTTTAACATTCACCTCCTTTCGCTCAAGATCTATACAGACTACATACTCTGAATGTACATAATGAACAAAATTAAACTTCATTCATACAGAGTTGCGTTGCAACAGATTCTCATCGTTAAATCGCATAACTTAATGTAATATAATTAATCTTAGTCAGTATTTAGGATCTTTTATCTCGTGTGAAGAGGCAAAGTACATTCCCCATTCTGCTAAGAATGTAACTTTTGTCCTTTTTTTTTTATTTCTTTTCGTTCAAAATTCTAACGAAAACAAGCTTGCCTAAATCAAAATCAAAAAACTGATTTCCTTTTGTTTTTTTACATCTGGCTAACGTGAAAATCACATTTTTTTCCTAGCTACGAGATAAAACTATTTGCCTTGCCTCAACAAATATCTTTCACAGCTCTCTAACCCACGTTATTATGTACTAGAACGTACACGAGTGTTTACTCTCGTCAATCGGGACGATTAGAGGACTGTCGTTGTGATGACAATTATCCATATACTTTTTTTCATTCGATTTCCGTGTTCAATTTGGTAGAGTATCGTAAAGTATGTCCTTAGCACTTTGCGATAACGTGTCGGGGAATTTGATGTCGAACGAAACCAGAAGATCACCTTTCTTTGATGGTTCTTTAGGGAATGGTAGGCCATGACCTTGAATCCTCTTAACCGAATTTGGTTTGACAATTTCTCTCGTCAGATTTAAAGTGATTGTCTCGCCGGTAAGCGTAGGAACTTCGATGACAGCACCGCATAAAGCCTGTTTTAAGCTCATCTTACAGGTGTATCTTATATCGCTGCCTTCTCTTCTGAACAATGGATGTGGCTTATCCCTGATGATGAATACAATATCTGCTGGAACTTTTCCACGACCCTGGTCACCTTCTCTCTGGAAAGTGATTTTTGTGCCAGCCTTCCATCCTGGTTTAACATTAATCGTTAGAACCTTATCTTCCTTCTTAGCAGTTCCATCGTGTTGTATAACCCTCCTAGAGATCTTCATTCTCTTTGTGCAACCACGTAGAATTTCTTCTAAGGTGATACATAAATCATGTTCTATAGCAGGGTCTTGTGCACGGTCCTTAGCTCCACCTCTACCGGATGCAGGTCCAACAAAATTGAACGAATGTGATCTGAAGGCTCCTCCCTGGCCACCTGGACGCGGTGGTACACCTCCCAGGCCACTAAGCGGATCATCTATGTCCATATCATCGTCATGGAAACTGAATACTCTATTCCCAATTGGACCTCCAAACTCAAAGAAGGTTTGGAAGGGACTCGCAGAACCAAAGAACTGAGCAAAGGTTGCCTTTGGATCTCCATGGAAAGTGTACGACGTTCCACCTCCACCTCCGTCTGCTGGTCCAGCATCTCCCTTCAATCCTTCTTCGCCAAATCTGTCATAAACGTCTCTCTTCTTGGCATCAGATAGTACTTCATAGGCCTCGGCTATTTCCTTGAACTTCTCTTCTGCACCAGGGCTTCTGTTCTTATCAGGATGATACTTCAAAGCCAGTTTCCTATAGGCTTTTTTAATCACATCGTCGGTGGCATTTTTTTGTATGCCTAATATTTTGTAGTAATCCTTCCCCATTGGTTCACAGTCTGTAACAATAAAAAAAAAGAAGTATAAGTATTAATATACAGTTTTTGTATCAAATTTGGCTCATTAGAAGTCCTTTCAGTGAACCAAAATGCAAGTGTATTTATTTACAGCACCCACTGAACTTAAGTACTTAAAATGCGAATCATTTTTCAAGGACTTTGTGCATTTCCAGCTTTTCTTATAATTGTTAAATTATTTTTGACTAATGTCTTTTTACGGTATCCCTCTAAATTGTCACCAAGTTCAATTATGTGCACTTATTTCAATCTACTTAAATTGTTTCCTATTGAACCGCGCACAGTTCTGTCAGATATAAAAGGCGATTCGGTATTCGTGCGCGTTTTCATGGGAACACTGACCGAAAAAAGGCATCGATTTTTATGAAATCGTATCGTAAATGTCAAGATCGTGATGCACATAATATTACATGCCCTAATTGGAACGTTATTACATCATTATGGACGTATTTTTCGAGGGTCTACAACGACGTTCTATATCGACCGTTTGGGAAACGTTCTTTAACGCAACGTGACCATACAAGTACGGCTCTTTCAGAAGTTTCAAGTACGACTTCGACGTCACGGTACGATGAATTTTTTTCATCTCTCATGGATCACCTTCAGTACGAACATATTTTTTCTATCCACTTACACTATACAATCGCGGTATTCTGGCCTGTCGCTCGTCATTTCTCGTTCTACGAAACTCCAGGATTATCGTGTATGTAGCACAATTAGCACCGAGATCAAAGATAACCAATCTAAGACTCTAAATTTGAAAAGAGACCGTCCATTCGAAACTCCGATACCCTACCTTTTCTCGAGTGCACTGGAACTTTAACGTCGCAGTAGTTACCGTTACAGCTATATTACATATATGCGATTTGTACCTCCTACGATTGAAAGAATAACTGATTACGAGCTGGCTACATCATTTTCAAAGTTGTACAGATTAGAAGAACGACGTTTTCCGCTCTAATGTTTCCGACTACAAGAGGGCTTCGTTAGAACGATCAAGACATAAGTGGAACTACCATCAGCTCGGAGGTATCAAATTATACAATATCAACGATTTATCATTTTCCAACACGTTTTTTTTTTTTTCTCGAGAAAAGGAACATGTATATCATTCTAACGCACACCCACGTATGTATCTCACCGATATCTATTTCTGGCAATGATGAGCGCGTATAAGCGACGAACGTGTCCGCTGTTATAGGCGTGCAACGATTTCGAGCAGTATAAAAATAAATTCAACCGTGTCCACGACGCTTGTTCTGATCTCCACCTTGAAAATTTCCCTGGTAAAACGATACGACCGACCGTGTTTTACGAAACGAATCTTCACCGTGGGTCGCCCATTTTTTCTTTTTCCCTCCGCGAACATCTGACAGAATATCGGTGGGGAACCTAATCGAGTGTCCCGTCGTTCATGACTTTCGCTCGATACTTACCGGTGCTGTTTCTGGCGATTGCTCAACAGATCACAAAATCCAATTGGCACTGAAATATCACTGAGCCCTCTGAAATAGAAAAAAATACTTCGAACTACGATCAACGAGATTCTCGATTCTGACAGATCGGTCGAATGAACATTTAAGACCTCTCGTCACGTACTAAAGTGTCGCGTAAGCTGCGCAGTCCATATATACAAACTTTCCTTCTGGTGGCTTCCGGAACTTTCGAGAATGGGTCGACGGCAGTTCCGTGGCGCTTATTCGATGACGTCGGTAACCCCCACTCGCATTAATGGATCGAAAACGTGATCGGCGTCGAAGAGCGCGTTTTACAAAATAATAATGTCGGTGCACCGATAAGGAACCGAGACACACGTGTTATCGCGTCGCATTCGCGGAATGGTTTCTGTTGTACTGTCGAAGAATAGAAATTTCGCGCAATCGATGGTAAACGGACGAAAACTACGACGGGAATATGGTCTTTTTATAGCCTGAAGTTGGCCGATTGTAGCATGTATTGATATATACAGGGTAGACGTACGCTATAGATGGCAAGAATTCTGCGCATGATAAGTATGTTCGGTTTTAAATTTATAGACGCAATTACATATTTCTATACCTTTTGTGATACCATTTCCGAATTGAAAGTTGTAATTCGCTAGTTGAATTCTTCAAGATCTTCCGGAAATTTTCAAAACGAGTAGTCATAATATAGGAATTGTAATTACAATGTATTTATTCTTACTCACCATTAATTACTTCCCTTGTTAGTTGTTTATTTACGTTGCTCGTAGGAATTCTATATAGTCTGTTGTATAGTTAGTATAATAAAACGATGTCCCGTGGCGATGACGTTATAAAAATATGGTTTAATTGCATAAATGCATTACAATAGGATAGTGATGACAAAAGACTGGTCAATCGAAGCAACATTATATGTATGTATTTTGTATACATGCAACATACGTATCAGTCAGAGTCAATTTGCATTTATCTGCTCAATCGTAAAAATACTGCATGTCGGCACTCCCGTGAATTTGGTGGCATGTATTTGTCGTAGAAATCCTGAACGAATTCCTCCACTTTAAAGCCGAATTTCTGGTACAAAATTAATGCCGGATTAGTAGCGGAAACGTGTAACGTGACATCCTTTCCCATGCACGTTTGAATCAGATGATACAGCATAAATCTTCCGATGCCAGATCTGCGCCATTCGGGACGAGTCAAGAAGAATGAAATGTACGCTTCATTGTAACCAACATCGGGAACTAAAATCGCGAATCCTATGACCAATTTTTTGTATAGAACAACGCAGCTGAAGTCAGGATACTGCAAGCATTCCGTCACTGAAACAATCATACACGGCATTGCTTCTTCTTACGCCAGAACAGAGACGTATCAAAATAACTGTCGATGACAATGTAATATAGTATTGTTACGTAATTGCCGTAGTTACTTACGATCAATGCCAGGCCAAAAGAAATTACTGCATAGACTATTAATCGCGGGAATGTGTTGCGGCCTAACATAGGAATAGTCGATTGACGCCAACGGCGGCGGTTTCCATTTAGGATTCGATTTATTCGCTTTGAAACGAAGCTCTTCCATTACTTTTAACCACAAAGGACGGCACAAAGTATCTCTCCTTATGAACGGCTTCAGAAGCCTATTCGTATATGGACTATGTACAGACGTAGGTTCATTGTATCCTTGCAATCTTTGTTCAAACAATCCCAAATCATCGCCAAAGAATCGATCCAATACTCTTCCAGAATCTTTCAACGGCTTATCAAGTATTTCCGTTTTGAATCCAAAATTATCAATATCCAGTAAAGGCAAACCGTATTCACGTTTTAATTTTCGAGTCGCTAATTTTCTGTGAAATCGTCTGATCGCCGGAGGTGCAGAGTTAATGTTTGATTTATTGACTTGCTGTAATAAGTACGCTTCTTCTTGATGCGTCATGCGTGGGACCTTTTCTTCTACGAAATAGAAGCAATAACATGTTAGTACAAAGATGACTACGAGTCGCGTCCCAAATGTCAGATATAACTGGCAATTATTAAAAAAAATAGTCAAAGGAATAAATAATGTATTATAGGATCAAAGTATCTACATATTTGTATCGTTCTTTTCTTCTACTGTTATTTAATAATTGCCGATCGGATTCTCACTTTCCGGAGGCGCTTTGTACAAATATGTGTTACCAATAATCTGATTTCTTTTCCAGGGCCAGGGACGCTGGTTCGATACATTAAATAAGGAAGCAGGGGGCTGTTCCTGGACTGAACTTAAACTATCGCTACTCTCTGCTTCGTATAGCTCTTCCTCTTCTTCTTCTTCTTCTTTTATTTGATCTGTTTTAAAATTTGTATTACTTTCAGATGTGGTATCTGTATTAGATGCCCATTCTGATGTAAAATCATCTAGTAATTGGGAAAAGTGGAAGTTATTGGACTGATACTGACAGTCCCTTATTAAATCGCACAAAGACGGTGTATCGCTCTGCTCGTTAAGTATCGAATCATCTTCGATATCCATATCTGAAATTAAAAGGTACTGATGAATACATTTATAATTTCCTGATGTATTTCGTCTGCATTGTATATGTGTATAGTACTTAGTTCATTTTCCTCCAGTAACAAGTCGAACAATGTTTTATTTGGTTGGCTATAAGTTTCTGAATACATAGAACATCCTTCACTTTTTGACAATTCATTTCCATAAGTGGTATCTTCGCCAACTGAAATGCTTGATTCTGATGGAGTTGGACTATCGTGCAGTCTACCTGCTGATTTTACTTGGCTACCAACTTGTTTCTTACGATCCAATATCATTTTATCATCTGCAATTGAAAACTGTAAATAGGACTGTATGTATGTCTTATAAGTATTGTACATAATATTTTACATGTCATTACTTCTGGCAATGAGTATTTCTGGTGGATCATTGTCTATCAATCTCCACCAACCAGATTCTCCTAATTCTACTGTTCCTGATTTAAAAAAAATACCACTGTAATGAGAAAGTGTTCCTGATATGGTACCAATCCAGTTCTTTTTTCTTTTACTAAAAATATAAGAAACCAAAACTATTAACACACGTAAATATTTCTCGAGCAATTAATTCTGTTACCATGAATAAAAACTTACACAGTTTTCTTAAATAAGTATTCCCAATTTCGATCTACAAAGGTACTGATATCAGACTTCCAATGAAAGTATCCCCTTTTGCTGATACCACTTGATTTCTCTCGTAAATTATACAGTGTCAATATAATTACATTAAGCCAAGGCATTCTGTTTCGAACAACTGTTTCTTCACCAAACGGACTACAATTACAACAATTAAATTCAAAGAACACATCTCCAACAAATGTCACCGGGACACTTCCTCTTTTCAAACATTCTATATGGATCTTCCTTGAGCATCCACTACAACGCAATGCTGGTCTCGTGTACGGATCGCACAAACATTCGCAATTTTTACAAATTTCGATTTCAGGAAAATCAACAGGTTCTACTTTCATTTCTTCTCCATCGGTTGTTTCAGACATTATTTATTCCCAAAATAATCTATCGATTGTTGTTGTAAAGAAATGTTGATTCTCAATATGGGTTAGGATATTGAAAATAAAACAATTTCATCGGCTTTATATAAATTGTTATTCAAACCTTTATGCTATTACAATGTCCTTGGCTATTTAAAAAAATTGCACGCGGCATAATTATATTATACGTAACATCTTTTAGCGTTTTGTGTATTTACAGAGTAAACTTTTGAATACATCTACAATGTTGTCCTCCTGTTTTTTATTGTAACAACCTGAAGTTGGTCAAGACAACCATAGCTCCATCCGTGACGAAATTCCTAAGCTACTTATAATTTATATGCCCTTATTCTTGCTAGATGGCGTCACCAATCCTCTAAAAGCGCTGACTTGTAATATTGGCGCCTTAAAAAGCTTGTGATTTTAAACGGTCTTTACGACCGTCTGTGCCTTTACGTTACAAGAACGTTGAATTCGGAAGTCATGGTTAATGGAACCGATGTTCAGGTAGCCAAACTTCTATAGTATTGCTAAAGCTGAGTTTTCTTTATTTCTTCAATGAAAAAAAAAAGCTTTTTATCTATTATATAAATTGATAACATCTCCCAGATATTTCATAAACTTTGGCGCCATTATTAAATTGGCGGCAAATAATCATTATAGATGGCGTTCACAAAAGCCTCGCAGGTTTAAAAACATCGCAAAAGGGCAGCTACGAATCACGAGGCATCGTACATTAAAGCTACGCATCTAAAAGGAATTGGAATCACAAATTTTGTGCGATCCAAGAAGATGGATCGAGGTATGCACACAGTTGAATTTGTTTATTAACCGTAGAGTAAATTGGAATTACGAGTTTTCGAAACTTGGTGAACCAGATGTGCAAAACATATGGCTCTGAACTTGTTTATAACTTAGGGACTCGTGCAAAATTGAATATCATCCTTGCATTTCTGTTTTTCCGTTCTATTAGTCATTATCATGTCATAGTCATTGTTAAAAATGTAATAGGGAAGTATAATACAGTGGTGAATATTTGGTTTCGTTTAAATAGAAATTGGAGTGGGGAGGGGACGTACCCTTGCCTACCCATCAACCACCGCGGTCCCCCAAAGATAGCCGAAGGGTCATTCGTCTCGAGGAGGTTGGAGTGACATGCGAAGCATAAGACGTAAATGTCGAAAGTTTGATATTTACCTTTCTTCCAGACAATTTAACGACCGTGCGCAATGCGGTCGAGTAGAGTGAGTGTTTACTAAGTCATCGTGAAAATAGAGTCAGTGTTTAGTGCGTATGTTCAATTGTTTCCAAACTGTGAAAGTAGAGTCACTAGTTCGTAGGCTGGGATCTTCGGTTGTGATTAATAACCATTTATTTATCATTTTTTTGTATTTAAAAGTGATCGTTCACGGTGGTAGAGTCAGTGTGTCATTGAAAAAGATGTCCTCGGGCGAAGCACCATCAGCAAAGACTGTAAATATCTTTATATTTTATTACTTATATTATTCAACCGAAGCAGCTAGACTTTTGAGAAGAGATTGCAACGTATTTGATTGCTCTTTTTCAGATTCTTCAAGTTTTATGCGGAGCCCGTCTATCATCGGGTGAGTCTTTGCATGCCTGTTGTTTATTCCTTAGATTGTTAAATTTTACATGTATTCCCCGGTATACCTTCTGGCCGCGAAACAGGATGTTCCAAGTCTAAATTTCCCGCCAAAATAATTTATCGGGCGAGTGAACAATCTGCTGAAGTATTCAATGTAATAAATATATTTCGTAACAGTTAATAAAGTACAACTCTGGCACGGGCTCTAAAACTCGTATCAAACATTACGTAATAATTCAACATCTTCTGTGGTATTCTATATAAAAACACACTCTGATCGACTAAACGAAAATTATGTCCTAAATCGAGTAAAACTGCAATGTAGCCGTTGACGACTGCATTTCTATTTGGCCCATTTTGAACTGCAGTCGGTGCAACCATCGTAAAAGTGTCGCGTTCGATTCTCGTCTCGACGAGGTGAAGTGCTCCGCCATCTTGTTTGGCGGGAAATCCCTGCAGTTCTGGAGACGCACCTGCAGGTGACCTGGTAGCTGGACATAGTAAAAATTTTATTATAAAATCACTCGACGGCTGTGATTTTTGCACAGAGAAATGAAACTGTTCAATTATCGAACCTGAACGTGATGGGAATGTAGAATGGGGCTCCAAAGTGGCAGTAGCTTGCTGAGCAAGATGGACCCGCACTCGAGGAGGGCCTCCAGTAGACTTAAGAAATGTAGATTCACCATTTCGGCCAGCTGTGAAAATGATACATTTTCCGTTAGCAATAGAAGATAGAATTTTCTAGACGTCCAAACCAAATCAAAATCTCGTTTCGTGTAAGGAAATAGTAACTTACGACTCTATTATAGTCAACCAGCTGCAATATACAGGGCGTTATTTTACCCCAGAACTCTAATAGTATGTTCATGGTGACATTATGACCCTCGCTGTTCGATGGATTGTTCTTCGATAGCTCTTCCAGGTACATGGTCCACAACTAGACGATTGTACCAATATATATTATCCAGGGATACATTGAACTAATGCCACAATTCGAAACCTGATACTGACTATTATTCATTGTCTCTACTAGTAGCTACATGAGGTATTATCCATCGATCTCACTATCATCTATATATCAGTTTACAGCAAATTATGGCGGAAGTAACTCACTGACAATGGCTATAAACAACATCAGTGGAAATAACCAGTATCAGGCAAATACTGGGGCTAAACGATGCCCCTAAATTGGGCTTATGTCAACAGGATAACGACAGCGGTACGTAGACTTGCCTGGCAAAGAATGAAGGCATGGAACAAAGAGGACATATGTAGCACCGACGCTTTGGATTCCTTGGATTGTTCAGGGAACCCTGAGAATATCGCTTGCACGTGGTCTGCTACGTGGCAGGAAGTCTCTTGCGGTATCGGTTGCGCAGTAGGAATCGATGGTCCATGGTTGTGGGCGTTATTATTACCAGAGAACATGGCTGTGTGCGTTAGGGAGCCCAATAGGAGCCAGGACAGCAGTCTGATGTGTCCTATGCAGTCGACGTACTCGCGGGCTCTAAACAAAAATCAGACTTCGTTATTTCTTATTGTTGCTTTAAGTAGACTTAGCATAGCGTTCAGCTTCGGATCATCCAACGATAGAGGGACATATTTACCCTTGTTGTAGTACAGAAGGAGCGCTGTTAAGCCATGGTAGGTACCGAATTACTGCCCTGTTCTCTCTATTATTTCCTCGGGTGATCTCCAACGCCACGTACTGGGCCAGGCCGCATTTTAATATCCCTCCCAGCGTGTCTTCGTTCAAGCCTGCTTGCATCCCCTTGCTGTAGCTCTGAACAGTCGAAGATACTCATGAGACAGACGTTAGAGAATATTTCAATGTGGACAAGATTGATCTCACCTTCACTTTGCTCAGGGTATGGAAGTCGGCCAAGAAGTCCAGCACGTCTGTCAACTGGCTTTTCAAGGACTCCGAGGCGTTCGTGTTGTAGATCGGCGACACATCGGTCTGGATATTCTCCAGGGCGATTGTGTTGGGCAGAGAACCCCCGATATCCTGAATATTCAACATTTTGGAATACATTGGATCAATCTAAAAGTCGGATCGACAGGGCAGGATAAGGATCTTGCAAGATTATCACCTGAAGCACGAAGTGCAGAAGCAAGAGAAAATTCGAGTCTGGTATGGTGATCTTGAATTTGATGGCCTGGATCAACTCGAACACTATGGTCCTGCCGAAAAAGTGTTTGTCCCTGTCCCGTGTGAAGCCTCTGTGGCAAAGGTAGCACAGATCCGTCAGGTAACTGTATTTCAACGTGGAGTTTTGTATGGCGTAGCTCAGTATTTTGGCGAACGGGTCCAGCATGCCCTGCGAACACGTACTTGATGAGTAGATGATTAGATCGAGGAACCAAAATGAGTTTTAAAACTGGCCTATTGGACGAGACACCATCATAAAACTCAGTCTCTTCGTAAAACCCAGATATAAATCTCTGGAATGGCTTTTCGCTATTGAAAATCCTTCATTACTATCATTATCATACAAGGGCCAACATATAAATCTACATTTGTGCCCTCTCAGAAGAGACTACGATATTCGTCGTAATGGGAGCCATCATGAATAATAGCGGTATTTACGATCATTGGCCACAGTGAGTAACTGACCTTCGATTGTTGGATCCCCGGAACCTTCAATAAAGAGATCATAATTCTTAATAACGGCGTGGTGTCTTCGATGGAGGACAGCATCAGCACCAGACGTCGAAATAGATTGTCGAATTGCGCCAGCAGGCCGCTCCAGGTCGTTGCACCGGGACCTAGACCTGCCTCCAATGGCAGACAGTCCAGGTAGCAGGCTATGTTGTAGAGAATCACCGGCAGACGTTCCGTAGGTAACGATTTCTTCACGTTCAAGGTCTGAAACAAGAGTACTTGCTGTTGAATCTCTGATCATAAATAACGATTTATTCAAAGGTAATGAGAATTTTACCTCTAGCAACAGTTGCAGAGGTGCAATGGGATTGAGTTCATTGAAATCGACCAAGGCCTGCGCGACGCTCTTGAAGAACTGCATTCTCGTGGATTCTGGGGAATAAATAGGCCAATAGTCAAATAGTTTCTCGAAGAGAATTAAACAAGTGAAATCTACCATTCAAGTGGGTCTGGAACATCTGCACGAATACACCGTTGGGTGCCAGCTGATGAAGAACGCAACGAAGGAACTGATGCGCCACGCTGATCGCGCCACCTGGGAGGTGCATGTTGGTCTCGCTTTGCCAGGGGTACATCGCGTTTAAGGCTACCCTGTCGAAGTCACAATAATCACTAAGAGCCTCTGCAGAATTTAAAGTGTATATACCAATTCAATTAGAACCAACTTTGTCACAACCCTCAGGATCTCTGGCAAGAGGGGTGCAGCCAGGGACGGTTCACGATGAATGAATGTGCCCAGGTTGATGATGCATAGGCCAAGCTCCTCGTCAGAGTACTCCTCTTTTAGTGTTCCACATTCTGAACACCTGTGGGTACCTTGGGTTACACTTATATTTAAAACAAACGTCTGTCTAATTACCTCTCGTAGATGCAATCGTCTCCAATACGAAACAGGCTCTGCTTCATGCTCAAGTCAGCGCGGTAGGCCTGCTGGGAGGTAACGTCGAAGCTGGCCTGTAATTGGCTACTGGACCTGAAAGTCGTATAATTGTTACAGACCAGGATTCCCAAATCTTTGAGCTGATTGTTAACCCCTTGCCCTACGATTTTCTTGACGTTTGCTGGCTCCAGGATTACATTGTTGTCGATAGTTTCCCAAAACAGTTTCCCAAAATTAAATATTAAAGCCAGCAATGTGGCATTTCACTTTGACTAAAAAAAATCGGATAATATTCTTCTTCGTTCAATCGATTTTAAAATCGTCAACACGAGTCTGAATCGATGTTATAGGGCAAGGGGTTAATAGTGTTCTGAGAGCTACCAGGGCTCAGCGTGTCTGGACAGGTGTCCATCCTGTGTCAGGATCCCTCTTCCAGGATTGTCACGTTGAATTCGAACGTGGTCCCTTATCTTCGCCTTACGGTCATGGTCCAGGAGCTCTATCACCGTGGACGGTGATTCCAGGGCTACTTGCTTGGTCAGTCTTCTTGGACTAGTGGATCTGCTTGTATGTACCTCGTTTGATAATGGCGCCAAGGACACCGACTGAAAGACGATTGATAGCTTTATACCTGATTTAGGGACATATCATTTTCATTGAATTAGATAACTGTACCGCATTCTCAGACGTTGTACTGTCTTGCTTGACTGGCCCAGGTCCAGGATCTTTCCCTCGATGGCCATTACTATTGTCCAAATCGTTCGAATCTGCAATGTGAAACAGAGCACCCAATATCATAGGAATATGTTCCTGTTACTATACAGTAAATCATCGATGAGTCTTTAGACGTCATCGACACCGTTGGGCAGGCAGAGTTGCCATGGGTATCTACTATTAACCATGAACTTGGCGAATTTTTGTAGAGATGTAGGGGTCTTGTTTCGGAGAGGCACTAGAGAGGTGAATATGTTCATCCGCCATTTTGGGTCCAGTGGATGGATAAGTCTACAGAGGGTCCAGGTGGTATCTTCCATTGCTTTCCATTTACTCACCTCTATAGTAACTTAACTTGGACTCTCTGTAGACTTAATCATCCAGTGGACTTAAATGGTGAATGCGAATACAAAAATTCGCCAAGTTCATGGTTAAAAGTAGCCATCCCTGGCAACTCTGTCTTCTCAGTGGCGAGGATGATATCTGAACACTCAGTGTATGGAGCCTTCGAACACTCATCCATGATTTACTGTAATATACGATCTTCTTGATCGCTAAATAGGGGTACATATTACCATCGATTTCATGGAGATTAAGCGCCTGTCGAACGTGCTTGACCAAGCCACCAAAGTCACACATTCCCTGGGATCCAACCGGTAGCAATCGTTCGGGTTTCGGTAGCTCGAGCTGTGAAATGCTTCCAGGGCTCGCGATATCGCTCGCGCTGGTACACGTCTCGCTGTTCTGATCGAACGACGAACCTGGTGAACCTGTTATCCAGAATTTGTCAATCCTCGATTCTCTCCTTGACATTTTTTTTTCTTCAATACTCACTGACTGTCAACACGTCCATCTTCGACAAGGGGGACTCAGGTGATCCGTAGGTGTCTTCGCAACGGAGAACACGTTGCGTTGGTCTAGGACCTAAAAATCGGCATCAGAATGCGTACAGTTCGCTGCGTAGATTTCGTTCTAAGAGATAACCTTACCTGATGGCCGACTGGTCGTCCCTATAGGCAGCAGACGTTCGACCGTGGGTGTCGTCAAAGGATGAGGAACGTCGTTCCAGCCGGGTAGCTGACCGTTTTCGGTGCTGGTAATCTGAGAGGAGATCGAGCTAACAGCTGGCGAACTCGATTGATCGCTACTCGTAACTGTGACCACTTGACCAGGGGACACTGGTGAGGCTATCGTCACTGTTTGCTCTATACGCTTCTGGCGACTTAGGTGCTTCGAGGTAGGCGAGTCCGAATTACTGGATGGCTTTTCCTTAGGCGCCTCGTGTCTGCAATAGTGTCCATAAGTACGTTTTTCCATTGATCTAGGACTATGGGTGTGTGAGTACTCGAATTATTCGAGTAGCTCGAATCTCGTGTCAAATAATGATCAGTTGGTCGAGCCGAGTTCGGCTCAGCTTGTAAATTACGAGTACTTGAACACCTCTATCTAGGACAGTGTTTCCCAACACGGGACATGTTACAATCATTAACATTTGTCACTTCATCGACAACAATATTACCTATGAGCCTTTTTTATTTGAAGCAGCTAGTGATGTTAAACTTTTTCAGAACATGGTTTACTATTATGCTAGAGGGGCATAGAGATCTTTGAGGGTGTTTAAGTAAGGCATGATTCAAAAAAGGTTGGGAAACACTGAGGAAGACCTCGACGATGAAACGAAGCCTTACTTCTGAGCCTGCGAGGTGGTAGTACTGGTAGCAAAAGCTGTGGACATTGGTAATGGCTTTGATGACGCAGTCTCCCCGTTGAACGCCACCTGCACCGTGATATTCCTTTCCTGGGCGGCTTTCTCCAACGCTGGCTTCTCCGTGATTGTTTTCTCAAGGATCCCTTTCTCTGGCATTGTCCTCTCTGGCACTCTTTCAGTCAGAGCCTTCACCATAGGCGCGTACTTATGGAAATCTGGCTGTCCGCCTAAGAACGTGCTCGTTACCATCATCTTCACTCCCTCGTGGACGCTCCACTTTTTCTGGGGACCAGACTTTGCAGGCTGGTTGACAGAAAATTGTTTGATTTTGGGATAGCTTGAATTCTACCTCCTCCACCTAGTCCAGTGGTGGCCAACCTTTTACATACCATGCGCCAATTTTTTCACATACGAGTTCAGATGCGCCATGCAATTCAAGCACCTTTTCTACCTTCTAACGTTCATGGTTGGGGTTGGAAAATAGGGAAAGGCGTAGGATCTGCTTCGCTTAGGGGAGGAAATTTTATGATGAAATGCGCCATACGTTGGCCACCCCTGACTTAGTCTAATGGATAAGAAGGTTCGTCGAAGAACGTTGAAATAAATACCTGGTGAGAGTCGTCCTCGTTCCCCAGGAACCAAGTGGGCCTGGTGAAGTCTGACCTTCTGCCAGCGTGCTGACTGTTCCAGTCCAATTTCCCGACTGGGTCAAGCGTCGTCGTGGTCCTGGGCCCGTGCAAGGATACGCTTCTAGTGACGGCAGCCGGGCTCTCCTCCAGTTCACCGAGCGAGCCACCACTACTGCCATGTAAGGTGCTGTCAGATTTTGGGCTCTCGGGTATTGCCGCCAGCTCGGACTCCGTATCATCCGCATTGATCGAGTAGCTTTGCAGAGCATTCACAATAGCGGAAATTGTAACAAGCGGCTACTAAGTGTAAGCACAGGCACGAGTGATGTACTGTTTCTGGGTCCTGGACACTCTATTATTCAGACACTCTAAGGATGCTCTGAACATCGTACTTATCTTGAGAATGCAACATTGAAGGGTACAGTGTACAGTACTCTGTCGACACGTTGTCTCAGATGGCCCTACAAAATCAGAAGTCACAAAGTGGAACTAGTAAGCAATGACCAAAACACTCAAGAAAGTGAGATACTCTGGATAGATTGAATCGTGTTCTCTGTTGTCTTGGAAAGTCTAAAAGCTTGGACGAGAGAATACTGTACCCAGGACTTTCATAAATTTTGTTATGAGACTGATGCCTGACGACCCGATAATTCTTCCATGTAGGATCTTCGATGACGACTCTACGTAACATTTTAGGGGTCTTTTGTCCCCTGGATTTCAAGTAGTATCGTCTTGCTATCTCGATATATCAGTAGGGCAACATCTTTCACGGTAAAGTAACCGCAAGATCAACGAGAGGAGGGGGTCCGATAAAGAATCCATGAAAGTGCAGTGTCCACTAACGTGTCAGTCAACGGAACATTCCAAGCTAAGGGTAGCCTAATGCTCTACCGGTCTTGGGGAGGGTCTAAGGTCCCATCTAAAATGCACTGGAATAAAACAGTGGTAAAATGACCTGGAGTGCTTGTTGGTGTAACGACAACTCGTCGTGCTCTCCTCCCAGTGGGTCTCCATCTGACCGTGAGTAGCTCCTGGACTGCGTTGATGCACCGAGACCATGGGTGTCCTTATTGGAGGGCTTTCTGTGTTCAATTCTCCTATGGTGCCTACTGCTAGGTCGTGATCCACGCCTAGGGATGGCTGTGATACATCTAGATTGGGAATAATTACAGATTAGCCACATGGCTAGAGTCTGCAGGTTTAAATGTGTAGCTAATCCTCCAACTAGTTAAATGTTCAGCTAATCTAGAGTTGATTGTAGATCCGAATGTTCAGATAATACTACCAGAAACCCTGAATACCAGAAGGTTCTCAGTTAACATTACCACGAGATCTGGATGGCGGACCGCCCATCACCACAGTGGCTGGAATCCTCTTGCACTGATGATGTTGCATGTCCAGGGTATTCAGCACTATTTTAATCAACACCTGCAGCTGGTTGCACCACGGTTGTTGACCATATTGACACTGAGGAACGTGATAGATTTATATATGTACAAAATGGAAAGCAACGAAGATTCAGTTCAGAAGAGGAGAATTATACCTTATAGAGGATAACCAGAAGAGACATCAACCAGGAACGTCTGTTTTGCGGTTCTAGGTACCAAAGGCTGTAGGTGGGAGCTTGATGGTCCGTGGTTAATACTCCCTGGGGTGGACAGGGACAGTGTTGTAAAATGGCTAGAACTGGAGGGGTCATCACCCATCCCATCACGTGATTCTGGTCCAGTAGCTGGGGCAGATTGGCGAGGAACACGTTGAAAACTGGGGAAACCCTGTGAAGAATAATAGATAATATATTGTGGAGGAAGCTCTGAATTTTTCTTCCAATTATAAAAATTTGTACCTTAGACGTTGAGGAGAAGTATGGAAAGTTCGTTCGGTTTGGTTGTAGCCCAACAGAAGGTACAAGTGACGCAGGACGATCCCCTGGGTCTTTGATAATAATTTCTCGTCGGTTGGATAGGCCTGTGGATTGTGTATGTGTATAATTAGCTACGAATGAACATTTTCTTATCGATTTAATTAAGAAACGATCGGTCTACCTGATCCTGTCTTGAAAGGAACTGCATCAGAAGGAACACCAATAGGTGCATCGTCTCTTTATCAGCCTCTTCGAAGTCCACGATCTTGTTGGTGCATCCTGGTAGGGCGCTGGCCTCGTCGACCATATTCAACGAATGAACGTGGCCGTCTGTAATATTTAATGATATTAACACGTGCATTTGAATGTGGATTAGATCAAACGAAAGCTTCAATCTACGAAATATTAGTAGCTGAAGTGTGAGAAAATCTTACCCTTTTTACCGTATTACAGAAAAATAATTTTATAAAAATAACGAAGTTACGTCGAAGCAAGACATACATTGAAAGTACTAAAGTAGCTTATGTTTAGAGATAGAAGAAGGTACAGGCATTTGCTACAGTTGTGAGACAATCAGACGATCATTGGGCCTTTTCTACCATTCTCTGAGATATTTAATTTGAAATGGTTGTGGAAGGACTCGTGTCGCTATTTGATCTGTCTGTAGCTGTACAAGGATCTACAGTATTTACATGAAAGCTTAGTACAGTAGGGAAAATTTTATACATAGATTTCTATATATTGCTATTTGAAATATTTTTAATATAGAAAAGTCGATAGGCTGTTTTAAATAGATATAAGATCTACATAGCAGCTGTTATTTATAGTTACCAAAAATTACAATCAAAAGAACAAGATCATTTCGTTCTCAAAACATGCATATTTAGCTCGATCATCAGCAAAGCTCAAACATTTAGGATCACTAACACATCAGTAACTAGAATAGAACCTAGTAAACACTAGGCCCTAAATCTTGAACATCATCGGTATAATCCTGAAATGTTTAAGCAGCAGTGTGTAGCAAAGATGGGCAAAATTTTACCCCAATAACTGGATCAAGACTGAAAAACTCTGAGAACAAAAAAAAATGTATCTTCATTCGAAATGGAATACTTCCTAAACGTCCAAAATTGCAATTTATGCACTATTCATTTAACTTATTTTCTCACTATGTACTTAAAAAGATAACAAACACACATATAAATGGTGCATAAAATCAGTGCAAAGTGATTGTACATTAAATGAAAAAAAATGGAATTCTTCCACCCGAAAAAATAAGGTTTCTACAATATTAAGAAAATTTAAGTCTCGACGCCTCAAAAATTAATTTTCGCGACATTACGACAACTTCACCGGATACCTGATTTATTTTTACTTTAAAATTTTCTCCATCTTGCATGCGATAGAAAGCACTCGACTCCCAAAGCAATCCTCCAAGTTACCCCATAGACAAGGGACTTACCGATGGTCCCACATCGAACACACGCGTCCGCGTCCGGAGCAACACGTACCGCGTCCGAACTGACACGTACCGCGTCCGAACCAACACGTACCGCGCGTACACAGAGGGTAAAACGTAGGGGTGGGGTCATGGGCGTAGCCAACGGGGCCAGGAAAAAAAGCTTCTGCCCCACCCTACAAGAAAAACAATTGGATTTTGCCCCCCTCCTTTCCCAGAGTTATAAAATTTTTGCGTAATATTTAATATTGCAGTATAATTTGAAACACAACCAACAGCCTCTATTAACAAAACACATACATTTTCAATAATTTATGACTTTAAAAAAAAAAAACAAAATAAAGCGTGTCTGGCTACGTACAGCCTTTTTCACTGTGGCAGTCGATGTCTTAATATTTTTGCTCCTCCCCCTGACTGATAACCTGGCTACGCCCATGGGTGGGGTGTGGGCAAACATACACGCGTAACACAGAGGAATGCCACGTCTAATGTAAGCGCGGACACACGCACTACTCTACCTGGTATACTGTTATTAGGTGGGGTGGACCCCAGCAACTGACCCAGTCCGAATCTGGAGCTCTTGCGCTTCAGGATTGGCGCGGAGTATTGCCGGCTGTACACCTTTTCCTTTTCTGACCGGATACGGGTAGTGGAAACAAGTCAGAAAGACACGTGTACAGGTCAGGGGGGTGCGAAGTGGTGTCCGACATTGCGCGCGCGGATTGGCTAATTATCGACGACTATTGCGGCTACTCGGGCCAAGCGACAAAATTTGCGGACTTCGGTGCTGTTCCTCAGCGAGCTTCATTTTGGGTAATTTTAAATCGATTTGAGGTAATTCGTAGGATGGCTAGCAAAAAGTTTCAGTGAGCTAGTGGATTCTAGAGACTTGTTTTATAGGTAATAGGTGTATCAGTAGTTCACTATTTTTTTGGGGGAAAATTTTGTTTGATTTGAAATAATGATAGTATTTTTTATTTGCTTCCATCATTCTCCGCCATTTGGACTGTACAGAAGATCAGACAGGTGTTTTGTATTTAAGCTGTATTTCCAGTATATTGAAATCATTGTGGATTACCTATCACGATTGTTTTTTATTGGAAGGTTCAATTTAGCCTCCTTTGGTAATTTTTCAATCTTGGATGTTTCTGCAAAATTTATACTGCAATAGTTTAATTAGTGAGAAGTGAAGGAAACACAGAATGGGAAACAGAAGGAGTTCCTCAAGTTTCTCTAAGTGTTCCTAATTTCCTGAAGTTTCCCTAAGTGTTTCAAAGCTTGTCTATGTTTCCGAAGCTCACGTTGGACAGCACCGTAGTGCACCCTCGAAAGGATCGTGACGATCTTCCGAATTTCTTTAAACCGTGTCACCTGGTTTCTTCGAGGATTAACCCGACACTAATACAATCCTGAGATGATCTACGATCTAACCTGACGTTACTCTAACGTTGCAAGGATACTGTCTGGTGGTGGTCTAAATTATAATCGCTGTTTGGATCGAACATTCGGTATCTTACGATCTTATAACGAAGAGCTCAGTACTTTCTGTTCATCTCGGCACATGGTGAACCGCATTATACTTATCCACAGTGGATCCTATACCTTGCTTCGTGTCCTGCCTAGGGATCATCGAGGCAGGCGCGGACATGGTGCGTTTGTAGGGCCATTTAGTGCCAAAACTAGCGCTAAGTGTCTTTATCGAATTGGTCCCGCTTCCGTCCGACTGCGACAAGGCTTCTTGGGCCCTGTGCAGCTTCTTCATAAAGATCTCGCTGTTCAGATCGGTGTTCCTGAGATCTGGAGATCAGTTCAAAAATCATAAGCATCTACAAACGTCATAATCTATCAATGGAAATGGAAACTAGGTTGGTAACCGACCACGCAGATAGAATATATCCCCTGATCGTTCCAGATTGATCTGAGCCTCGAGGAACAGAGCGTCGAAACGGTTCAAGAAGAATTCCCAGGTCAGAATATGCCTGTCGCTGAGGCTGTTGTGAAGCTGATAGAGCGATTGCAGCACCATCGGTCGATCCACTATCACCGAATCGAATTGGGTCTCCAAGCAGAGGATCAACGACTGTAATCCAAGATCAAGGTTAGAGGATATCAACTTCTGGTTAGAGGATATCACTTTGAAATATTTAATAAATCGTAAGATCGTACTCTCATGGCCGTGTCGTGGATGGTACCGAGATACAATGTGGCTCTCTGTGCAACATATACGTTCCCATCATCCATGCTGGCGATCAGGTAGCAGAAGGCGTTCGCCAGGGCCGCTTGGAGGCTGGTCACGTTCCTCAGAGGAGTCGAGTCCATGAATCTCGCCATTAATGTCACTCTTTCGACTGTGAAATCATCCATCGATCGATCAGAGCATCGTGTATAGGGTGTCAGGAAATTATGTGTCATATCTACCATATCTGGATTCTACACCTTTGGATTGGTGGAGATATCAAGAGTGTCTCAAAATTGACCTTGAACTTGAAATTCATATAATCTTATAGTACCTTTCTTAATTACCTAAGGTAAATTTTATAATATTATTTTTCTCCTCTGGAGGGGAGGGGGGCAAAATTCAATTTTTTTGCCTTTTAGAATATAGCAAAAGTCACTTTTTTCCCTCTAGGAGGGAGGGGGTGGAAGTGCCTTCTTGCATCCCCCTGGCTAGGCCCATGTTTTTTACCTTAACCACCCCTAATCTAAAGGTGTAGAATCCAGTGATGGTACTCGTGACATTTAACTTCTTGAGACCCTGTATATCTGTATCGTTTTCTGTAAAACGATTCTGTTAAATTTACCGGCTACAAACCGGACACGCCAGTCGGAATTGTGAAACTCTTCTTGGATCAGCCGCCAGAATGTGTCGGTTCCACACGGTAAAGTCACACAATGGAGCAACAATGGAACAGTGACTTGAGCTATGTGCGAGTACTCCGCGTTCAGGAGCTCCCATAGGCTATATACGGATAGAAGAAGGAAATATAAGTACCAGCGAGGTATTAGAAACTACAATCGAGGTGATATTTACTGTTCATCCAGACAAAAATACCTGAGGCTTTTCAATTACGTCTGAAAGGTAAACTAGGTGAACTAACGGTAAGCGAGAAGATTACGTTAATAGATCGGAATCGTTTGAATTCGTACTTTTTGATCAGGAGATTTTCTTGGCACCATATGAAGAACCCTTGGTGATCCTTCACAGCGGTGTTGAAGGCGTCTCCGTAGAGGCACATCACGTTCAGGCACTGGAGCATGTAGTAGAGAATATCCGGTTTCTCCACAGTCATTATTTCCTGTTAACGAAGAACAAGATCATTCAGATCACTCACACCATTCACAAAATTTATAATATCCACAAAATTCACATAATTCACACAATTCATATCATTCAAAAAATTCACAGAATTCATAATATTCATAATCACTTGAAAAATTCAAAAATCACACCATTCATATTATTTTTTATCAAAGACAAATTAAATTGCGGTACCTTCAATAGTTTGTGGATGTATTGAAGTTGCTCTGGTAAATCTTCGATCTTGAACCGAAACTTTCCAACGGAAGTGTGCCAAAAATCGGCAGCCTCGTTCTCGGGACTTAAATTCAGCGGTTGATCGTTCTCCCCTATTAATCGTGGCTTGGCCACGCTCACTGTTGCCGTTGCTGAAACAGAAACACCCGTTGAATTCACTGTAGAATCTTCTCTAACGTCTACAGTAGTATACGTCTAGTCATGGTCAGACGTCGAACGCATGGACCCTAGTGACGGGCTTTAAAGCAATTCAAATCGTTGCGTATATGTATATGTAGCGAAAAATTCCAATCACTTCAAACACGATTCGATACTTAAAACTTCTCAAAGTCTTGATAAGTCTTGAATTTTGAGTTTTTAACGATTCTACAGGTTTCGAAAATCTTCGAAGTGTCAGTAATCTTTAAAGTTTCGAACATTTTGGTTAGTTTTTCGCAACGTTTCAGGACTTCTTTCAAGATTTTTAAAAAATTTTCAATTTATTTGCCAGGTCTTCAACAGGTTCCTAGATCTTCCAAAGTACCTATCGAAAACTTTCAAAACCTTTCAAGGCGTTCAAGACTTCTTTAAACACTCGAGACTATTCGTCGAAGTAGAATGAGTCCCTGATTGGTCAGACATCGAACACTAGCTCGAGTTGATCGATAAAACGTTTATTCGTGACATCGTGGTGAATCGGTAAATCAAAATAATGAAAAAAAGTGATCCAGTGAAAATCTGATTCTATCTGTTTTTATTCTAGTCTTCGTTGTTGAAAATCTCTGAATATGTTTGTTCTTACCTACATCCGTCTCGGACAGTGTGACGGCTCTCGCGACCGCGGACATCACCTTCTCCGTGGGCATGATGGCCGCGAGGTCGAGCTGCTCCGAAACTGTCTCTACAGTGGCTGTCATGATCTGTTCGAAGAACTGATATAAACGATCAAAATAGCTACCTCCGGCCACATAGATTAGCCTACCGTGTCCAGTGGTCAGATAAACGCCGGTTTTTCGCAGTGGAGAAGAAGATAGACAGAGAATAGGCGCGCGGGCACACACACACAGTTTAGACGAACAGCATGCTGGCGTTATGTTTCTTGCGGAGAAGTGTTTATAATAATATTTGCCACAGATAGATAGAGAGATAGGGGGGGGGGTAGATAGATGAGAGTGTTCTTAGGCGGTGTTAAATACTTTTGCGTGTATATGTTACAGTAAAAGCGTTAATTCAGTAAATCTATACATTTCCTAGGTCAATGTTAAGCTGCGTCTACACTATGTAACACAAGAGTGTTATGTAACAAGTTGTTGTATAACTTATATAAGTTGTTATACAACATGTTTTTTTAACTGGTTACTTACAAGATTATACGTTTTGGACAAGTCTGCAACAAGTTTGCATAATATTTCGTATCTCGTTATTAATAATGGCGTCACACTTGATGGATAACGTGTGACCTGCTATATAACAGGAGAAATGGTACATAATATTTGTTCTTTCTGTCCTCCTAACAAGTTTTATAACTTTGGTATTATAGCTTGTTGTGCTATATAGTGTAGACGCAACTTTATGCACTTAATAATCTGGTTAGTAAATGTATTCAGAACGTACGAAATTTATATTTTTACTAAGCGAATGCATACATTTATATTTATGATTCAGTAAAAGTATGCACATACAGAAATGCATTAATTTCTGATAAAATGACTAGTTTAAATTAAAATATAACCTAAATACCGATTTTCTCAGAAAAGATCACTAAATTATCAAATAAGGTGTTAAGTTTTCAGTTTTCATTTTTGTTCTTCAAATATATCTATGTTTTGTAAAATTATACATACTTTCGACGTTATGCTTTTGACTAACGTGCTGTAGGAAATGTATGCATTACGTAGTAAATGAATACATTTACTAGAAATAATATTACAAGTACATAGTACATTTTTATATTCGGTTTATACGTCTACTGAAATCGTACGTAAATGCATACATTGACTTAGTAAGTGTATACATTAACTAAACTTCACGCTTTTATTGTGACATACGTATATAATATAAAGATCACCATTTAGTCGTAGTGTGGAAGTCGAATATTGAAAGGGTAGCTTACCTGCGGCATGTGCGCCAGAACACCGCCAACAGAATGCATTTCCGGTACGGGCATACTGATCACGACGTCCGCCTTCGAGTCACCTTTTCGCGAGGTTTCGGGACTCTTGCGACCATGCTCCTCCGCGGACTCGTCCACGATTCTCTAGAAAATACAGATCCAATTAAAATGTTTCGATTTTCTGGAAATCGTAGACTTCATCTTCATGGAAACAGAAAAAATTGAAAATTCGAATCTATAGGATTTTCTGGAAATCGTAGATCCCATTTCATTGCGAATGAATGAAATTTGAAATCCTAAATTCCACGATGTTCTGGAAAATATTGATCCCGTTTCAATGGAAATAAAAAAAAATGGAGACCCTATACTCCGTGATTCTCTGGAAATCGTAGACTCCATTTCACAAGAAAGTAAATAGAAATTGGAAATCCTAAACTCGGTTATTCTTGGCGAATTGATCGTCCTTAAAGGAAGACTGAAGGATATATGAATCGGTTAGCGACGTCTTGCTCAAGACTCTAGAGGCCAACGTCGAATCTATTCCAAACGCACTTCTTCCAACGCACGGGGAGCAATGCGTCATTCGAAACGACGAACGACGGGTTTGTTCCAAACGCGATACGATCACGGGCTATTTCAGTGGCGGTCAGCTTAATGGACTCACGTCAGGCGGGTAAGCCGGATTTTCCGGTGCCATGTAGGTGACCAACTGCAGGCAGAGCTGGTGCCAGATCACTCGTGATTCGCAGTAGGTGCACTCGGCACCGTCGCTGTCCGAGTTGCATACGTGCGAGCTGTTCCAGCTCGAGGCGACGATCGACTTCATCAGGTGGCAGGCGTCCCTGCACACCCACGTGTTGATGCCAGTGTGTTTGTCCACGTTTTGGAGCTCCATCTTCGAACGTTTCATAAAGATCCATTCGTTATATAGTAAATTCTGGATAAGTCGTCGAAGGCTGCTCGGTACTTAACATTAAATATTTTGTAAACTAATGGCCATATGTGGCTGACACAAATACTATTGGCTTTATAATTTATAAGATTTGCCATTGTGCTAAACCTTATTAAAAAGTCAGTGTTATACCTGGGCACCTCTTCTTGTCAGTGCTGAGAAGTCTTCGAACACTTATCGAGGATTTATTGTATTAAATGTAGGGTGAAATTTCTCAAGTTATATGGCTTTACATTAGATTTAACAAATAGAAAGGAAAAATTTAGGAACATGCAACAGGAGCTCATATTCTACCTGTCTCAGCAGTATATCCATCATTAGGATGCAACAGGACAGGTTCAGTTCTGCATTAGTGGTGAACTCCATGTGTCTCGGTGTCGGGGCCAAATCGTCCGACAGTGGCGTTGATTTTCCCGAATCGTTTTCTACAACTGAATAAATTTTTCACCCCTTCAGTATATGCAGTTTCATTGGATTGATTCGTAAACACAGAACTAAACATTTCATTTATGTATATTCATATGTTATTTATATGAATATACATAAATTATCTATTTACATATAGATATATTTATATACATATCATTAATTGTATCTATATAAGTACTCAGTCAGCTAAACCTGCAAAGCCAAATTTTGTCCAATGTCTATTATAATGTTATGTACTCAACATGGCTACAAGTTTGATGGAAGATCTGCTATCAACAATTTGTCAACTTGCAAGTCTAGCTATATAGCCTAGGTTATAAATTGACCTAGGTTAGTTAGCCTAGATTGTATTGCAAGACCTGCTACTAAATTGCTGTCAATTTGCTTCACCATTATGTCAGCAGGCTTTGCCTGCAAAACCCAAGTGAGATGTGGAAACATATGGCTATAGTTTTTTAGACAAATTTTTTTAAATCTTTAAATTTTTTAAATTAAATGTCATTAATTGTTGGCAATTTGCTTGAAACTTGCATACAACTGATTATCAGGGTATATGTATATATATGTATATAATTACATATGGCGTTCCCATCCTTGTCCTCTTTCTTGGATCCTTTGCTGGGCTTCTGGCCGGATTCGGTGGAGTTCATGGCCCCCATTACGTCTACACCTTCGCTGAACATCGAGAACAATTGGCATAAAGGAATACTGATCTCCAACATGGTCAAAGTTTGCAACCAGTTCAACGCCTGTTCCTGCACCTTCGCGCAGGTGTTGACGAACCGTTTCGCCACGAAATTGTACATCTTCTTCGTGTCGAACCCCAACGGGCTCATGTCACGGTCCAGTATTTTGCTGGAATCACAAATTTTCTCTGAGTATTACCTTTCCAACGCAATCGAATTTGTTATAACTTTAACATTATCGAGATAACTTTGACTTATATTCATAATATACCTTGAGAGTTCGTAACTTTGATTGTTTATGTTTTTAAAAACATTATCTATCCACACCTAATATTTCATGTAATATTATTAGGAACCTATATACTGTCATATTACAAAACCCTGTTAAGTGTTTGTAGGGGTTTATTTCATCACAAAGTCAGAAAATATTAATTTTCCAACTGTTTCATAGGTGATACTTTACGTGAAATGTTTTTTCACAGAAAAACCAACTTTGTTTAACAATTTTGCAGAGCTGCAAAATCGAAAACGAACATTGCCTGACTCGAGACAGAGCTATTCTGATTGGATCCCTGACCTAGCCCTTTGACTGAGCAAAGTTTACGGTGGTGTGTGAATTTCTTAGTGGTACCATAGGATCATTTTCAATTCGTGAAGCTCGTGCTCAGGCACGTCGTTCACCATCGCCTCCATCCAATGTGGCATCACGTAGTCCCAGACTTCCGGTGTGATCACCTCGTACGGGACCAAGCAGAAAAGTCGATTCAAGCCGTCTTTCAGATGCGACGTCCTCGAGGCCAACGTCTCCCTGTCGTTTAGGAATATTTATTGTTATTCAAACGTATTGCTTTGTCAGTCATCGAAGCCACCGAATGGAGTTAAAAATAGGGTTCGATCTTTCTTATCGATCGTTGAATGAAAAGGTTCTGTTGTCGACGAAGACTATCTGTGATATCGATATTAATTAATATAGTCTTATATAATCATATAGTATATGTCTCCATTCATCCCAATTCTATTATATTAGACATTTGATATTTGTGTTATTTACGCCAGCAAAAGACATTAAATCAATGACACTCTGTACAAGAATATCTCATTAATGGAACGTACCAGTGTCCCCCAACACGAACATAGTCCGCTGGATGCGGCAGAAGACAAGAAATGAAGATATCGTAGTGAGTCTTCATCACCTCCGCCAGCCAACTGCACACGTACTCGGTTTTCAGTTTCTCCAGAGCGCTCTCCGCTTGGCCTGTGAAATTCGAGGCGAATGTAGCCATCGTTCTCGATGAAATCTTCTGATGGAAAGACTCTATTAATTCACGGATTCCACGGAATAACTTAGAACTCGAGATCGTCGTGCCTTTCCACGAACACGCGGTTTTCAATTGGGACTTATTTCATGACACAGACGGTACAGAAGCGAGATACAATAACGGACAAAAAAGTTACCATTTTTTTCTGATTCTCTATATTTTTATTATTTTTTAACGTCTTTTAATTCTCTATTGGAATTATTGTATAGAGGGTGTCCCATATAACACTTATCACCATTTTTCAAGCACTTCCAGTGATCTGACGAAAAAGTATTTCAAACAAAATTGATCACTTTTTTATCGGCTATATGACCTCCATTTGTTTAAATGGCATTACATATTTTTGACTCCATGGTATTATAGCTCATGTCAAGACGAGTTGAACCACCTTGTACACTAAGACCTTAAAATGATTTTGAATACAATTAGGACTAAAAAACTGAAGACTGAACACAAGAACTGTCTTAACAGCAGGATAGTTAATTTATCACATGTTGATATGTTTTCTGAATTCAAGGTCATTTCAAGGTCCCAGTGTTGGTACTAGGTGGTTGAAGTCATCCCGTATATATTGAGCACATAATAAAGTTCGAAGTTGATGTCGGAAAATAATAAAAATAAAACATTTCTAAGAAATGGTAACTTTTTCGTCCGTTACAGTATAGTCTGGGACGACACATCGAACAACAACAGAGAGCACACGTTAATAATGTGGAAGCTGATTGAATCTGTGTGTTGCTGCGTGTCACGTTCGGTGGCGTTGCGAGAAAGTCTCGGATCGGGTACGAAGAATCTTCGATTTCGTTCGAATTCCAGAATTTCTCGCGGTTTTTTTCTCTACTACTACTTCGATGCATGGAAACTTCGTGATTTTTCACATCGATCACCTTCAATAAAATGTATCATTTTTATTGGTTAACCCTTGTGTAGGCAACTGGGTACCCAAATACCCAGTTTTAAATTTTCTTTCACAATTCTTTATGTTCTTATCTAAAACAGCATTTGGTATATTATAGGAAGGGAAAATTAAGAGTTTCGGAAAAAGTATGGATATAAAATTATCTAAGTTTATCTAATCAGTCAGAATAGGGGTGAATATTTTAGTTGCCCACGCAAAGGTTAACGAAGTTCTGATGAAGATTTTTGCGGATAGAATTCTATGCATCGATGACTAAGAGGAGGCTCGATCAGCCGCGACGCAGACGCACTCTCTTGTCCCTTGACATAAGAGCTTCTCAAGTAGCTACCGGTTAGATCGATACGCGATCGTATGCATAATAAATTTCGTTGGTATTCGTGTTTGTGTGTATGTGTGTGTGGCATGCACACGTAGAAGGCAACGGTTTTTTTCTCCGAAAATGTGTGTTACGCAAGTTCGTAGATGCATCAACTTAGCAGACTATTAACGAAAAAAAAAAATTCCATTCGATTAAACTTTCGAAACTTTTACGAGGAAACTTTTAAGTCTTTTGTCGAATGAGCAACATTATTTTTCCATCTTTTTACGGAGAGGAATTCCTCCTCGATGGTGGAGATGAACACAATAGATCGTTCCGGACACTAATCGAAGTTTTACTGCAGCGGATTATTTATTGGTACACCTAATACATCTAAAATAGAAGAAAATCCTGCATACTTTAACGTTACGATGACAGAGAAGTGAGGAGAAAAAAACATGGAATTGAAGTATCAAGAAAAGAAAAACAGAAATTTTTGTCTGTCGAGCTGACACCTCTGCGAAAAGCGTTTAGCACAAATATGGAGGGAGACATCGAATACACTGATATACACTGATATCATTTACAGGAACACCAAGAGAATTTGGAGAGAATAAATTGAGGGGCGGGGGGGGGGGCAACACAGAAGCTAGTGGAAATGTGTCGAACAGAAAAGAGTAGTTGTTAAGCTTGGAGACACATCGATCACATGAAAGCACGAATATAAGTGAATGTTTTACCCATGAATTTTACGGAGACGTTCGTTTGTTGCGTCTATCTCGTTCTTCCGGAAAAAAACCATCATTTTGCCCACAGTTTCTATGATCTTTAGATCTTTATGAGAGCAAAAAACTTGTAACTCGTTGGCAAAAGTGTTCTCATTTAGATGGATCTTATTTCGATTAAAAATGTTCAATTGTTCAAAGTTTGCGATTAGACGACATTTATTATGCAACAATCTAATAGGATCGTCCTAATTAGAAACTGTGAATACAAGGCAACTGGAGGAGGAAAGAGAAGAGCCATGCAACGAACGCGTCTGCAGGGTGTCGTAAAAGTTGTATTGGTCCACTCGAATGTGCCTACGATCGCGGCCAGAGACTACCTACGTTTAGTGATGGGCTTGGGAAGACTCAGTAACGCTCCGAACAAGACGCAGAATCGCTTCGAGTATCACAGTGATCATTCCTCCCATCACTCCTCATTAAAGTACTGATACAACACACCTGTACATTTCAGTTCGTTCCTCTAAACTGAGAGAAGACAGGAGGAGACTTTGAAATTCTTGGTTAAAAAGGACCCATTCCTATATTCTTCCATTAACCACGAACCCTCATTCCCTTATAGCCCAAAGTATGGTAAATCCTCTATCAAAGATGTCAGATATATACGAGAAACTCCACCGATCTTCGAAGCGATAGCGACTCGGTTGGGCACCGAATCTCAAATATCGTCCGCCCATCACTACCTACGTCATCTACGATCTACATCATAAGTGTATATATATATATATATATGCGAAGTGTTAAATTACCAACAGAAAAGAGAAGGTGCATAAGGCTTTTTTTAGTACCATCGAATGAGTAGGCGGTAACATGAAACCAATGAAATAGCATTGACAATAAACGCCCGAGAATTTCGACGGAGGTGTCCTGGTTCGGTGTGCAAAGCCCGACGAGCAGCCAGACGCCGTATCGTCCAAGCAGCTGCCTCTCCTCCAGCGTCGATGGATCGGATAGGCCACCCCCACCGCCGCCTCCGCCCCCTCCTCCGGCTCCGCCCCCTCCACCGGTTCCTGGGAATCCTGTGCACTGGATCGTGATCGAGTGAACGAGTGCAATACCCCCGGATGTGACCAAGGTTTTCCAAAAAAACAAAAACTTACGGAGAACGGATTTCTCGGGTGGGATCGACATTCTCTGTAAGTTGTTCGCTTGAAATCATTAGAAATTGTGGTGATTGTCATTTGTGTTTGATTCGAACGTTTCTGATCGATCGACGAATTTATTGGAGAGAATAGTTAGAGTGTGTAACGTTGAAGAGGTATCCCCATTAGATCGTTTGGGGGGGAATTCGTCACGCCGCCCTAGCCTCAGGCCACGCCTACTAGGCTCAGTCCACACTCACTGGGTCCACCCCACGCCTACTAGGTCCTTGCTACGCCCACTATAGTAGTGGGGGTAGCTGAACACTAGTAGTTTTGTGATATAAAATCTGCAAAAATGCTGTTGGAGGACTTTTGCTAACGATTTCAGGCGAATCGATGGTTAAAGAGGACATCAAACGTCGAAGAATCGTAGCTTCCACGTTCAATGGTGATTTAAATTCCTTCACGATCGCGTTCCTCCAGTGTTGAACCTTAATTAACGTGGAATTCAGAGATGTTGGAGACGGATCGAACGATTTGATCGTGAAAAAATTCATTGATAATTAGATTTAATGACGACAAGGTCGATCTCTGGCTCAAACATGTTTCTCGAGAAGATGATGGTGAACTAATCGATCTGGCTCGACCACAAAGCAGACGCGACATCAGATCGCGATCACCTGTATCGACGTATTTTCATCGATTATGATAGAATTTTTTGGAAGACAGACGGTAGATCATATAGCCAATTAGTATTTCGAATAACTAGTTCACTGGACTCTAACTACTGGGTGGCATGCCGGTTGCAATATCGAAACTACCGAATGCAACTTGAAGTACCAAGAAACATGTGAATAAATGTCATCAAACGATTTTAAAAACTTTCTGTAGTCACAAAAAAATAAGTGGATCAAAACTAACATCATGAAAGTAGGTATAACCACTGTTGGACAATGTTCAATCTAAAACGATACTTAGGGGTCCTAATATCTTAATAATACCTACAGTAAACTCGCGATAACTGCCTGCTGGATAAATATCCTTAGGAATGTCCCCTGAAAATATACGTGCGTATTCCACTCTCTGTTGCCCTCTATAGTCAGTAATTAGTCGAATGAGGAGATGTGCCATATGCTATAGACTCTCGATAATTGCCCGTTCCTAGAACTGCCTGCCTCTAGAGCCCCCAATACGGGTAATTATCGCGAGTTTATTGTACTATTAAATTTCATTAGAATTTTTATTTTGTTACGTTTTCCAAGTCAGTGGGACGCTGTAAATGGATAAACATGTTCACAGTCCACCGATAAATAAACGTTATTTCCGGTTGGATCCCGTTAAAATAGTGTTGTTCCTGTACATGCAGCATACCAGTGTGTCTTGGGTAGTGAATGAGGTATCTATTGAAGCCAGTACACCGGTGGGTCTGTTTTTATTTGTGGAACGGTATACCCAGATGACGGTGTGTTGTATCCAGGGGGACGTGCAACGACGCGGTGTCCTCGGCAAGGCGCATTGCAACTTTTAAGGTGCGCACACGTTTCCTATGCTCTCTACGCTGGGTGAATTGCATCAGTATCACGTGTGTCTTACGCGGTCACTTGGTCAATCGGTGAGAAAAACTTGTCCGACCCGACCCTAGAACCGCTCCGGCCACTCGTGTCTGTGAACCTTTACAAACTGATAATTGGCAAATAAAATGATAATCGAGCTGTCAGACGATCACAGACTTCGTAAGAACTCAGGGCTGAAGTGAATTTAGAGGTTATCTTTGAAGTAAGTGTCAGAAAATCTTTTCGAGATCGAATTGAAATGAATTTTTATTCATTCCAATTTGTCACTTCAATCGAAATTTGTTACTTTAATACGAGTGTCCGGCGGTTCTAGCGTTGGCACGAGATCGAGATACACGCGGAGAGTGATCGAACATAATTGAAAAAGGTGAACAATATTCTTCGGACAAGAGTGATTTGTCATTTCTAAAATTCTATCTTTTCTATTATTATTTATTATCATTGGTGTAAATTATGAAAGTATTATGAAACACCCTGCACGTGATATCTCGTCCGTTTTCATGAATATTCAAAGACAATATTCCGAGCATGTCTGGTAACCACGTTTACTGGATTACAATCGAATCAGCGATATCACTACAAAGAAAGAAGAAAAAGTGTAAGAAGTTCAGAAAGTCTCCAATTAAACGTGGCCACAATGATGTCTTACCAAGCAGGATGGACCAGCACGAACAAAACACGCAAAGCAACAATGATCCTGCGATCATTCGTTAGTACGCGTCATTGTGTCCCTTTCGACTACAACGAGGTATCGATCTTCACCCCGTGGTCGATGATTCGAACGCGACATTTGAATAGTAATCGATCGATCCTTTCGATAACGAAACGAACGATTACCAAAAATCGTCCCTTCATCTCGATCCACGGAAAAAACATTTTTAAAAAATTGGGGTTTAATTCATGGTCGCGATCTATGAATTGATAAACACGAGCAGAACCAACGGAATGTACAAAACAAGAAACAGATTTCTCGCAGAAGGAACTCTTGTCGTAACGGCGGAGGAAAGAGACTCCTAAAACACATTCCAGACACAAAATTCGTGGGCCTTCCGATTGGGCCCATCGATTCTGATCATTTTCAAGCACAAATTAAATCATCCAATCCTAGGTTACAGTGACTCATACATTTATTAACATGCTTCGGAAATAACAATTGGGTCTCAAGACTTTTATGCAACTTCTATTCGCATGTTATCATTACTTTTATCACTCTACTGTGATGAATTCCCTTTGATTTTGAACGAAAATTCACATTTTAGTGAATAATTCGATGAAATAGAAGTCTTTTATGAACAAACTCGTGGAGTCACTGTACAATAGGAAAATGTATTTTTAAATATTCCTTTTGTTATATTTTTCAATTCTTATTTTTTATCTCGATTTCGAGATACAGCCGATATGTAAAGGAACCTTTTCCCTCCGTGTGCGACAGAGCGTCCAAAATGAAATTCTCGTGCAAATCACAGCGCGTGGTGTGACACTTAAATCCAACCAGTTATCCCATTCTCTGTGTTCCTTCGTTTCCTTCGGTAAGCGTTATTACACGATCTCTCAGCCGATACAACAGTACTTCGATTGTTTAGCTACACGTTGGATTTCTCACCTGAGGATTGCTTGGACCATGTAGGTCTGGGTCTGCGAGTCCAGCTGAGAGACATGCGGCAACGCCATGTGGTACACGTGGTCGCCGCCGCGACGATTGTTGTGCCGGATGTTGTGGCACTGCTGGCAGTAACGGATTGGATGGTTGCCGTTGTAGCTGGCGCACTCTGTCGAGAAGCAGACGCTGATCGCCAGCTTGTCGGTCGCTCGGCAGTTCTGACGGACAGAAACACGAATATTTGTTTGACATACGGAATGTTTCGGATCATCTTTTGTTTTTATTTATTTATTTAGTTAGTTATTTAACAGGTATAAACCCAGTATACATACATAACATTTAATGAAAATAAGTTGAGAAACAGTTACAAACAGTCTTGGCCACAACATGGATTTTAAGGAAGGGTTCATTACACCCGAAATCGGACACTTTTTGGTGTACCATTTCCGATTTTGTTCAAATTTGGATATACTGTAGTCTTAGCCAGACAATAATCGAGAGGACTCTGTACATAGAAGTCTCTCTTTATAGGCACGTTGTTCACGACTGACAACAACAGGAAGCAATGAATACTAGTCTATAGTCGTTTTATCATTCGACGACTTATTTTCAACTGGGATCCTCTCACTCACTAATTGTCATTAGAACAAAATGAGTGATTATAAAAAACTGGATCAAACACGATTTTACACCACATCCAACGAATTAAGTCAGTAACAATAAACAACGGGAAATGATGACCACTTAAGTGAACAGACCACAGAATACTAACAAAGTTACAGCACTCTATCATTACGTTTCTTTCATAGACCCCTCCCCCCACTCACCTTGTTTTCACATATCATGGACACCTGTTGCATAGGGTGCAATATGTCGCAGAACATCTGATTCGGATGCTCCCTGTGGATCTCATTGGCGCACTCGATGCATAAATACAGGGGTGGTGGTGTCCCCGTGGCGAATGTGATCGATATTCGGTGATCGTAGCAGACCTTGCCAGCCTCAGCGTTACCTGCGTTTGGACAAGAGTCCCTCTGGCACACGAATGGCGTCAGGTCATCTAAAATTCCATTACGGAACTTCCATCATTCGTTTCACTTTTCCCCACGAATTCGTGCATTATTCGATTCCAATTGAAATTAAAGTAAAGGACACGTACTTGCAAATTTCATCAACACCGCCCTTCGATCGAACAGATTCGGATTAAAGGAGGGCCAATAGTAGAAGAGCAATTTCGCGGCGGACGCTCTAGCTGGCGCCGTGCCGTAGGCAACCACGCAGAGGATATCCTTCACCACGCCTGGCTTTAGAGCCATCAGACATTCCAGCAATTGGCAATGGTGAGCTGAAACAAATACACTCTCTCGTTGTTCGTTTGCTCCTTCGAATCGTCGAGCTGTAGTCATGGGCGTGTTTAAATTAAAAAAATATTAACACATCGACTGCCACAGTGAAAAAGACCGTACGTAGCCAGACACATTTTATTTTCTTTTTACAGTCATAAATCGTTGGAAATGTATGCGTTTTGTTAATAGAGGCTGTTGGTCGTGATTCAAATTATACTGCAATATTAAATATTATGTAAAAATTTTTTATCTTTGGAAATGAAGGGGGTGGAACAAAATCCAATTTTTCTTTTGTAGGGAAGGGCAGGTGCCCTCACCACTGCTCCTTCTGACTACGCCCATGGTTGTAGTTGATTCTTATAGCTACCTGGATTGCTGGAATATTGGAAGATCATCATGATCACCGCGGCTATCGATTGACTGGCTGCGTTTTCCACCCCTTCTTCGGTCTTTCTTGCTGTGATATAGAGATAAAAGAATTTTTAACTCGACTGTAAGAGACTATGGTGATGTATAGAGTACTCACTGATCGTGAATGGCAGAATGTAGAAGCAGAGATAGTTGACGATATCCTGGTGGAGCTCGACCGGAAGCACCGAGATCGCGCTGGCCGTTAAATATGGAACGTTGTCGATCAGATCGTGATCGAGGAACGGCAGCAGACAGGCCAGACACTGGAGCAGTGCTTGTCCAAATGCTGGAAGACAATTTTATTTTGATTTGAACATGGAATTCAAAATGGTGGATTGGAAAGACTCTGGTGGATAAGATTTGTTATGGAAATGTAATCTGATGATTTAGAGGTGATCTTTGGAGGATATCTGAGGAACTGCTAGGTCTCCTGAGGATGTATAAGTGTTTCTAAGGACTTGGCATAGTCCTGATGTCTTTGAACTGATCCTGAATATCTCAAAAGATCCAGAGAATCGACCATCGAGAAGAATTGATTCCCATTTCCAATGTTAATGACTCTACCATTCTGATCACAGTAATAAAATTTTTTTTTTAAATTACTGACCTTGTAGGCCAATGTGAATAGACGGAACCACGTCCACCAGCTGAGTCAACGCGTTGTACAGTTGCTTGTAGTCCAAATTAGGATACAGAGCCATCCGTTCCGCGTCGAACTTTTGCGCTTTGATCATCTCCAGAGGAGCTTCGCGGACTTCCTTCAAGAGTGCTAAAAAAATTAACGATACTATAAATAATTGTATCAAGAATTAAGGAGAATCGAAGAACAATTCTTACAGAGCAATGTCTGAGAGAAGAACTTCACTGTGTTCGCCATGTCCAGGCCAGAAGGTACTGGTTGATTGCCATGAAGGAGTTTTTGGTAATAATCATGAAGACTGGTCAACTTCAACGAATCTAAAACATGTACAATCGCGTGAAAATCAACGATTCTTCATCGTTTAAGAAAACAAACATTTATCCTACTTACAAGCTGCGAACCTGGTCCCCATTTTCTCTGATACCGAATTGTTCCTCCTGTCAGTTCAAAGTTCCTCCACGAAATCAACTGTCACGAACCTGGACTCATGTTTCTCTTAAATTTTAGTTACCAAAGCACCAAAATATTCTTGCCAATTGTGACTGGAACGATCAAGATTTCGAAACGAGGATCAAGTAACGTCACGATCAAATTGTTAAAGTTTTCTGTTAGATTTTTAGGCCCGTTCGGTCATCGACACGTCGATCGAGGAGACTAAACGCGAGATACTGCGTCATGGACATGTTTTTCCAGGTTGCAGAATCAGCACTGGTCCATCCCCGAAGACGTGTCGGCGTCGAATGAGCGCGCACGCCGTATCGACCTGTTTGGCAGCGCGGCGCCCTCTTGTTCCTTTCATCCCCCAGCGGGAAAATCCAAGAATCCGAGCACTATTCTCCGAAATTTTCTTGCATTTTCATCGTGAAGTAACTACAAATCTTCTTTATTCACTTCTGAGATGTTGTATTCTATTGGTAAGCAAAATTTTGTTACATTTTGCAAGCCTTTAAGCTTGTGGTATAAGAAATCTTTTAACACGGTGTTTAAATGATTCTGTTTATATCGTTGAAAAGTAAAAAGTTTCTAGCATGTTAATTACTGAAAAATATTTTCATCGATTCTCTAATATGGAATATGAAAAAAATAATGTTCAATAGAGAGTAAAGTATGCTCGACAAATATTAGATGCACTAATAAGTAATCCAGTATTTCTTGACGATATTAGTGTATATTTCTATAGAAGTCAAGGATTTATAATATTTAATTTATATTAACAAGTAGTTTTCGTGTACACTATACCATTGTTACTAAAGGAAAAGATTCTTTCAAGTTCAAACATTCAACCGAAAGTTGCATCAGTGTTGTTTCACCGACGTATTGACAATTTAATCTTTTTTGGGGCTCTCCTTCTTCAGTAATAAATTATACACATGACTAAATTCTAGGAAGGGATCCCCCAGTGGTGGGGATGACGCGTGGGCAGTTAACGTAGAGGCCTTGCCGCGCAGTTAAAGCGACTTTACTGTATTACCTTTCTTACACTTTTTGAAACAGTGTGTGCCATTTACTGACAGTAGAAGGTAATGCTAAATATTAAAAAATTCTCCACTAGATCGTAATAATGAACCAAAAATTTAGATTCGTTCCTGAAACAAGTGGTATATAATCTAAAGTCTAAAGGGTTTAGATCAATACTTTATTCGAACAAAGATCGATTTAATTCTCTTAGATTCATCGATCCGTGAAATGTCCTCACGATTAATTTTAAATTGTTAACCCTCAATTTTCACGATTTAAACATAGAACTCGGTTTCTTGAACTTCATGTGACAGAACTTGGCTAGTCTCCAGGCGGATCGCAACAGAGATTTCGACCGGGTTGTTCGTGTTCGAGTCGCTGTCAACTAACTGTGTCACGAAGGGTGGGGAGGGGCCTCGATTCTAGGTCGGCTTCTATGACGTGCAACGCGAATCGATATCATCTAAATACGATGCACAACCAGCTCAGAGGGGGTGAAGTCATTCTCTGGAATTATACATTGATCGAACGTGAACACGATTTCCCGTCACGGTATGAAAATAAACCGGTAACTTTCTTGAAATAAAACCCATCTGTGTGCCAGTCATACTAGACATTTTTAAATTGACAGTTCAACCCGCTGACTGCATTTCTTTGTTACACTGCGTGGCATAACTATAAAACCACCCCAAGAATTTTCAATCTTTATTTTGTTGTGATTAAAACAAAAACGAACCACTTTTTTTTCTAAGGAATGTAATCTAACCTTTTCTGGAGTAACGTTCATTGTCAGCACGATTTCAGACATGGCATACTCGGTTCGTTTTTATTTTAATCGCGATTATTATTTCTTTTCTTTGAGTCGAAGTGAAACCCTAGAATCCCATTTTATTTGTATGCCCGGGGATTATCGCGATTAAACGTCGTATTTATTAAAAATATCGGGATCAAACCACCGGTTCGTTTCGTAGAAGAATGTCCAACACCCGGAATTTCCGCTATTCGAGGGATGCGAAAGGGAGGAATAAAGGGATGTAGGGTGCTGCGCCTCTTTTCCCGATATATAAGGGGATGGAACCTCGCGTGGGGTGTGAAGAGCCTTCGGAGGCAGGTGACTGGATCGATTTCTCTATCACGGGCGCACACGTGTACCCAACACGTGTCTGTCTGTCTGTGTGCGTACGATTGCAACGGTGACGCAGCGCGCGTGTGTATGCTCCACGCTGGATCGCGTGAGGGCTTACGAAGTCTGTGGTAGTTAAGGGGATAGAAGGACGACAGGGGCTATGAATCGAAGGAGTGGGAGGGTTGAGGATGATCCGGAGGAACGACTAGGAAAGAAAATGAGGGGGTTAAATCGAGAGGGATGGAAGATCGAAGAGGATCTAATCAGAATACAGTAGAACCTCGGGTGACAAATCCATTATGATGAACGGTTTTTCGGGGGTATTTGGTGTAGGAAAATCTACATTTTCCTTATATCAGGAGGGATGGAAGTCGAAGAGAAATTTTAATCGAGGAGGGCTATCAACCATAGGTGATAGATCCATCATGGTGAACGGTTTTTCCGGGGATATTTGGTCTCGGAAAATCCAAGTTACAAAGGATGCTATACATACATAAGCATCCTACTAACGACCTGAACAATGTATCATATTACCACGTGGGCTTTGAATAAGAAAAGAAACTTAATTCTTCTAATAACTTAATACTCGGTTATGACCTTTTTTTTTTTTTTATTCACAGGCTAAAATGGAGGACAAAGGAATATCGAGGATGAGGCTGGAAGGTGGATGGAGAGGAGAGAAGGAAAAAAAACCACGAGATACCGCTCAGGCCAGGGGGAGGAATATACTGAAGCAAAAACAGAGAGGTATGGACGTCGTGATAGAGGGTAAAAGAGGGTGGAAGAGGGTGGAAACGGGAGGGAGACGAGGACGTAGCACGATGTATACATCGAAAGCCGGGTTGCCTAGGACACCACATGGACACCACGTTCGCACTGCTACGTCACGAGATACGAGGGTAGGAGGGGAGGGAGGGTGCGAAGCAACCCTCTGGCGAACGGACTTCTTAGGAAACAGTGCTCGCGGGGCAAGCCACGTTGAACGTTGTGCCGTGTACCGCACGCTCCTCGCGTCGCCGTCTTCGACACCCAACCCCCATTCGACCCTCTCACGAAGGTACGGGAAACGGAGCATCCCTTATACACCGTACGTAGTGATCGTTGCTCGACGGGTTTTGAACTATCGCGTTCAAGTGTTAACTACGAATTGATATTCGACGATTTCAGAATGGAACGAGTTCGAAATTTTTAGCACGTTTGGAGTTGATTGTTGTTTGTGATAGGTGGTTTTGAAAGTTAGAACTTTTCGGAATTATTGACGGAGATCGGTCAGGTAAATGTTTGTAGCGACTTTGAAGACGGTGGATTCTCAGGATAAATTCAGTGTCTTTGTAAATAAAATATTATGAATTTTAAGTTTGTATAGAATTGACTTCAAAAGGGGTGGTTTTGTGAATTCGAATTTAAATTCGGAATCATTGAAGAGGGTTGTTGAGGTAAAAGTCTCTGATTTCGGGAAGTAGATTCTCAGGATAAATTCAGTGTCTTTGTAAATAAAATATTATAAATTTTAAGTTTGTATAGAATTGACTTCAAAAGGGCTGGTATTATGAATTGGAATCGAAATTCGAAATTATTGAAGGGGCTGTTGAAGTAAATGTCTGTAGCGACTCCAAGGGAGTAAATTCTCAAAATAAATTCCAAAACTTTCTAAACAGGATATTCTAAATTTTTAGTTTCTTTAGAATTTAGTTAGGAACGAGTAGTTTTAGAAATTGGTGTTAGATTTGAATTTCTTAACGCCGAGGGTGGCGGAATTAAAAATCTACAACTTTGAGGACGTAAATTTTCAGGATAATTTAATTGCCTTTGTAACATCCTTTGTATACCATATCTTAAAAGAGTATAAAAACCCTTCATAACCAAGCCTTAAAATAGATCGAGAATTAATTATAATTTCAATGAGATCCAATTTCCCAAAGAACGATCTCGATCGTGCGTGAACATTAGGAAAATTATATTCCACTCCGTAGAAAGCAGAGATTCCAACGTGACAATTCCTTCCGGTCGATCGACCACCATTTTGGGTTGCACGGAAGACCGGTCGATGGGCGCGTGTTCGTTCTCGGTTGATCCCATAAATTGATTAACGCCACCGTGCCAGTTAGGTGGCTGCCGCGTTTCGGGTGAGATAATAAAAAGCAAACAGATGAATCAACCGACGGCCTCGCAAGGCCGATAGTTTAGCTTAGAGAGGGAGTGGGGTGGTAGCATCCAGGGGCTCAAAGAGGGTGGCCGTTCTGTTCCCCCACTTTTCGCAGTCTTTGTCGACGTGCATGACGGAACTGCAAGGGTCCATGTGATTTGATTATGTTGGTAATACAGTCCGTATGCCACCCCTAATTGCTGCGGTCTACCCCCCACGTGGCCGATCTCTCTTCCCGAAGGGATGACGTATAGGAATTCGATTCGACGATGTCGTAATACTTGCTGTATACAGGGTGCGGCCGAATAACAAGTACAAACAAGTATGAGGTCATTCCTTATGAAAAAAATAAGAAGAAAATATGGAATAGAATTTTTTCATTTAAGGCTTAGTTTTTGAGAAAATCGAGATTGGAAATCAGCTTGTCTGATCATTACATTCCGTTTCTACTTACTACTATGGTGAATACACGTGTTTCAGATTAATTTTCGAAGTCGATTTTCTCGAAAACTAAGCTTTAATTGAAAAACACAAAGCATATATTTCGAACTGTAGCACTAATAATTCGCTCAGTAACTGTAATTCTATTGAGCCTATTTTTCAAGTAAAAAAAAAAACAAATAGTTAATTGACGGGTTCAGATTAATCAACGTGGATAACGTCCGATTAACTTCGATACGTA